CAGTGAAGAACAGGGAGAACGATTCCATCAAGACATAAGTGAAATGGAGACTAGGTATCAAGGAAATTGGAATATTAATACGATGGCAGATTTTTGCTGGACACTTAAAAGGGATAAACTAAGAGATAATAACAAACGGAAGAAAAATCCATTGCGTAGATCGTTTGAGAACAAAACAGTTCGATTCCAACAAAGAACAGTTTGAAATTTGAGAAAATCGTTCTCTTTATTCTAGTTATACGACAATTTGTTGATTCACGGGATAAGTTTTTTGGACTATTATCATAATTTTTTCGCGTGTGCCACATTAATAATTTTTTTAAGGCAGCAAAATTAATTGTTTAAATATTTTCAAAATGGTATATATATATATATTTATATATATTTAACTATTCATCTAGACGCACACACTCACATACATACATACGCACACACTAAAAATTTCCCTTCAAAAAAGAATAACGGTGAAATTCATAATAGTAAAGAAAAAATTTTTCTTCATTAAAACTTTTAAAGAGATTGTTATCATGAACTAGCTGACCCAGTGAACTTCGTATCACCTACAATATATTTTGTTACACATATTCTGTTACAAAACAAAAAAAAAATTTTGAAAATCGGTCCAGCCGTTTTTTAGTTTTAGCGAGGCTAACGCACAGCAATTTATTCTTATATAGATAGATTTTTAATTTTTGAAGTGTTTTAGCAATAATTATAGAACCTCACGATGAGAAAAATTTTTTAGGACAAAAGAAGTCTTAAAAAGCCCCTTTTGAAAGAAAATAGCGATCAAATGCCGGAAAATCTAAAGGAGAAGATATTTTTTCACCAGAATCTTTTTAGGAAATGATATATTTTTAATTTATGATTTTTAAAATGTTTTTGGGAATAACTGCGAAACCACTTTAAAAAAAAATAGTTTCGTGATAACATTTCCATCAAATTCAAAAATTTTCATTTGAAAGATAAAGTTTATGTAAAACTATAATAGTTGTCATGCACAACTTAAATTGAATCATCAAATAAATGTTTTTGTACAAATTTCTATTAATAATATTGCAATTATTCATCCCACTTAATAATATTTAAACTGTTAGTTTCATTTAATCTAAACATGTAGATAAGTTTAAATTTAAAGTTAAATAAATAAATAATACATAAATAAAAGTTAACGTTTAAACCTTCTATCTACAGTTTATGCTAAAGCTACACCGACGCACTTTAGTGAGCATCAACGCAAACCTCACATAATTTTTTTTTCAGCTGTAGTATCCTTTCTATGTAAGATAAACCATGTATTCTTATTATTTCATAGTCTCTGGCCGTCCACTTTGGCTTCGAAAAAATCTCAGGATCTCAAAATTGGCGGCGCTATAGCTTGTGCTAGTGAATTCTTTTTAAATTAACAGAGAATTAACTATTGTAATTTGTTGTAATTAAAAACTTCGCAAATATGAAGTACGAACTACTTTTATAAAAAATCGGTTGTAGATAAAACGTTTCAACTAAGTAATATAATAAAATGTCTCTGTCTGTCTGTCTGTCTGTCAACGGAGATTTGAACGAAACTTGGCGCCATATTCTACCGAATCGGTGGATAAGGATTATTTGAACGAAACAAAATAAGTAGTGAATTGGGCGTGTTTGGCCGAAGTAAGACTTACTAAATTTAGTAAGTCACTCACTATCCTTACAAAATTTTCGGCCGGGACACAAAATAAGTGCTAACTATGAAGGGTAGAAGTACTTCTACCCTCCACAGTTATGTGTTATGTTAAGCCAGTAAGTCTGTCCTGGCCGAAAAGCACTATAGTCAGCTTGTAAGATTTTAATTTTTTTATGCTAACTGGCTTACTACTAAGTTTAGTAAATACTTACTTCGGCCAAACACGCCAAACACACGAAAATTTTCAATCGATCACCATTTTATGAAAAATAAAAATAAAAAAAAATCAGCTACGTACAACGATAACTACATCCACATAGATTAATGAACTTGGATTTTTTTTTTCAGATAACCCGTTTTTGAGAAATTGATGCGACCATGAAGGGGATTGTTTTCAGTATTTATAGTGTTATGTCTATCTATATTGAAATTTTTGAATTTTCCTGCGCTAGATGAGAGATCTCTCAATGCGCAATAACCACCTTAGAATTAAAACGAATGCGTCTACCGGCCAACTTGCCAGAATTTCTGCAAGCAAAACAACGGGAGCATTTAAAAGGCGTGAATTACGCGTTCATTACTGCCTTTTAATTAATTTACACTGCACTTAGTTAAAGTGGATCCGCATAAAAAGAGTCTCGAGTCATTTTCCACTGGGAAAGCAATTATTTTTTTTTTTTTTCATATAACTCCGGTCCTCTAATTTAATATCAAGGCTCGAGAGCGCTATCCAGCTGCCCTAGGAGAACCGGGTCAGTAAAGAACAAAACTGTTAGAAGTAAGTATAAAATAAATTCGTGAAAGAGATCTCCGTAAAATTGAATTCAAATCTCTCAATATACTACCCTCGTTAGGTATTCTTTTAATTGTTAGTCCAAACCTCTACCGTTATTTCGCTACCGCTTTTGTAACGCCTTTGGATCTAAAAAAGGCAACGTTCATGTCTTTAAGACTGGATAATATATTTTTAATAAAAATGTATGTAAATATTATTGAATGTACACTGAAAGAAAAAAAAATTCCCGAAAATCACTCATTTTTTTCAGCCGTTATAGTGACTAACCTCCTTAGCTTCAAAAGTCGAATATTTTTTACAAAATCCGCGTAAGTCGACATCCTTTATGAATTCTACAACTTGAATTTTTTGACATCTCTCATAAAGTTTGACTTGAAGAGATTCTACTGTATTATGAGTAATTGCAGTATTCTTATGTGGAAAAAATACATACAGTGATAAAAAATTTAAGTTGATTCAAAAGAAAAAATCTAGAATCAAGAATACGATTTTAAAGAAAATAATTTTGTTGATTCAAGAGGAAAAATTCTTGAATCGAAAATAATATTTTGACTTAAGAATTTTTTCTCTTGACTCAAGAAAATTATTTCCTTTAAAATGGTACTCTTGGTTCAAGTTTTGTTTTCTTGAATCAAGTTAAATTTTTTATCAGTGTAGTGATGTTAATTTTTAAACGTATTTTATTCTACCCCATGTAAGAAAGTTCCGGATTTCCTCCGGTTATTCCTCTGAAAATCTTGAGGAATTCGTATTTTTAGACAAAAATGAGTTCCAGAGAAATTCCGCATGAAATCGTTGAGTCTAATTTTATTTTATCAAATAAATAAATAAATAAATAATTGTAGTAGTAAATTGAATAGAAATGCGACATTTTAAAATAAGTAAACATTTTTTCCGTCCTATATTTTATAGCGTTTCGATAAAAAAAAAAATTTTTCTATGAATTCGTGAAATTATGTAAAGTTAATTTATTCATTATGAACTTTAAGGATAATCAGGAGAATCCTGAGGAATCTCGGAGGAAACTCAGCGGAATTCTCCCAGTCTAGCTTTCAGTTTCAATTCCGCAAGGATTTTAGAAGAGTCCCGTAGAGTTTCCTTCGGAATTCCTCTGAACAATTCTGAGTAAATGTTTTCGTGATTTCACGAATCTACATACAAAACTATCAATTTTCTATCAAAAACCGACGAAAACTCTAGACGGAAAAACACTTTTCATTAAGCTTAAAATATCACATCGCGTTACTAATTTCAAAATATACACCCTTTTGGTTTTGTAAAACCAAAAGAGCGTATAAAAAAATTTCAATTTGACATAAGCCCTTTTGGCTTTAAAAGGGGGTACATGAATCAACCGTCAAAATAGCCTCTAATAACTTCAACAACAAAACATCGAAATTTTACGGAAAATTGATTTTTGAAAGTTAGATTGAAAATATTAACACATCCCAAATTTTTAGAATTATTAATTTTTTGTATTTTGTGGAAATTCATTGAAAAAATGTTAAATAACAATTTTAATTTAGCTCGTTAAAAAAATTAAAAATTTTTAAAATTAGGCTGTAATAGTATTTTAGTTTAATTTCCAAAAATCAATTTTTTCATTAGACCTCGACGTTTTAAGAAGCAATTTTAACTGTTTTTTCATATAAGCTCTTTTGGTTTTAAAACTTCTTTTTCTTCAAGCCAAAAGTACGAAGGACTACAAAAAATTTTCATTTGCGTTTTCGAACCAGATTCATACTTTTATACGTTTTCAACTTGATTTGAGAAAAAAAAGTTATTTTCATTTAATTTTTAACAATTGTTACTAGAGTTACTAGATCAAAATAATTTTCTATGATTTCATCTGGAATCTCTCTAGAACTCGTATTTGTGTCAGAATATGAATTCCTCAGGATTTTCGGCGGAATCACCGGAAAAGTTTCGCAAATTTTTTACATGGTACGTCATGGGTTTCTATTATTGAAAATTATTTAATCCGCGTTATTCTTGATCTGTAACATTATGATACTTAAAAATTGTTCTGCAATTTTAATCGTGAAGTTAAATTTCATATATTTCATTAATTGCACTTGCTGATCATATTTTTAATAAATTTCATTTATTCCTGAGTTACTTTCTTGATTTTTTTTAACTTTTTTCATGCCATTTCAGGATGAATTTTAAGGATTGATTTCCGGGAGAAGAAATGACCGAAGGGTGAATTTTAAGTTTATGCTAAATTAGTTACAATTATGAAATTAAATCTTAATTTTAACCTTGGGATTTTGTATTATATATTCACGTTTATTTATGGCTATGTGAAATACTTATTGTCATTGTCATTATATATTTAAAGTTGTTATTTGACCTGTTTCTTACCTTAATAGAAATCTATCAATTAATTATTTTATACTCTTCAAGTAAATGCTTAGATAAATAATAATTAATTTAAATAAGCGTTTTAAACTAGTGATAGTATTTAATCAAAACGATCCATTCCATTTTGCCATAAAAAGTTTGAATAAAATTTCTAATCACAGATTATTCAAATTAAGGCAGTGGTTTTGTTCTAGTTGTCCAAAAATTTTCTCGTGAATGGTAAGGATTGTAAGGATCATCTACCCAAAACTTTGGTTTTCTAAAATATGGTGATACCATTTTATCCAGCATCCATGACTGAGAAGCATTAGTAAATACATGCCGACGTAAACGTTTGATTCTCGCCTGCTTCTTTGTCCATATTTTTCTATGCCTTGCAGATCTGGTTCTAATCCATATACCCCTAAAAATCATCATGTAAGTTAACATTAATATTAAAGAAACAAAAAATGAAAAAGTTATGCTACTTACCAGTTTAATCGGAAAAAACGTTTTAACACTGTTCTCACTATTCCGCGTTTTCCACGACTTCTATTGTATCTAATAATACCTCGGGCTGGTGTCTGCAATTTTAGATTTGTATTTACAGAATTAAAAATGGGAAAAGTAGTCGTCGATCTAGAAAATAATAATTAAGATTAATAATTTTTATATTTCTAAGATAAATATTTTTAAAAATATTAATAAATGAATTACTTAGACCAACTACTATTAGTTTTTATGGGAAAATGCATCGACGAAATAAGTGTCGAGTTGAAACGTGGATGTTGAATTGCAGAATTATTGATAAGAGACTGAGGTTGAATAAATTTTATGTCATTTACAAATGACTTTGGTAAATTAATTAAACTATGTCCACTACCCTGAGTTAACTTGCCTGAAATCAAAGTTATAATTATTCAAACTGTTTGTTTTTTTTTTTTTTTAATGAAAAGTTAATTTTAATAAAAAAAATTCTTACTCTTTAAAGCATTACAAAAGAATCTTGAAATCATTTTATCTTTCTCTGTTGAAAAATTTTTATAAAATTTCTATTTTTTTTAGTATCATATAGATTGCCTCTTACCAACAACACAATAGTGAGGTTAGTAAAAAAAATTATTGAGAGAACGAGAGAAAAAATACCTCTCAAACTAAGCTAAATATGTAATTATGTTGTAGCTAATTATAAATAAGTATAAATGTTTATAATTAATTTTTATTATTAAATGCTATGTATTACTTTTAATAAAAAACTTGAAGCACGACTCAGCTAAGTTGTAGAGACTACTGACTACAACTGTAGAGCGCGAGGATGCAATTCGCCTACACCGGTGTAGTTGAGTACAAATATTAGCGCTCACGTGTTGATTTCTGTTACTAAAAAAAAAAATAATAATCCTTTTCCTTTTGTGTTATGTTATCAAGCCGTTGAAACTATTTTTTGTGCGAAAATTTAATAATTATTTTTTAATTTTAATTTGAAAAAAAAAAATCAAAGAATTTCTGATGAAAATAATTATAATACTAAAGTTAGCCGACGTTTTTAATTTTTTGATTTTTTTTTATTGAAAAAATTATAAAAAAAAATATTTTCAAAAAATTACACTTCCAATTTTTCTTTATTTTTTTATAATAATTTTTTCAATAAAAAAAAAATTGTAAAAATTTTTAGATGTCGGCTAATTTAATTTTCATTAATAATTTTATAATAATATCGTTAATTCATTAAATAAATTGGAAATTAGATTTATAACTAGAAGATATTTTAAATTAATAAAATAATTTTTAATTAAAAAGTATGATATTGTATCACAAAACCGTAATATGAAAGTTGGAAAAGAAAAAACGATAAATATGATCATTTGAAAATTCTATTTTCTTACAATAAATTATTCAATCTTTAATTTTATAAACAAAAAACATTAATCACATTAGAGTTAGCAGTCACTTGACAATTTTTTAATTTTATTAAACAAAAAAATTTCTTTCAAAAAATTATTAAAAAAAATTGCGTTTTTAATTTTTTTAATGTTCTACATGTCAATTTTTTTTTTCACTAATTTATTTCTTAAAAAAAATCTAAAAATTATTAAATATCTGCAACTTTAATTTTCATAAGATATGAACCGAAAAGGATAAGGAAAATAGATGAATTTATCGTAAACTTAAAAATGTACAAAATAACTATTAATTATTTTATTTATCGAAATAATTTTTAAGTATTAATTTGGGGTTGTGGATCATTTTTTGTTATAGGAGCAGTTTGTAATGCTTCAGAACTAGAGTCCTTTTTAGCAGCATTATCATCTTCATCATCTGGACTTTCCGGCTGTAGGACATAAGTTCTTTTGGCATGTTCTTTTTCCGGCATCCACGGTGGGATTATTTTAGCGTGAATTCTCCAAGTGCCGTATTGATTTGCTATATGCTTTTCAAAAACGACGTACTCGAGAACATCTTTTTTTACAATTTCACTTCCGTGAATAAGACGACCGAAACGATCGTAAACTGCTAAAGTCTGAAAAAAAAAATCTAAAATAACAATATTTCTTATTTTAAAAAACTAAAAAGAAGTGTATATCAAACCTGCTGATTGTGAAAACGGACAGTAACTTGAGCAAAAATATTTTCTTTACTTATTACGTTAGTACAACGGGCATGCACAACACGGGGAGGTTCCAATGATTCATTGAAGGTCCAATGTATGGTCTTATCAAGAGTATTGTGTTGAACTTCCTACATATAAATAAAAAATTTTCTAATAAAGAGTAAAATTAAAAATTTAATCTTAAAGTGCTTTAAACTAACTAATACAATTTCATAGTAAACTGAATGATAGTTTAGAAATATTTATATACTAACCGGATGAGCTCTCTCAGTGACATACAAGCGCAGTTCCTCTTTATCTTTCCTGGAAAATATATATTTTTTTTTTACAAAGTGAAAATAGCTATTGGAAAAAAGATCAAATTAAAAGTGAATATAAAGAGGTATGGGCCAGAATGAGATGCGGAAATCTGTGGAGAAGTGGGAAAAAAGGGCAAAATAATTGGGAGTGCAAAATATGTAAGAAAGAAGATGAGACATTGATGCACATACTAAACTGTATGGAGATAAAAGAAAAAATAAGTGAAAAAGGGCAACAAGCAAGTGGATAAACGAACTAGAGGGGGAATTAACAAGGAAAAAATTACTGGCAATCTTAAAAGGGGAAAATAAATAGGGAGCTGTGTATATGTTGGGGAAATTGAAAGACTATTTAAAGAAAATGAGTATTACAATATTGAATGCCAGAAAAAGGCTGTCATTAATATACAGAGATAGATACTAGGTGAATATAAGTATGAAATAGTATAAATAATATTGTAATGCGACTGTGATATGAAGGATGAGATGTGTCAAAAGTTAAAAGAGAGTGTAAACAGTTTAAAATTAAACCAAAGTTAGTGTATATACAAATGTAAATAATCGAATTAAGATATAAGATAGTTTTGTTAAACACAATATGTGATACGAATAAAAACGATATTCTATTCTTCTATATATTTTTTTTTAAATAAATTAGTCGTGTGATTTATTTTACACTAACAAAATTATGATGTATTAATATATATTAAAATAGAAGATCATTACTGATTCAATATTAAATTAATTAACATCAATATTAAAAAAATAATGGCAGCTATTATTTATCAATACTTACTTTGCCATTGCTTCATGTGCTTTTAAATAAATTTGTTGAGATTCATCTTCGAATTCTCCAATTGAAAATTCTTCGTCAAATGTTCGAATTTTCCTTACTGCTAAATAAGATGTACCTTTTTTTTTCATAAAGTCAGCTTTTTGTTTGACACCCTGTAAATTCACATTAAATGATTTATTACAAAATTTAATCTAAATTATCTACACCAATATTACAAAAAGGAAAGATTTGATTGTTTGTTTGTTTGTTTGCATTGAATAAGCTCCGAAACTACTGAACCGATTTGAAAAATTCTTTCACTGTTGGGAAGCTACATTATCCCTGGGTGACATAGGCTCTATTATATTTTCAAAAAAATTAAGGATCCTTACTAAAACTCCAATTTTTGTTAAATACCCGTACGAAACCGGGACGGATTGCTAGTCAATTATAAATGAATAAATCTTAAACCCTAAAATTTTATGACGTTATATTTAAAATCTGATAATTTTCTGAATTTTACTGAACGAATAAATTACAATAAATGAAATTTTTTAAAACTTTATATGTTTGCGAAAGTCAAGAATTGATCAGACACCTGCTGATTTCAATACAAAAAATAGTTTCATAAATTCTAAGCTCTTACCGTAGTTGTTATAATGGAAAATTTACCATCACCTTCTGGTGGAACGTACGGCTCGAAAATAGAACCGGTACAACCTATAAAGATTGGTTTTTCAATCCAAGGTCGTGAAGGCAACAGACCTTGTTCTTTGAACTTGGCTTTCATTTTCTCCTGTGATACGTTTTCATCATATTCATTGAAATCAGGTAATTTAACTTTAATAACTTTTTCTTTCCTAAATTGTTTAAATTTTGGATTCCAATGCTTCGTATGACGATACTTTATTTGGTTTAATATGATTGACTTATTTGTTACTGATAAAAGCAGCGATGAATTATTCTGTAAAAATTTATAAAAAATTTAATGAAACTGCTGATAGTTGATTCATAATGAATTATTTAACTTACCGGTCTAACTCCAAAAATATAATTGAACGCACGAGATACTAAATTAGACATCTTAATAATAAAATATATTTTAATTTTTTTTGAATGAATAAAATTCTAATAATTCTTATTGTTGATACTATGATTGTGATAAATAATTAACATCATTCAAGATTTACTTATAGATAAATGAAAATTTCGTACAATTGTTAATCTCAATACAATAATACACGATGTAATAAGTAAATAAAAATTAAAATTTGAGAACCTTTTCTCTGCTTACTTGAAGTTAGTCGTATATGACAAATTCAAAGCTACTAACAAACTAACAATACTTTCAGCGCGAAGCTTTTCTTTTTCTGAGACCAGTTTATTTAGTTTGCTTTCTTATCAATAGGGTGAGTTTCAACACACCGGATTACCGCCAAATTGAAAATTTATGATTAATTATGTGAATTAATGATTACCAAATAAAAATACATTACATTTACTGCTCAATATTTTGATTTTAATAATTTTTGCAATTTTAGTTTTATAAAGTTAGATTGTGATAAATTAAAATGTTGTTTTATTGTTAACTCAGCTAACTAATTTGAATTTAAAAATTAATGATTATTTATAATAACTTTCGTCAATTGTAGTTCCAATATATTTATTTTGTACTTTATTTTATAAGTATAATAAATGATTGACGGAGAAAAATTGATTATTTAATGATTTTATTTATTTATTTATTATTAGAATAGACGCCAATCGGCAATGTACATAGATTATTTAATATACTTAAGATTATTATTAATGATTTGATGGCTATTGAATTTGTAATAATAATAATAATTATTGAAATTATTATAATAACAATAATAATAAATGCTAGCTGGTTGATATTAAATTTTTGACTTTGGAGGTGAAACTTGAGATTGAGTCCATGAAGAAATCGATGTCTGAGCTATATTTATTGACTAGGTTTGATATTCTGTTTTTAGGTCCATGATAGACATAGTTTTTTTATGTTTTCGTGCTACTTAGTAGTCTAGTAGATCTTAAGCCTGATTTTATTACAATTTTGTTCGTTTTGGGGAAAAATCCCATAAGTCAACCAACTTCAAATTCCTTATTATTATAGTAATGAACAATTAAATTTTTTTTTATGCTCGAATCTTTTTTTTAGGAATGCTAACATTATTATTATTCATCATTGATTAATGATGTTAATGCAAACTTAACCTGGAAAAATGTTTTTTGCTTCTCCTGAAATATAAGTGTTTTGAACTACAACAAAACACGTATTATATTCCGTGCCGATTACACGGCATCCCTATGAGAGACCTGTTTGTTTTTTGCTGGTGATCACCTCAATGCTATGTGATGCTGAAATTAACTTAATTATAGTTACTTATTTCTAGCTAATGGTCTAGGCTTTAAGGAAGAGCCAGGGAATTCGTTGTGTGCTAGTTTATTAGAGTCTCACTCTACAATAAGGTTATAATGTTTTAATAGTATATTTCCTTTTAGGTTAATGTTTCCTAAATCTAAGTTATGAATTGATAACAAAAATAAATAAAGTTTAGATAAGTTTCAATACCAGAGATCAGTTCCGTCTTGCACTCTCTCTCTCTCTCTCTCTACTCGCCTAGGTAGGCCTGAAATTGCTCGCCAGTGAGATCGCTGGTGTTTCTTCCTCCCTGGTAACCTGCCTGCAGTAGTGTCTTGCGAATGTCTCCGAACACTTCCAGTTGCCTCTGTCTAATATCTCCTGCACCGGCATATCATCGATCCACCCTCTGGATGCAACTGCAGCTCGGATGCTACCTGGTGACGCATCGATGCCTGCGTCCTTTAACACCGAGCGAATCCAGCCCGATATTACAGTCTGCCAGACCGCCTTGACTGGCCCCACTAATGTTATGAAAAGTTCCTCCAGGTTACTACCCTCACGTCTTCTTTCTGATAGCTTTATCCAGGCTCTGGTCCACGTTACTGGGCAAATCCTAATGTTACTATTCTTGGATAGCCTCCAACCAGATTGCCTGAAGCTCGCCCTGTCCGTCTTCGACCCGAAGGCGGGCCACAGGGTGATTTCTTCTCCCAGGTTAGTCACGTGCTCCTTCGAGATTCTTAATTGAGTCAAATCCTGAAGCCAATAATAATATAGTCGCTGTTCTTCGTGCTACCTCAAACAAGGTTAACTCTGGAATTTCGGCGGTTAACCACTTGAACAGGACTCCGGTGTCCCATACTGACTCCTTTATCTCCCTAGGTCTAGCAATGGAGATGGCCTTCAAAGCCTGGCGAACCAGGAAATCTGATGAGAGGTCCGTGCTCTGCCCTCCTGAGCAAAATGTCGCAATTGCAGATTTGTGTACTAGGATCGTACTGTACGCTAGACCCTCCTCTAAGTGGAGACCTGCAAGAAATCTCGCTAGGTCCGGTCCTCTCGGAGAACCAGGGTCTAAGTTGTTCTTCTGGCACCAGGTGATCCATCTGTTGAGTGGTGCTCTGTATGTCGACAGTGTTGAAGTTCTCCAGCTAGATCTAATCAGATCTCTTTCCTGGGGCTTCCAGTCTTTGGTAGCTGACCTCCACACCCAATCCTCCACACCTGCAGAGTAAGCTGCTCCACCTGTGGAGGTGGGTTGCCCGTTGTCAGGTCTATCAGTACCCTCTCTAGATTCTTGATCGTTATAGGAGGTTCTACACTCCTGCTGGCTAGGTCCGATAGCCAGAAAGTCCTCTCCCACCTGGGAGCTACTAGTAGGAACTGGCCCTGGCACTTGTTCAGGTGCGCTAGTACCCGTGGAATTAAGCTGGGCGGAGGAAACAGCCAAGCGAGGTTGAAGTCCCATACCTGACTGAAGGCATCTGTAAATGCTGTCGATCGATCTCTGCAGTCTAGCGATACGTAAGTTTTGACCACTGCGGACTCGGCCGAGGCGAATAGATCTATTTCTGGTGTTCCCCATTGTCTGAAGATCCCCTCGGTAGCCTCTGGTAAGAGGTGGCACTCGGGTAATGCCCTTTTTCTCGAGAGTCGGTCCGCGGTGCCGTTGTATCTTCCTGGAAGGTAATACGCTGACAGCATTATCTGGAGCTCGTCGACCAGGGAGAGAAGCTGGTACGTGAGGCTGTATAGCTCCAATGACCTGGTCCCCCCCCTCCTTTCGGATGTAGGAAACCACCGTGCGATTGTCCGACTGCAGGAGGATGTGGGCTCCTCTCAGGCATTGACCCTGCTGGGCCAGCGCCTGGTATACCGCTAGCATCTCCTTCTATACCGGTGCGAAAATTATCGCGCTTGGAAGTTCTGCTTGAACTCGCGTTACCGTGCCTGCTACTGCTGTGCGAAGGCTCCTTTAGCCATGTCTGGGCACCACCTAAAGACGTAATTAATGTTGACAGGTTCTCCTTGCCAAAGAGGTGTTCCGAGCTAGGCGGAATTCTGCGTAAGGCCCCCTGCACCTGCTTATTAGGTGCCTCTGTTAATATCCTCTCACGTCTTGCCTCGATGCATGAAGCTCTTTTGCCGCAAATGATCTGCAACATCTTGCAGTGTGTTTTGTAAAATGCTGCTCTGTGTTAAAATCGCATTCGACAGGCCTGCCAGGACCCGCTCTGTTGAGAGCACTGGATCTTTAGCCCTATCCAAGTAACAGAGCTCCTCGTTCACCTTTAATTCTGAAAATCCTGGAGACGCTAAGAACTCTTTTTAAGTATTAGAATACCTGATTTCCTTCCAATCTGGAAGACCAAATCTCTGAAGATCACACAGAGTTTTCAGGCTCTCGGGATCTGCCTGTTGCACTAGCTTCTTCGCATCGACCTCGGTCTTGCATTGTCCTAAGTTCAGGACGCTTGTCTGTGGGGCTGTCGCAGGCATGCTCACGACTGGAGGCTCAGGTGCGTTTTGTTTCAGCAACAAAAGATCGGAAAGTAACTCTACCTTCTCATGTAGCGCCCTTATCTCTCTGGTTGTGTCCGAGAAACGACGACGCTTGCGAGGAAGAAGAGGAGGAAGAGAAAGTGCTCTTGAACGCCCTGAGTCACTACTGCCACTACTGTCTTCCTCTCGATGTCGTTTCAGCGTATGACCGCCATTACTGCCGCCATTCTCTAGCTGTTCCTCTGTATGATCCGACATACTGCTTATCTAGGTATTTGTCACGTTAATAATATTCCTTAGCAATTGCTGCCTACTTTAATCTTCTTTTTATTTAATTTACGCCGAGTTATGATTAAAATTCGGTTCAACTTATTTGGTTTATTCGTAATAACAAAAATGGACGACCTTCGCGGTCGAAAATACTCAACGCTATGACGAGAGACGCGGGCAAGCCCGCGCTTGTTGGTGATCACGGGAGGGGAAGAGCAAGAGGGGAGATGAACTACAGCAAAACTCCAGCAGAGGGCACGTAAGTAGGACGACTTTGGGGCCAATACACAACAGCTTCTCTCATAGGGATGCCGTGTAATCTGTGTAATCGGCACGGAGGGAGGAATGTAATATAACAATTCCTAAAAAAAATTTTTTTTTTCACAACACTAAACCCTAACAACTACTACAACTACACGTGTAACATCTAACTTGATCTAACCTTGAATTGGATTGTTTTTGTTTATAAACTGGTCTTACTGACACCTAGCGGACAGCAGAAATAACAAAAAAATAAACTTGATTGATTAAATAATATTATGTTTATTATTTAGTTATCTGATAATTGTATTCTCAAAATGTTATACCGGGCTTAAAGTTCACCAGTGTAGGTTTAAGCTTGCATTGATTCATTCAAATTAATTGGTGAGTATGATTATGAATCAGATTTATCCTGACATTCCAAATATATACCATATATTCAAACTAAAATAGTCTTTAGAATTTATTTATTGACTAACTTATTTCCGATCTAATTTGCGCATTGAAATTCCGTAGAAAAATTGTCTTCTGTGGTGGTCAATAAAATAAAATATAATGGCAGAATCAGAGAATATATTTTTATTCGTTCCTAATTTAATTGGTAAGTACTAAAATTCAACGATTTTGTTATTTAAATAAATTTAATATCAATTGTTAAATGAAAACTTATTGGTAGTATATTATATGAGCACTTGGTGGTTTTCATATATTCAATAAGCCGTGAATTATTATTCTAGTATTTAATGAACATTTATCGTTATTAAATTATAATCGATCTGGTTTTAGGTTTTGCAAGAGTAATACTTGCTGTTATATCATTTTATTTTATGCCAACAAATTATGTTATTGCTATTTGGTGCTATGTAATTAGCGCACTATTGGATGCCGTCGATGGTCATGCAGCCAGATATTTTAATCAAAGCACTAAATTTGGTGGCATGCTTGATCAACTGACTGATCGAGTAGGAACAATGTGTCTTCTGGTCAACCTTTCTATGTTTTATCCCGCTTATGCTTTCTGGTTCCAATTAAGTATGGCTATTGATATAGCTTGTCATTGGATATATTTGCATACGTAAGTGAATCTATTTTGTTCCAGATTGTAAGAACTTAGTATATCCCAAATGCAAAAACGGTTGAGTGAATTATCAAACGTCGGTTCATTTATTAAACTACTTTATGCAAAGTTTTTTAATTTTTTTTTACTTATTTATATTCTTCTTATCAGTTAGTTATCATCGGGCATATTTAAATATCTTATCTGTTAAAATAGTTTCGGTAGAAAGTTTTCTATACTGTGCATTTGATATAAGACTGTTGTAGCTTAAAAACAAACAATTGTGTATGGAAACTAATGATAATCGGAAATATTTTACAAATATCGACTATTATGTTTTTAGAAGATCTTGAACTAAGTTTTAACATAATATAAATCAACCTTCGTATAATTGCTACATATTTTTTAAGAAAGAAATTTCTAAAATTATGTAATGTGTTTAATTTTTTTTTTTTTTTTTTCGATAAGTAACTGATATAAAAAGACGTAAAAATACATCTCAAACTTATACATATATGTACAGAATAAAAATACTATCAAACGTCTTTCACGATAAATACAATTAAATTGCAATGTTCGATTTAGGCTGGATTTATTTAGAGCGTTTAAAATATAAATAAACATATATTTAGTCAGAAATTAATGACCTATAGTAATTCAATTTTATGTATTATTATTAGTCCACAAATAATTCATTATCGCAATCTTAAGAATTATTTTCCTTTTAATCAAAATACGATCATTTCTCGGGAAAACTGATTTGAGCCTGTACATTTTTTTAGTATCATGCAAAAATTAAGAAAAAAAATTTTTTCATCTATCTGTGTGACAGAGATAGAACATTAGATTATTTTTTCATTGTTTTATAATTATTTATCTGAATAATTTATATTTGTTCACAGGACAATTTTACAAGGAAAAGCGAGCCATAAATTTATTGACATGTCAGAGAATCCAATTATGAATATTTATTACACAAATCGTCTAGTTTTGTTTCTCATGTGTGCTGGAAATGAAGCATTTTACGCAACATTATATGTTTTGCATTTCACCGAAGGACCCATGAGTAAGCATATTTAATACTTTAAAAAAATTAGCGAAATAAATTTTTAGCGGTCTCTTGCTTCCATAGTTTACATTAATGGTCTCTCTAAAGTTAACGTATTTCTGAATCTTTTAAAGTTTCGGCTTAATTTGGCGATCATTCAAAATTTTTTTTAAATTAATATTTTCAAATATTCAAGTCCCGAGAAATCATGATTTATAAAGATCATTAAAAAATTATAAAATATTGATAATTAAGTATTCTGATGAAATAAGGATGCTGAATATCACTATTTGATTCCAGAGTATCGTGTTGCTCAGAAAGACTATTTATTAAGGGTTAAAATATTTAGAATAATTTACTTACATATTTTTTTTTTTGCAGTACTCGGATTGAGTTTATTCAAAATAATGTTGTTCATATCAGCACCAGTAGCAATAGTAAAATCATGCATCTCAATACTTCACGGATATGTTGCCGCTATCAATCTCAGTATAATTGATGTTAAAGAACGTCAAGGATTACAAAAAACAAAATAATTCATAATTTAGATTTTTTTTTTTAATTTTAAATTGTTATTTAGAATATTTTATTTGCGATAATCAAAGAGTTGTTAATTATTTTATTTAATATTTAAGTTATCTATTGATGTATAGAATTTTTTTATATCCTATTTAAATTTGTTGATTTAAAAAAATTATCAGACTGTTATAACTTCTTACTAATTTCCGGTTAATTTTTGCCAATCAGTTATTATATAGTTAAAATATTTACTTAATTTTAATAATTTTTGTGACTTATCAAGTAAATCAATAAATTAGTATGAACCTATATTTTCATACAACTTACTGAGACTTTTACGATATGAGGAATTAATCGTTTCATTGCTACTTCCATAATATAAACTATGATTATAAATAATAAAAATAATTATTATTTATTAATAGTCATTGACTTGAAAAAAAAGTTTACTTTTGTTGAAATTATCTCGTAATATATTATTTTATTATTCAAAATATCAATATACTTATTAACTTTTCAAACGAATGAATTGATCAACAAATACATATAGTGCATCACTTAATAAAATTAAGAACCCAGAGCTTTAATTCATTTTTTGAATTGACTGTATGATGATTGAGCATGAATTATTAATTAATATCCGAATGAATGAACATTAGTGACGAAAATAGTAAACGATATATAGACTACTTATATATTTATTTATACTTATTGAAAAGTTCAAAGTCTCTCGTTGACTCTGATTAGTTGTTTGTTTATAGAATAAAATTATTTAAAAATATTTGTTATTTTTTTTTTATCAAAACTATTAAAAATTGCTGGAAATAAAAAAAATTAATATTTAAATGTAGAATAGAAAAAAATGAAAAAATATAAGATAAATTCTATTGAAAATGTTCTCTATTAACAGTATTTTTCTGATACCTATAAAAGAGTTTTATTCTATGTAAAAATATATAATATTTAATGTGAAAGATAATGAAATATAATTTGGTGTTCATTTTGTCTAGACTTACGTCGAAAACTAATTCACAATAATTATTATAATTGTAAAATGGACTCTATATGTTTATGTATTGATATTTTTTGTCATAACTTGTAGATTTATTAGTTAAATGTCAATTAATTTATTAAAAAAAAAAAAAAAAAAAAAAAAAAAAACCGGTACCAAAAAGTAGTAAGCAGTTATTTTCATAAAGATATTTTATTTGAGCTTCCACTTTTTAATCATTCCTTTGACTTATGTATTATAGAGTGTATATTGAAGAATAAATCATTCATTATCGATAATATGTGTTTATAAATCTTTTGTAGTAGTACAAAATTAAAATAAAAAATTCATAGACTATTCACAATAAAAAGGTAACCAAAAAGTAGTAAGCAGTTATTTTCATAAAGATATTTTATTTGAGCTTCCACTTTTTAATCATTCCTTTGACTTATGTATTATAGAGTGTATATTGAAGAATAAATCATTCATTATCGATAATATGTGTTTATAAATCTTTTGTAGTAGTACAAAATTAAAATAAAAAATTCATAGACTATTCACAATAAAAATATATACTTAAGTTTTTGAAGAAAATGCTCGATTTTTTGTATAATTTAATATCCTTTGATAAAAGGAAACTAACATCAAGATGAAAACTAACAATAATTTTGTCTAAGTTTATGGCCAATATTTATTCTTATTTATTGTAAAAACTAAAAAAAGAAACAAAAAGTGTATTATGAAGTCGCTTCCACCTTCGTTTCTTCCTTTTCATCTTCTTCATTTTCTTCTTCATCGCGATTGAGATCCATTTTTTGACCAATTTTACTGCGAGCTATCTCTCCGAGCCAAAGTAACATTCTATTATTTCATGTTAAGGATGTATTAGTTAAGATCTTTTAATTTGTTTAAAATTAAAAAAAGTTGTTCGATTACAGGGTCTAGACAAAAATATCTTGCCATAAGTACCCTTGGATAAAATTTTCGTACGAAAATATACTTTCACGTCCATATGACAACGATATTTTTAACATGATTTAAACAAAATATTTTTAGCAGGATATTTTTGCAAAGGTTCTTTAGTTATGACTGACGAATCATGAGTTATGACATTTATTAGTCTTTTAAGTGGCTTCTGAAAAAATTGAGACATAACTATAAAACTTTATAGAAATTTTACTATATAAATGGAAAACATAATTGTAAAAAGTAAAAATGAAGTGTCGGGTGGGACTTGCTGAGGTCCAATATGAGAAATAGAAAAAGCGTAGAGCTAGGAGAAAAAGAAGAATCAGCCTTGTAAAAACCGAGAGGTGTACAAGTAAAGCACAATAATAATACTATATAAATGTATCAATTTCTAATTTCTCCTCTTCATTAAGTTCGTTGTTAAAAAATAGCATATAAAATGTTAATATTATTTTAAATATTAAAAAGGATACGATTGATTTTCGATTTCAGTTTCTTCAATATGTCGCAAAATAAAATCTTCGTGAAATTTCTGAATTTGACTTTCACATTCATCCCACTCTAATTTTTCGTGAAGTCCATCGGATCCATATCTTTTATTATAAGTGTCATAATGAACCTATAGAAAAATATATTGAGTTAAATAAATGGAAACATGTAAAGTAAAAATCTATAAGTAAAGAAAAAATTCAAGTGAAGATTGGATTAGGTCTCAGAAAAGGTGACCCCTAATATTAATTAAAAAAAAAAAAACAATATTGAAAACTTAAAAATATTTTTAGCAAAAAGAAATTATAATAATCTCAACTTACATGATTAAGAACTAATCCTAAACTTGGAGCAGTAGGAACTTCACGTTTTTCGGGCTTAAAACATTCTTCTAAAGTTTCTTCTGAAATAAGATTTCTTACTACACCAATTGCTAGTGCCATCATTTTCCTGATCTGATGAAGCATAAAACTTTGTCCTTTTATTAAAATTGTTGCAAATTCAATATTGTTTGTCACATGAGTTTCTAAACAATGACATTTAATAATGTATCTCATAGCCCTTGGATCAAACGGTCTCCTAAAAAATACAATTAAATTTTCTATAAATCGTTTAAAAAAAAAAATAATAATCATCTACATAATTAATTTTTGAAGTAGTTATAAATTTATTCGAATTTCATGATAAACGTCATTTGTTTATTTATTTTTTTTTTGTACATGTGAATGTGTTTATAAGTCAAAAATTAATTCCATATAATTACGAGACTAAGAAAAATTTTGTAACGGGTATATCTTTATCGTAAATTGGGTTTGATATTTTTTCAGCGATAGTCATTTATGATTTAAGTAATTGAGAGAGTAAGGAAAATTTGGTGACGAGCATATTATTATTTTTATAAAAATTTTTATAGTTTAATTTAGTATCATCAGAAAAGTTTTGATAAGAATTTGACTTTTCTTGGTTTTATATATTCATATATTCTTCAGTGATAGTCAATTTTATGTCAAGTTTTTGGAGAAGTATTTAATAGTTTGTTGGTTCTATAAATTTTTTCCGTCACAATTGTCCATTAAATTATTCGTAATTGATTCTGTCATATGATTATTATTTTTTTAATTTATTTAAAAAGTATCCAAACTATGTATAGTGTAATTATAAATATCAAAAAATCATTAAGCCAAAATTTTCTTATTCATAATCGGTAAATCTCTACAGCCGCATAGTAACTGCAGCTTGCTAGTAATAACTATTGTTATTAAAAGTAGAAGTATAAAAAAATCCAACTTACACTTTAGATGTGAAATTATGGAAATTATGCGTTCCGCAATATAATTGTAAAACCGAATTTACTTTTTCAAGTAACTCGGGTGTCATGCGAAAATCAGTGAATGGTTTTCCGTCAATTACTGAAAGTTTTTCAATTCGTTTCTGAATATCTTCGTCAGTTGGAGTTATAGCGACAATCGAAGGATCGTCGGGTGCAAATGCAAAAGTTGGAAGAGTATAAGTATAAGTCCTCGCATTACACTGTCCTTTACTATTAAATCCTTTTGTGACTCTTTTTAAACCAAAAACTCGTATTTGTTTTGGTAAATACTTATTTATATCTTCTATTTTAGAATGTTCAGCTGCAAATATGAGTTATAGAAAGCATAAATAACAATTATTCACTTAGAAATATACAAATAAAAATTCTCTACGTACGTAATTTTACAGAACAAATTTGTCGAGTCGCAGATACTCCCTTATCGGTTCTCGCAGCTCTCTGAAAATGAGTGTATTGAATTGTTTCAAACGACTCTTGGTCAATCAAATCAGCTTTAAGCAATGCTGTGAATAGATCTTCTTCGATCGTTTTCATGTTGGGATTTCTTTGCATGCCATAATAATCTTTACCTAAGTATCCTAGTAATAAGGCAAAATTCCGTTTTTTTACCCGTTCAGTTTTTTTCATTTTTTTCGAATCTTCATTATTGTCATTATCTTCTATCTGTCTTTTTTTATTTTCTTGAACACTTTCATCAGTTGGTTTCACAGTACTTTCATTGGGAAACATTTTACTTGCGTGACTGGTACCTAGAAAAATTGTTTAAAACATAAATATCATAATAAATGTTCAAAATGTAGAACTTAATGTTAAATTACTTACAAAATGAGTAGAGTTTATTTGATTCAAATTTTTTTAATATACGAAACATTGATCGACTGTATTTTTCGAAATTTAAAATGTTAACTATTTATTTAAATATATTTAGTATAATTTTAAATTAAATTTTTATGATCTACATCATATTAAATTAATAAGTAAATAAACATTTATATTCTAACCTTTATTAAATTTAACTTTATATCTTGGAGCACGTTGAAAATGAACTGGAATATAAAACTTGGCAATTGATTGGAATATTTGGAATAAATGAAACTGAAAATTTTTATGATGCTGAAGTTAGCTGACAACTGGCAATTTTTTTTTAATTTTTATAAAAAATCAATTCGAATAAAAAAATGCTTTAAAAAATTTCCACTAATAATTTTTTTTAATTTTTACATGGGGAATTTTTTTATTAATTTTTTTTTTTTTTTTTTTTTCAATTAATCTCAGTGTCTTAAATTTTTTGCCACTTGCTAATTAACTATAATAAATTACGATTCCGCTAGAGCGGCTGTTCTTTTTTAAATTACTGAATGAGAACCATTGAGCAGTTCAAAAATTAATTTTAAAATTGCCCATCAGATGTCTTACCAGTTTTACCACCTGAGCGGAATGTTTATTATTAGTTCAGTGATTGATATCAAAACTACAAAACTAATGAATCATACCGTAAGTTATTCTTATATTTGTGATTTTATTATATTTACAAATTAATTGTTGACAAATTTAATAAAATTATTACAGGGAGAATAATATAATTATCAACAAAATGATTTCGTCAAATTCAAACGATGTTACTCCGCTGCCTACTCAAAATATGCCTGACTCTTGGTTTAAAGATGAACAAATGAATGCAATGTTTGCAGAATTTCGAAATCGTTCTGTCAACCCTCAGGATTGGGATTCTAAATATAAATTTTGGCAAGAATTGATATCAAAATGGTTAAGTTTTAATAATAAATGTTGTTTCACGATAATTGATCTTAAATCGACTTTCAAAAGAAAAGGATGTACACCACTGTGTTTGAATACTGTTATTGAAGAATTATACAGAAATCGGGAAATAGTTACGGAAAATGAATTTTTACAAGATCAAAAAACTTGGGGATCCTGGTTAGTGGACACTGTTGTGAAAAAACCAGTTGTTTGGTCTTTTTCGAAGCTCAAAAATTATTTTGTAACAAATGTTCCTGTCAATTCGGAGACTCGATATGTTCACTTAAAAACGGTAAAAGGATTAGCAGAAACAATACTCAGTTTGTCATCTGATAAAAAACCAATAATTTTAACAGTTCAACAAATAACTGAAAAATGTAGGATAGCTTACAATAATAACAATTTGTCTGAAGAAAATGTAAAACTAGCTTTAATTTGGATTGGAAGATTAAAAAGTAGCCAATTAAGTAATAGGAACAATAATGCTTGGAATAGTCTTTTAAAAATTTCTCCTGATAGTATCAGTAATTTAACAGAATCTGAAGAAGGTTTATATAAAATACAAGAAAGCGAAAAAGTTATTTTAAAACGGATTGAGGAATTAGAAATTGAACGTAATGACGTTTTAGCTAAAGTTAAATCTTACATCAATAGGGGTTTGAAAGATGTAGCTAAAACTTTTTTGAGAAGAAAACACGAACTTGATAAAAGAATTGAAAAACATGCAATGACCTTGCAAAATTTACAGACTTTGATTACAAGTATCTCTGATGCACATTCTAATACTGAGGTACTCGATGCATACAAAAAAGGTAGTGAAATATTGAAAAATTGTGAAAAAGCTGGATTATCTGAGATTAATGCTCGAGATACTATGGATGATGTGCGTGAGGTAAGATATAAATTATATATTTATCCAATCAAATTTTTCAACCATTGTGAAGTACTTGTTATTAAATTAATACACGTTAAGCTCAAAATTTTATAATTTTTCATAATATTTCGTGATTTAATTTTGTGGTTCCGAGGAAAATTACATTTATTTTGAAATTTTTAATGAAAAATTGACTTGTTACTTTGTACACTTGTTTTATTTAATTTGTAATTATTTCAGATAATGGAAGAATTTGATGAAATGCAAAAATCACTAACGGAGCCCATAAAACTCAATGAATCGGATGATGAATTAGAGAAAGAATTAGACGACTTATTACATTCTGATTCTCCGGATAAATCTTTACCACCAGTGCCTTCTTCTGAAATTCCAGAACTTGAAAAAAGATTGTCTGATTTACGTTTGCCAGGTTTGTATTTTTTTGACTAAAGATTAAATTTTCAATTATTTGCACTATAAGGAAATTCATATTAAAAATGAAGGAAAAATATATACTAAAAATATAAGAACAATCAGTTGATTATCGACTGATGTCGACAATATTGATGAAAAAATTTTTTTGAACCAATAATGAAATAAAATTAAAAAATTGATTTTTCAGTTTTTTAATTAATACAAAACCCGAATGAGAAAGAAAATTACAATTTTTCCCCATATAGCTCAGCAGAGATTGCCGAGAAAAAAAAACTTTATTAAAGACCTGATGCCTTTACTTTGCTTCGGACAGAGTTTTAAAAAATAGAATTTTCAGTTATTGTTTAGATGTAAAGCTCTACCATTTTTCGGCTATAAAAAATTGAAAATCGATTTGTTAACAACTTTTTTTTCACATCGTTCTTTACAGCAGATTTATAAATCATTTAATAAGTATTAAAAAAAATTCTATATTTTTATTTTATTTTGCAGTTTGAAAATCTTAAATATACCTTCTTATCTTGTTATTCAATGAAACTTTTGAAGGATCTATTTGTGAGTCCCATACTATTACTTTCTTTAACGAGCGTGAATAAACAAAAAAAAAAAAAAAAAAATATCAAAAAAGCATTAGAAAACTTTTTACGAATTTTTGAAAATATTGTAAATCTTAACGTTTGACAATTTAGAGATGATAAGATAATTTTCCAATATTTTTACATAATATTTCATACTCTGCATTAAAAATAGAATAATTAAAAAAAAAGGATTTATGATTATTTTAATTGTTCAAAATTTCGCAATTTTGTGGTATCTGAAATCTTCCGTGAAGACAAACAAAATATGAAGAAAAAAAAATTAAAAACATTCCGCAGCCGGAATGAAAGTTAATTCCTAAGTAACCCAATATTTACAGAATCATTGAAACGATTGCAATACTAAATTTTCATGAAATAGATGGAGCAAAAGATAATTTTTGGTCTGGAAAAAAAAGAAGATGTGAAATAAAAAATTATTTAATTCATGATGCAGTTTACAGAATCTCGATAAACGATTTAATTGAAAAGTAATTTGAAGAAGAATCAGTAAAAATGTATATTTTTGCCGCTTTCATAATTTTGAAAGGCTATATCAAAACTTTATGACCCAATCGGTGGAGCCCTACATAAAAACAATTACCGAATTTTCGTATTATACTTTGTAGTTTTGAGTTTTCAATATTGTTAATTAATTTCAATAAAAAATTATTTTACTATTTGAGCAATAACAACATTTTTAACTATTAATATTTTTCTATTTATAGAGTTTCCTTCGCCTCCTGAAACAAAATCTTTCACGAGTCAAGAAGTCAAGGATTTTCTTTGAAAAAATGACAATTGTTTTGAAGTTAAAATCTGTGAAATTCATCTATAAGGCATCTATAAGGTATGAATTATGTGTTTTCTTGTGCGTGTATATCTTCGACTCGTTATAAAGACCAATGTGCTTGATGCATAATAACTAAAGTAATTTACTAATAACTATTTTTTATACAAATATGTTCGATTATTTAATATTAATACAGTATACAGATTAATTAATTAACTAGATGAAGATTTATAATTTATTTATTGAGCCAAAAAATAAAATTTCAAATTCAAACAATGTACTTTTAATACCTCCTTACTGTAAAAAAAAAAAAAAAATAGTATTTTAAAAAAGCCTCCGTGAAAAATCAGACGCTGTGTCACATGGTGGAATATTTTTATGAGTTTCGAGCTTGAAAATAATGTCTTGTATCCACGACATATGGCTTGAAATTTTGGTATACAGTGAATAAAGATTATTGTTACAAACTGGAATGCCATCGGATATTTTTGAACCAATGCTCACACTGACAATCCCGCGGAGATACCACAGTCCTTGATTATTGAAAACTAAACCGCCTCCACTGTCTCCATTACAAACCGATGACCCTATTACAAAAAATTATTATTTGAGTACCTAATAGAATACGATGAAAAGATAATTTATTAATTATTAAGGGGAAGAGAGTTTCATACCGTTTGTATATCCAGCACAAAATTTATCAAGTGTAGTGTAGACATCAGATTCATTTGAAAGACTGGCTGATTTACAATGACTTAAAGGCACAACTGGTACAGTCAGAGATTGTAACATACCACTTGATGGACCCAGTTCAGTTCTTCCGAATCCTGCAACGGATCCCTTTTGCCCAACGTCAATTGCTATATGATCATTGTTTGTAATGTCAAGACAAGCCGGCACAAGAAATTGTGTAAACGTAAATACTTTATCAATTTGTAAAATAGCAATGTCTCGTGTATAACGTCCTTTGTTGCCTGAGTAATTACAATCAATAAAAATATTTTTTACCTGAAATAAATAATCGTGATCACGATAATGATTTTTTTTAAATATACGCTACGTAAAAAATTTAGAGAACCGAATAATTTTTCATTAGAAAAAAAATTGACATATAGAAATTTTTAAAAATAAAAAATGAAATTTTTTGAAAGTAATTTTTTTGAACAAATTAGTTTGTTAAAAAAAAATAAAAAATTCTCTAGTGACTGCTAACTTTAATGCCATTTTTAATAAACTTAAAGAAGCCGAAAATTACGTGTAATTTAAATCGTGTTTTCGTATTTATGCCATTATATCACAAAGTTACATTTTTCCTGCACTAAAATACAAAACTACAAGTTTTCTTAACTATTTTGACAGAGATGAAAAAAAAATAAAAATTTTTCTTATCTAAATTCAAAAATTCATAATTTTTAAACTAAACAACACACCTCTCTGAAATTTTCAGGATCTCTTAATTTAAGATTATTTAAAGGTATTGCTGTAAAAAATTTCAGCCCAAATTTCGTGTCGGAATACAATTTTGACGATTTTTTAAAATTCTAAATTCTAAAAATGTCTCATTTTTCAAAATTTGTTTCCTAAATATTTTTTTTCAATAGTTTCAAGTGTCTCCTTTTAAACAAATAAAAGACTATTTCTGTATCTGTAATAGTTTTCAAGATATTAAAAAAATAAAGGTGAAAAATTAGAAAAACAATAAAATTTTGAATTTTGAATAACTTTAGAAAAAAAGTTTTTTTTTTATGTTTTTTCCTTTTGCAGATCTTTTTTATGATAAAAGAAAGGTCTTGACCAAATGTCGTCCAAATTAAAAGGGGTCGATCCCAACTATTGGTTGATTTGACATGAAATAATCCATATAATTTTTGGTAAAACGCGGAAAATTGTAAAAAAAAAAAAAAAACTTGCTTTAACAACTTACTAACATTTCTTTTATGGACGAGTCTTGAATCATGAAGTAAACTGTTAAAATCTCGAAAAATATTTCCTGTAGCGATAGAAAATTTTTCTGGACTTTCAACTTTTTGAATTTCTTCATTATAAACACAATGTGCAGCTGTTATTAACATATCATTTTGTATTATTGTTGCTCCACAAATAAACAATTTTTCGTCATAACGGGATTCAGATTTGTACAAAGTTGCGTGCCAAGGAAAATCGCTGATATTAGGAGTGCCTCCCTTTACAATCAAAGGGTTGAGGCTTGTAGATCGAATGCCGCACACTGAAATACGTTTTGAAAAAGTATCTATTTACTGTCTGATTTTTAATTATCAACTACTATTATTATGATTGCTGTGCCTCTATTAAAAAAAGAAAAAATGTATACTTTTTATGAATAAATTAGCACCAGAAAAAGTAAATAATAGATTAGTTTTTTCTTTTAATCATTTAATTTTATATCAGTTTGAATTATAACTCTATCTTTTAACAATGTGATAACATTTGATACAGAATTATAATTATTTTTTCCATCATTTTCTAGCCTAATTAATGTACCATTAATGTATATATTAATAGCAATCGAACCTGGAATACAATGAATTGGTTTAGGCTCCCACTGGCCTTTAGCATTGCATCGAACAATGTCTCTTTGAAGACCAAGTACCGTTGTATCTTGGCGGTAACTATCACGGCATGAAATTTTGGCACTTGTTCCTGGAGGAACTGGCATCTCACAGGAAATCCATTCATTGTTATTGTCACATTCTGCTACTGTTGATACTGAGCTCAAAGGCTTGCAGCGAATTTCTGTCGAAAAAAAAAAATTATTTTCATCCAGACACTTTCATCCAAGAAATAATATAAGAAACAAATTATACAAACCAACACACTCTGGTTCACTTGACCATTTACTTTTTGGACCACAAAAAATATCACTAGAACCCTTTAATTCATATCCAGGATTACAGCTATAAACTAAATATGTTCCAGGAATCATAACAGTATTTTGGTTAGCATCGCAATGTTCGTTGCTCTGACACTGTGATTTATGTAATTTCCATCTTCCATTTTGCGGCTGTTCTGGAGGAAAACAAATTGATTGTGGTTGAATCCAAGGTGAAGAAGTCGTCGAAGTTACTTGATTTTTTGTTCTTTGTGTTGTTGAAGAAATAGCAATTTTTTTTTCACTGCATAAAATGAATTCTTCATCAGAACCATCCACACAATTCCGAATGCCATCGCACTTCTTATCTCCATCTATACATGCACCGTAAGCACATTGAAATGTAAATTTTGGACACCTAAATACAGTAAAAATTATTAACTGAATTCCGCAGATTCCTGATCAATTTTTGGTTTAATTTAGAAAAATTGCATCGATATTTTTTTTTCCAATTTCTGAAAGTATTAAAAAAAAAAAATATATATGTTTTTTATTTACTTGTCAAAAAAATCGAAATAATTTTCAAATGTCTGTTAATTTCCGTGTCATCAAAATTATAAACAGACATCAATGAATATTAAAAACTACTTTATTCTTAAATTAAAAAAAAAAAAACAAAAAACGTATACCTTGTATTCTTTGGATTAAAACCAAAATTTTAGATTCAATTTAAATTAATTTTTTTTCAAATAATCATCTATTTTTTTTTAAGCTTATAAAACAAAAGAATAATTAAAAAACAATTTTTTTTCAATTACTATTTTTTTAATTAAAAGGAAAATTTTTGAAAAAATTGTTTTAAAAAATCAAAAAATTGACAACTGGATTTTTTTTTTATTATTTGTTTCTACACTGAGAGAAAAATTTTATTTTGAAAAAAATGAGAAATGGTATAAGAAATTAATTTATTAAAGATTTTAAACAATTTTATTTCTTAGCCGAAGAAATTAAAATTTTTCTTACAGTTACTTTTTTGTTGAAAAAGTTTTCTAGATTTGAGAAATACCAATTTTGAATAAAAATTCGCAAGCTGTTTATCTAAAATTGTTTTTTTCCAAATCAAATTAACTTTTTTTCAACAAGAAAGTTACTGTGAAAAAAATTTCTTCAGCTAACAAATAAAATTGTTAAAAATTTTTAATTAATTAATTTCATGTCATAATAATCCCCATTTTTTGCAAAAGCAATTTTTTCTCTTGGTGTACAAAAAAAAATTACAAATCACTTATGTGGTCAAATTTTTTAACGACTTTTCGAAGAATTAAAGATAATTTTAACGAATTTGATTACCTTGAAATAAGTGAAAAATTCCTTGGCCAATCAACTTTTCTTACTTTAAGTCAATTGTACTTAGTTCAAGATCTTTTCTGTTCAAGATAATAAAATTTTTCGAAATGATTAGCCTCAATTATTTTAGGTTCTTTTTCTCTTAAATCAAGTTAATTTTTTATCAGAATTCGAATGCATTTTACAGATAAGCTATTTTCTTACTGGTGAGAACTACAAGTCGCTGAAGTTTCATCAGATCGATCACTACAATCAGGCGAGCCATCACAGACCACAATGTCATCAATACATTGCCCACTATTGCATTTAAATTGATTGACTCCACAATTTCCAGAGTTCACAACTGATGCATTCGTGATAGAACCACGGCATCTTGATGACTTTTCATCAGACTTATCTACACAGTCATCGACTCCATTGCATAATGCATCTCCATCAATACAAGCACCATAATCACAACGGAATGCGTATTGTGGACAAATAATTTCTGTTTTTAAACATTCATGTCGAGTTTCATCACTTCCATCCATACAATCTTGTTTTCCATCACATAAAAATTCCCCGGTGATACATTGTTCATTTGCACAACGGAATTGATTAAGTCTGAAAAATTTTTTTAATTAATCCTTATCAATTTCATTATTTTTTTTAATTTTATGTACTTACTCACATGTATCTTGACTATGAGAAAGTTGTAATAATCCTAATATTTGAATACTAAATATTACACACCGTACTTTCAGATTCATCTTCAATTTTGCAAAACAAATTTTAAATGATTGTGGTTTGTGGTAAAAAGAAAATATTCATTAAATGAATAATTCATAAGTTCAAGGACTTATGATAAACTCACCCAACTAGTTTTGCAAACCGCTGTATGATATCATTGATGTATAGTGATATTAAATTTGTTGAGTTTATATATACATATATTCATAACTAACTAGTTGTAGATGATAAATACATTCAAATGTAATTGACATTTATGAAGAATTGATCAATCGTTCTTAGCAACATTCAAGTTCAATAATTAACTCTACATCGATTGAGTAAAAAAAACTGTTAAACTACTTAATTGAATTGATACTTACAATAAGTTATTTTTGACTTAAACTGAATCATAAAATTTCTTATTTCTGATATTTAATACTCCATTTAATCATTTCATTGCTTACCATTTGAGTCACTAGTAACAAGTAATAGCTTCTTACAACTGAAGATGAAAATATTATTCGATTTTCTGTAGTCAAATCGTGAGTTTTTTTTTAATTTTCCCATGAAGTTTATTTTTTTATCTTGTTATCAACTAAAAAATTTATAAAAATGTATATACATTTGACTGTCTTCAAATTTTAGATAGAAACAAATAGTAACTGAAATTTTCATGTACTTATTAAAATATACGTGCTTAAAAACTGAAAACCTCAATTGGGTTCTTACTTAATTTTACTAAAAATTAAAAAAACAATTACTTTTTTAAATATTTATTATAAAAAAAAGACTTTTTTTTTTTACGCAAGCTAATAGTAATAGTAATTATCACAGTCTTTATAATTTTATTTTATATTTTCTTCACTTTGCAATCCATCACGGCTGTCCAATTTCAAAACACAGTAACTAACATTTAAAAATTTTTTTTAATTTTTCTTATTAAAAAAAATTTCGCCTGCTGTATTGATAAAAAATTTGATTTATGAATAGAAAATACTTGTATATAAATATTTTTAAGAAAAAATACTTGAAATTAAGGTCTAAGAGTTATAAAAAATGCAGCAATATTAAAAAAAAATTAGGTATAAAAATTTTGCAGTTACTGTGTTTTAAAATTGGGCAGCCGATCAGTCTCTGCTACTGTTATTTGTGAAGTTGACCTCGGCATTGTACCTTTTCTCGCTCACTTGAATAATTAAGCATAATGTCATGTGCGAAACAGTTGTATGATCTCAAGAATGATCTCCCGTTGTTCTGGGTTGGTCGTTCTTAGCAACTCGCAATACTGCGTTTCTTCACAATCGAGAATTCTTGTTGGGGGACGATTTGGTTAACATCATCGACGTTCTCGACATCATCTTTTCCTAGCAATTGTTGGACATGCACTGCTCTTGATTCTTTTTCTTGCAAATTACTGTTATTATCATTTTGCAAAATCGTCATCGCTTCAAATTCCTTCATGACGTTTTCAATGTTTAAATTCGTCTCGAATAGGCTATGGCGTTCCATAATGGTGTCTTTGTTGTCGTCAAATAATTGCAAAAATTTATTTTGATCAACAATCTCTGACATTTCGTTGCGAAACTGTACGTAAAGTAGAACCATCTCTCGTTTATAATCTTCAGTTTCATCAATATCATAGCGTCTGGATCGTATGACTCGTCCGAGCAGTCGTCTGCGATATTCTTTTGGTGCTTTCGACGTCCTCGCTTCAGGTACAGCTTCTTCAGAATCTTCATCGTCATCCACATACACGTCGTCTTCTTCGTCAACGAAATCACTAGCGTTAGCATACCACGAAGCAAACTCAGCCAAGTATACTTGTTCTAACGATGCAGGTCGTTCTTCATATCGCTGTATTATGTTTTTGGTCCAAACATCAGTGCTGTCTGCATCGATGCCTTTGCGATCTATTTGTTGACGACGCTTGCGGCGGCATTGTCTATCTGTCGGCAACACCGTTGGGATGTACACAATTTGACGACTTGCCTCACCCATTGGCTGTCGTAGTAGATACCATGCTGCTTCTTGCGCTGACATCTCAACTGAGTTAAGCAGTTTGATGCTTAACTTTTTCAATTGGCCTGTATAGTCCTGATCGGGATGCTCTTGCATCATCGTGATAAGCTCACGACGTAGGTTACTCATTCCACGGGCTGATTTATTTACATACTCTACGACATACTCTGCGCAGCTGTACTCATCCAAGATGAACTGAATGTCGATGTTAGAGTTGACTTCGCCGGCAAGGTACGGGTTGAACGTGTTTGTCATAAGTTCGTCGAAGTTTCGCCTGAACACCAGAGTCGGTCTGCGTAACGTTGAACGCACAATGTCGAGGTATGAAACGTAAGTCAAATCATTAGCATTAAGAAACTCATCCATGCATGTGTATCGACGTTCACCGAGAGAGGCACGCAGCTCTTTGGCCGTCTGTTGTAGCGTTTGATGGCGTCCATCAGATTGAGGCATCGGAATCAGTACACGAGTCGTGAGCATAGGCCAGTACGGGATCCCAAATCTGCAAGTTGTCTCGCCTCGATTTGTGCAAGTGAAAGTATGTTTGTGTATTTGGTTGGCGTAGACAGAATTGTTTGGCACATCATCTCGAGCAACCGAACTTAATTTTTCCACGAGATCGATGGTTCTTGGCATATTTTCCGACACAGTCTCACGTGGGTCGTCGTTCAACCACAATAAAATATGTGCCTGTGGACTTCCTTGATGCTGGAACTCAATACGAAGGAAGTAATCTTTAACGAAATACTTGCCGAATGGATTGTAAGACTGTTTGGATTTCAGCAATTTCAACAAGGAACCAACGAGCTTGTTGAAGTATATGCAGCACGTAACAGGATCGTCGCTCACTAAAGTACAGCGCTCAGAAGTGTTGAGATCTTTTGCTGTTTTTCCAGGATATTTTTTGCTCAGTTTGAGAAGTATAGTGAGCAGTTTCATCCAGCGTATTTCGTTGGCACTTATAGTGAGGAAGATAGTTGGTTTACCAAGTTGACGAATCATTGCAAAGAGGTCTCGTTTACGAGAGGTCCAGTATTGAACGGAGTTTGGCACTGTCTTCATGAATGCGAGGTTTTGTATGACATATTCCTTCAGAAATTCTGTGTCCTCTAACATATGTCGCGTCACATTATCCGTGACCGGAACATTGCGTAACGTGCTGTGAATTCCATTCAACATACGCAGCCGCAATATTCTGATAGCAACGTACAAGATTTTTTGAGGCGTGGCTCCGCGTCTGTCACGGCGTCGTATTTCACTGCTCGCTATCATGTAAGGTGTTACTGAAATTCCCATGTTGAATTGACGTGGCTCTCCGAAATATATCGATGGAAACGACAACTCTTCTGCATGACGATCATAAATGATTTCCTTATGTTCTAGTGCATTATTGAGACAATCTTCTTCATTCCACATCACGGTATGTTGTCTTGAAGCGAGAATCTCAGATTCAGGTGTGTTTTCAGCTGAGATATTTTCTATACGGTTGGACGGATCATCCTGTATGTCATCGAGAAACGGCACAGTAGGATGCAGTCTCGACAAATCCACGTCGATTTCGTACATGTTATATAATGGAGACTCCTGCAGTACAGTTAGCCACGCACTGATTGTACTTTTGGACATGTATCCGCTGATGTAGACCGATTTATGGGCAAGGTTTCGCTTGATGTTAACATTGATGACGTCATCCTCATTTAATTGGCGCGGCAAACATTTTACCATCTGTTGTACGTCTACTGGTACGTCTACTGGTACGTTGATCACTTGCCCTATGATTCCATAAGAAAAATCATGGTGCAAACGACGCACTTGCATAAATGGCAGTCGTGGCGATATCAATCGTTCACTGATGGGATCCAACGGTGGTAAACCTGGTGGTTCGTCCGGATATGAGAATCCATTAACTTTTGCTAGGGGCGGCATCGATTTTTTATTCAGTGAACGTTTACAAGTGTTGCAAACCATTTCATATTCTTCTCTGCACAGTAGTCGATTTTCTTTGATGAACCATTTCGAGATCACCTCTAGCTGTGCCGCAGTGATGGGTTTGAGTTCATTCTTGAACCACAATCTGTCGCAAACCGAACAAGCGTAGCCAAAATCGTTGTCCAGAAAAGTTGATTTAAATCTCACGATCGAGTATGCCCATTTGGTATTCCAAGTAGATTGTGCCTGTTGTACTTCAATTTGATCAGAAGAAGTACCTGGTTGAACAGTGATTTGTGTTGGTTCTGCTGCTAAAGTTCGACGTTGTTGGTGTGTGAGCTGTCGTTGAGCACCAGTTTGGACGTCGTTGGACCTTGCCCCTGAATGAGAAGATAATGCAGTAGTCGATTCTAATGAACTACTGACACGAACCAAGTTAGCAGCTTTCCGTAGTCTGCGGTTTCGCTGTCTTTTGGCATCCGATTTCCTCGCAGCTATCACCTGTGCAGAAGTTCTGGATGCTGCTATACGCTGTCTGTACTCACGTTGTTTCTGTGCCTTCGATATTCGTGGTGGCAGAACTATAAGATCCATAGGTTCGTCAGGTTGATCTGCCATGATGTGATTGTAAGCGGTTCTGCAAAAGAAATTGTTAATAATTTATTTTAAAAATTATTTTAACAAAGAAAATGTACTTATTGATACATTGTTAATTAAAAATTGATTTAAAAATTTTATAATTGATACAATTATTATTATTATTATTTATAATTAATATTAATTATTAATATATTATCAACAATAATAATTTGATATAAATATTTTTAAAACTAAGTTAAAAACATTGATTTTTAATTTTCGAATATAATTTACAGTTTTTGCAAATTTTATTAAAATAATTTGTTTATATATAATCATGAACAATTAGTTATAGTCATATTATGTGATGTTATTCTTTATTTATTATTAGTCATATTTATATTCATAAAATGCAAGAATTAATTACCTTTTTTGCCGCTGTTTTGAGAAAAACAGTTAATTGAGATGAACAAAATGAAATCAGACTGAAAATTATCAAAGAAATCAATTAAATCTTATTAAATTGTAGAAAAAAAAAAAAACACAAAACACGTTGTTTCGTATTCAACACTTGTTGCAAATAATGGCTTCAAAATTTTCTATAGCCAAACATAAGGCAAAATGGGGTTAACCCTACTTGTAAATAGTAACCAATTTTTTTTGACGTTATAACGTCTAATAAATCGATAAACACCGGCTGTGCGTACAAAAAAGTGTCACGTTCTGACTGAACCCCTAAGCGTGCAACCTAAGAGAGCACGGAACAAGCGATAGAGAGCCGCGATCGGCCCTAGCGTTGGCGGCTTGTGACACATTTATTTGTTTTCTCGCGTGACGTTAGAGCTAGCAGTTCGAATATTGTTCTATAACTAATTATTCGTGATTATATGAAAACAAATAATTTAAATTAAATTTGCAAAAATTGTAAATAATATTTGAAAATTAATATATAAATTATAAATAAATAGATTAATTATAATTGTAAACGATAAATTGATAAAATAATAATAAATTAATAAAATAATTAATATTGACTAATTTATAAAAAGTATGCAATTTTCATCAATATTTCTTTATGTATCACGTCCGCAAACCGACTTTACAGACAACTAATTTTTTTTTTAAATGATTTAAAAATTTTTGTCAAAGAATGCCACAATAAATACCCTGTTAAAATTTGAATCCTTAATATTAATACACAAGTATTTAGTAATAATCCACCATCAGCATCTATAGACCAGCTTCTATAGAAGGAAAGATAATCCAATAAACCACCTGACTTACAATAATTAGCACATACGTTAAAATTTAATTTAATTTAAATTAACTGTAATTTTTGTAATCATTATAAAAGAATTAATTAAATTATCTTTATTAATTATTATTATCTTTAATAAAAATAAAAAACGTATGCAATTTGTAATCGAAAGTTTAAATTTCTACCATTGTTTACGAGAAGCTTACGGTAGATGTCAGGCTATTTTTTATTTCCTCGGCGCATTTGATTTTAATTGTAATGTAAGCATGTTTTACTTGAAAATAAAAAAGGAAACAAATATTTTAAAAATATACCAATAGTTTCATTAATTTTTCATATGTGCATATTTGTATTTTTTTTTTGTTTGTAATTATTTTGTGTCGAAAAAAAAAAAAACCCACAAATTGTTGTGTTTAATCATATTTTTAAAGACATGCTTAGGTTATACGGTGAAATCAACAGAATTGAGAACTACTGTTTCCTACAACAAATGTTTATTACTTGTACATAGAAATCGGAGATAACTAAATATAAAGCTATCATTTGGTAAACTAACTATGAGTAGTTAATTTTTAAATGTATATATAACAACATCGACCTTAACCAAAAAACAAGTGTAATAGTTTGGTTGTTTTTTTAATTTTATGTATTGACAAATTTTTTTATTTTTAAATTTTTTATGAAAACTTGCACCGCAAAGGAAGTAATGGCTTACAAATCGCTGTCAGAATTTTCCTTGGAGGATAATTCGTTGTTTAATCACGTGGATACAAAAACTAACATTTTTCAAAAAGTAAGTAGTTGTGACAAATAAATTTTAACATTTTGTGGATAAATATATTAACTGGCTAATTACATTTTTTACCAGAACCAGAATTTTTTCGAAAAAAAAAATTTTCCCATCTTTTTACATTATATGAGGAATTCTGTCAAGTATCTCATTCTTTTTTTAAAATGTCACTTAAGTAAATATTCCCTCGATTGACAATCGGGAGCATTTTCAAACTTAATGTTTTTTTTTGTTTTTCTTACTTTAAAATTTTAACTAAATTAGAAAAACTAAAACAGGCAAGCATTGTTTTTAAGATACTGAAATTGAGACATCTGATCATTGTTAGAATTTTTTTAACAGATAAATTATAGCAAGAAAAATTTATTCAAAGAATTTCATTTTTAAAAACTATAAATAATTATAACTGCGATTTTCTAAAAGTAATTTTCTATACCTAGTTTATTTTTCAAGAAAAATTAAACAATTGTCAAGTGTCTGCTAATTTCAGTGTGATTTGTTTTTCTATTATTATTTTCGAATAGTTAAATCATGAACTAAAAAATTAAAATTGAAAAACAAAAATAAACTTTTTAAAGTTGAAAAATATTTTTTAGTGTTGGGGAATAAAAATCTAAAAATACATAAAAATGGTAATATTTTTTAATTTTATTTTTGACTATGATTAAATGATCGAATTTTGTTGACAGTTGAATAGATTTATTGACACTAAAATCTGTTTTTAAATTTTTAAGTTATACTGGGAACTATAATTAAAAATTTAAATGAGAATTCCAACTATGCTGAAAATCTTTTGTAAAAATATTTTTTAAAGAATTCAAATTTAATACAAAGTCTTTGTTTTTTGTTTTCATTGAAAAAAAATGTGTTAAAGATTATATTAATTGTGAAAAAGTACTTTTTGACGATTGAGATTGACGAATTTTTTTTAATTCTTACAAATGATAAAATTTAGAAAATAATTTTCATTTTGTTACTATTGATTGATTTGTTAGAGAAATATATAACTATAAATACACTCTCAGAAAATAGATGAACAGAAGAACATTTTTTAGAGTAACTGAATATACATTTTCAAAATTTCATGAGTTGCAATAATTTATTAAGCTTAAAAAATATAATTAATAATACTGAAATTAGCAGACAACCGACCATTTATTTTATTTTTTTTTTTTTTGTAACAAATAAATTAGTACAAAGAAAATATTTTCAAAAAAATTGCATCCATAGTTTTTGAATACTTTTACCTGTAGAATTTTTTTTAAATTCTTTTTATAATAATTTGTTTACTAAAAAAGAACATAGAAATTGTCAGTCATCATTTATTATTTATTGACTGTGAAGTTAACTTTTAAGGGCACCAACTAAAAATTATTCTTTATACTTAACAATGGCATTGTTGACTTTCCAATGAATTTGAACTGCAGAAGATCACATAGTTGCTGATTGTTGATTTGAATAAAATTAAGAATTTAGAAAAATTACTTCAAGTAGTTATATATAAATTATTTTTTGTTTATAATATTCTAAATCTATGCTGATTCAGTTCTAGTTCCACGAAAGATTAAAAATAATGACTATTGATATTTGTAGAGATTGTCAATTTTTTTTTTAAACAAATTATGTAAAATCATGGACATTAGATTTTCAGAAAAATTTCTTTCTTTACTTAAATCAAAAATAAATTTCATTTTCGATGCAGTCAAATTTCAGTTGAGTACTTGTCAGATATTTATGCATCTGTTTCAATCCAATTTTCATCACTAATACAAAATCACTTTTGACAAATATAAAAATTATTTTGATCAATAATTAATTTTACACTAGTAATCCGCCCGGCTTCGTACAGGTATTTAACAAAAATTTCAAAATTAATTATCATATAATATAGCCTACGTCACCCGGGGATAATATAGCTTCCCAACAGTGAAAGAATTTTTCAAATCGGTTCAGTAGTTTCGGAGCCTATTCAATGCAAACAATCAAACAATCAAATCTTTCCTCTTTTTAATATTAGTATAGATTAGCTCTTTATTTAATAAAGTATGTTTGTTTTACAGCTGGAACCAGTAGAGCAGACCTTCTATGAACCCGAAATATTAATTATGTCAACTGATTCAAAGATCCAATTATTAAAAATTAATAAAAATAATTTGCCATCAGAGATTAGTGAAGAAGCTCATTTTCTACCATCGAAAACATGTGGAAAGTCTGAAATAACATTATTACCAATAAAACAAGAGCAAAAATCTTGTGGGCATTATGAACCATGTGAAAATATTATTTGTGACGTTAATGTTCAGCACTATGTCGATCAGCTAGGATCATCACCAATGTTGGCTGTAAATATTGATGACTCAGAAATAAATGCAAAAGTTTCGAAGCACTGTAAAAATTCAAGGTGTGACGCTTTAAGTATTGAGCATAATCGTTGCAGAAGAGCAATAATTCGTCTTAATCGATGTGATAAATCTAACGCATGTGATATTTGTGGAGTAGTACTAAAAACTCGTAAGTCTCGAATACATCATGGAAATTGTAGGCGAAAAAACGAGTATAGGCATAATCCAGTTGATGGAGCACAAATATTACGAGAAAAAATGCGAGAACGAGAGTTACAAATAATGGAAGCAGTTAGAGCTAGAAAAAATGACTACAGTGATCCGATTACATGTTACAATAAAGCTATAGAAATGTTAAAAAATAATTCTGAACTCATTGTTATCCCTAAAATGATGACACCATCACAACCACCAATTGTAAATCAAAAAGATAATATGAATGAGACTAAAACTCTAACAATCAATGGAGTTTCACAAAGTTTTGATCAATTGTTGAAAAACATACCCAACATAACGATCAAGAATTTACATTCGCAACAAAATGTTCCTAATAATAAATTAAATTCTAGCGAAAAGAACGAGACTCTTTCCAATTATAATAAAGTTGATTCGACAAACAATGTCACAGCAGGAGATAATAAGTTTATAATAACTACAATATCTCAACCAACGGTGCCTCATTCTTTTGTAATAAATGATAGGATTTTGACGCAACTCAAATCAAACATGGAAACAAACGTGCAAAACCCTTATATTATGCCAGTTAGAGTACTTCCCATCACTAATCTTAAGTCTGAGCCTTCTTTGCTTCATCAAATTCAGGGTATTCCAAAGTTTTGTATCATTGCAGATAATCCTACACCATCTGGAACATTGATTAAAATTCCGCCGATTACTAATACTCAATCATCACCTTCGTCAAAATCAAAATTATCACACAAACCTTCGATATTATTAAAATCTAGGTCTAATAATATTCCAATCAAACCGAAACCAACGAATCCAGGATTCACAGTAATTAATTCTTTTCAGCCTTTTAAACATGAAATTATTAACCGAAGAAAAAGGATTGAGCAAAAGCCGTTCAAGTGTGAATATTGCTCCAAAAGATTTCTTACTGACTGGTATTTTAGATTGCATATTATCAAGCATAAAGGGGGAATGGTCTTAAAATGTAGTGAATGTGATCTGTCTTTTAGTAACACTGAAGATCTAAACAAACATGTTAGTGATGGACATAATGCTGATGCTGCCGAAATTTCGTGTAGAAATTCGGACAGTGATGTTGAAAAAGAAAAGGATGATGATAAATGTATTTCTTGTGAGGATTGTGGAAAGATATTCGATTCTGATACTGAAATAGACCAACACGAGTGTATAAATATAAATGATTTAGTTAGTACACAAACAAATTTACTAATAAGTAGCGAAAACTGAAACAGAGATAAGGAAATTAATAGTAATTGATGTGTGTCGTAAATGTGAGAATGAGTAATTAAAAAGAATAATAAAATAAAATAGAGAATAAGTCATTCCAGTGAAGTGAATACATTTTGAATGAAATTTTGTAAAGCTTTGAGAGACTAGCATATAAATTATGTTAACATAACAATGATTTGTTTTAGATTAATATTGATATGATATAAATATTAGTATTATTTTGAATAAGTTTATTACTATATTAGTAATAGAGCAATAGTGTTGATAAATAAAATAATTTCATTAAGAAAAGTTCATTTTTATTGTTTTCGAAATATTTGTAAAATTTTTTATACATGATTAAGTGAATTTCTTTTAGTTATAAAAGAAAAATGTTTTTTTTTTTTAATGTTCTATTTTGAAAAGTCGATCGAATTCGCAGTTTATATTTTAAATTCTAACTTTTGTAAAAGTATTTTATAAGCGGAGTTATAATTTAAAACTTAAATATTTAATTAAACAATATGTTCAATTTTTAATTCATTTTTAATCAAATGATTGAAAATTTCAGTTTGTTTTAGTTTTACAAATATTTATCTGAAGAATTTTACAACTTGCAAAATTTTTAGCAAAAATTTCACTGCAATAATCAAATAAATAATTATTGCTTTTCTTGAAAAATACAATTTTTATTAAAAAAAAAAAAATTGTGCATGTTATTATGAGAAGATAAGATGGAACTTTTGATCTATTAAATTTTTAAAGTAAACTTTTTGTATTCAGTTTATATTTAGTTGACTTACCTTAAATTATCAAAAATTAATTGTTTTATTAATAATTAAATTGTGAAAAATAGAAAAAAAAAATAAACAAATTTTTAAGATTTTTATGTTATAAATCAATTAATTTACTTATTTAATCCATTGACAAAATAATTGAAATAAGACGGCAATAATAAATAAATTACGGATGTATTAAGAAAGATGCATGTTTCTGAGCTGTACATTTTATTGAAGCTTGAGGATACACTCTTTTTAGTTTATATCCTATCCAATGCTTCTAGCATAATGACACTGTTTCCTCGAATTACCTATAATATTAAATACATTCTGATAAATATTAATTCTTTATTTATTAGTAACATCGTATTATTTGAAATAGTTTCTACTCACCACCATCCCAATGTTATTTTTAGATCCATCTTTGCATTCTTCGATGCTTTCATCGATCACCATATTCATAAATGGGTCAAAACCGCGAAGAATTCCAACCACATGTCTCCCGCCATTCAATTTAACTGTAAAATAAATTATTTCATTAATATTATTACCTGATACATTTTGAATAATAGTTTGTGGAGATGAGTATAACTTACGAGACAGCTTTTTGTCCATGTATCTGAAAAAATTTAATGATAACAAAAATTATTAGGGTTAACCGGCAAAATGAAATTACAACAAATAATCAAATTAATATTCATAATAATTAAAAAAAATTATATATCACTTACTTTTTTAACTCTGGTGGATGTGCTTTACTCATTTTGGTTTTTTATTTATTAATAGTTTCCTTGATGAGTATATAAGAAAATCAGTTTATCAAAAATGTTACTTGCTATATACTCCGTTTACAAACGTTTATGAGCAACAGTCATATATTTTTGTGTAGTATATATTTTGTTGCGTTATAAAGCAGCATTCACAGAGGATTCTTTTTTACCGTTCTGTGCGCTCTCTTGCGGAAGCTTATTTTCAGCGATAGACTAATTACATTTCAAACTTCCCGCCATTAAGAAAAAAAAATTATTCATCAATACATCAATAATGAAATTAACAGACATCTATCAATTTTTTAGATTTTTACAATAAAATTATTATTGTAAAAAAATTATAATAAAAAAATTCTACATCTAGAAAATAAAAAAAAAATAACGAATGCATTTTTATAATTTATTTGTAATAAAAATTTTAAAAATTTATCAGGTATTTATAATGATTTTTTTGTAGGTGTGAATAATCACTTCTTTCAATTAAATTACTATGATTTAATTAAGTTATTATTCATAAAATCAATTCACTGAAAGAAAACATTTATTTTGAAAAAAATGAGCAATGTTGTAATATGAAATTAATTTGATGAAAATTTTCAACAATATTATTTGTTAGCGGAAGAAATCAAAATTTTTCTCAGTAATTTTCTTGTTGACAAAAAGTTTTCTATATTTGGGAAAGAACAATTTTGGATGAAAATTAGCAAGATCAGTCAATCTAAAATTATTTTTTCCAAATCAAAAAAATCTTTTTCCAATAAAAAAATTACTGAGAAAAATTTTTGATTTCTTTTGTTAAGAAATAAAATTGTTTCAAATTTTCAACAAATTAATTTCTTATAACAACAAAGTGCATTTCTTCAGAAGAAAATTTTTCTCTCAGTGTACTTTTATTTATTTTATAAAATTTCAGAGTAAGAAGTTTTCACACATTTATTAATAATTATACTTTAAAACGCAAAAATTTGATAATCCAAATAAAAAGATGAAATATTTATCTATAAAAATTTTTCAGAAACTAAAAAATTCTAAATGCGGACATTTTCATTAATTTTGATATTTTTCTCAATACGAAATTTTATGTTCTGTCGGCTACTTTTAATAACATTAATAAAAATGTACAAAATCAAAACATCTTATAAAATACTTAATTTTTAGTTATATTTTAAGACATAAATTTTCATCTAATTACTGAAAAGTATTTAAACTCATTGGTAACAAATTTTTCAGGAAAATACAAAGAAGTTCTCAGTATATCTTGAGCTGGACTATGAATTTTAATTTGTCTCATATGAGTATCTCTTCCGTTTTGATGATTACTGATAACTGCGATTTGAATCATAAAAGTTCGGATTGGACGATCATTAATATCTTTAATTGGTATAACAACCCATCCGCTAGGTTCATTCAAGTCCATTATTTCAACTTCTTGTAAGTCATTGAAGTTAGTCCCAGCTCTGACACTTATACTGTAAAAAATAAATATATTAGACAATCAATACTAATGAAATTTTAAAAAAACTTTCATCAGTATAAATTTAAAAAAAATTACCGGCTTGGTGTATAACTTTCATCCAATTTATAATCTGTGTATATACAAATATCTTTAATTGTAGTTTTTTTTCTGAATTGAATATTGATGAGATGTGGTAATTGACCGTCTGATTGCCAATAAGTCTCCGTGATATTATCTCGTAATTGATCAACACCAAAACCAGGTTTGCAGCTTGACAGACTCCAAATTGCTTGGTTCCCGACTTCGCGAATTCGACCAACTAATTCCTCTTGTACAGGATCTATTTCTCCTGTTGAATAAATTGTAAATAATTATTAATGTTACAATAAATTAACTTTTCTGTTTATAGTCCTAAATTTTCATATTTAGTTGAAAAATTTTCTGAAACTAATTCTCTTTTATTTAAAATGATGGTTTAAATTCTATTTGAATAATTTTTTGCGTATAAAATAAAAAAATTCATTTGAAAATAATTTACCTCCACTAGTTGTTTTGGTACTCATCTTGAGGTTATATTACATGCAGTTACAATTAAAAATAATACATTAAAATCATTGACACCCTATGAATGGTTTAAATATAAATATTTTATTGGTCAAATTACTTTCCCATTGTCTTCAGAAGACAAAAATTTATTTCTATAATAATTTCATAATAAATAGAAAATTTGCAAGAATTCAGAAATAGTTTTTGTTTGTAAATAAATAAGAGTTATATAATGGTATATAGCCTTAAAAAAATATCTTTAACCGCAGGTAGTGTTACCTGAATGCGACTAGAGACATCAAAATTTGCTCGGTAAATAAAAGAAAAATATTCAGTGAATTCTTTTTTTGTGGAATTATGATTTTTTATTTTCACTGAACTGCGTTACTTCAATATTTTAATTCTGTTTTTATTGAAATGTCATTTGTGACATTTGAACAATAACAAAAGTTTATTTATAACCTACGAATTGATCGTAAGTTATTGTTAATTAAGTTAATATTGATGTTTTTATAAAAAAATTTATATTTATAATAGTTTCAGAAATTCGGATAATTTTGGAGTTAGTTATCAATTAAATTATTTATCATATTATCTAATTATCTAAATGACAGATATTAAAAATTGAAAAACTTGTTTGTCTAAAATTTATTTACAATATACTGAGATTATTTCTTAAATATCTTGTAATTTAAAAATTTTAATAGAAATTATAATCTATACACAGTGTAATCTGTATAAATGACACTGAAATTAGCAGACACTTGAAAATTTTTGTATTTTCTTGAAAAATAAATTAGTTTTAGAAAATTAGTTTTAAAAAATTGCATTTATTATTTTTTAGATCTTCTAAAGATGGAATTTTTTTAATAAATGTTTTTTTTTCTATAAATAAATTGTTTAAAAAATTCTAAAAATTAACAGATGTCTCTTAATTTTTGCGTCTTCTATATAATATACTTGAAAATTTATTTTTACTTTTGAATTAATTGTTTTAAATTTGGATTTATATTTTACAGAATATAAACTGAAATTAACAGTATTCATTTTAATATCACTGTTAATAATTGTGAAAATTTGTTGAAATGTCTTCATCACATTTATCAGGCGGACGGCTAAATATTGGTTTGCTCCAAGAGCAGGCCAGAAAGCAATTGCTATGTTTAATTGAAAAATGTGATGGTCCAAAAGTAAGTAAGAGTATCAATTAAGTTCATGAATATTAAACAAATAGAACGTATAAAAATAATTATTAAATATTTATTTTATAATAGGCTATCGTTTGGGATCAGTCACTGGCTGGACCAGTTGGTCTGATTGCTAGATATAATTTATTAGAAGAATATGGAGTCGTTAAAATGTACGAGTTGATTGGTGGTCAACTTCCGCTCACAAACGTTACGAATATAATATTTATAGTCCGACCACATTTAGATCTAATTGATTTAATTGCTGAAAATGTTCATGGGTATATTTACGGATAATTTATTTTTTAGATAATTAATAATATTAAACTAACTTTTGGTATTTATTTTGTTTATAGAGAGCAAAATCGTTCAGCAAAAGAATTTCATTTATTTTTTGTTCCTCGTAAAAGCTTACTGTGCAAGAAAAAGCTAGAAAATCGCGGAGTTCTTGGTAGTTTTACTTTAATTGAAGAGTTTGTTTGTGATTTATTTCCCTTTGATAATGACTTAATATCAATGGAATTGAATGAAACCTTCAAAGAATTTCATTTAGAAAATGACCCAACTTGCTTGTATCAAGTAGCACTTGCCATTCAAAGATTGCAAAAACTTTACGGTAAAATATCGAAAATTTCGGGACGTGGACCAGCAGCTAGTAAAGTATGGAACTTATTGAAAAGATTAAATCGAGAAGAAGAAGAAAAAGATATCAGTTCTTATCGAGGCATCAATACTGCTGTAAAAATAAACCAGTTACTTTTGATCGATCGTAGTGTTGATCTTCTTTCTCCTCTTGTTACTCAACTGACTTATGAGGGATTGATTGATGAAATATACAACATTCATTGCAGTAAGTTTATTTAATTATAAATAGTATAACAGGACAATTAAAATTTTTTTACTATTTTAATAGCTACTATCAAATTACCGGCCAAAAAATTTCATGACTCAGAAAACTCTCCTACCGTTATGTCAATTGACAAAAAAGAACAAATTATACTGAATTCAGGAGAAGAATTATTTGCTGAAATCAGGTATATTTTTTTAAGAATTTTTTACGTTCAACTAGATTAATTTTATTTAAGGGGGATAGCCACTGTGAGGATCAAAAAAATAGGAGATTTTCGGGAATTTTTTTGACTGAGATAATAAAAGAATTTGGGGATCGGATTTTTTTGTTTTATAAAGTATACATTGAAGATCATTCTCCTAAATTTTTATTAAAAAATATCATGTTGTTACAAAGTCATAAGTATTTTTGTGTAACACCAAAAAAATTTCCCCCACCACGGTCTCATCTTTAACTAAAAAACGGATTATCTAAAACAAAAAAACCAAACAGCGTTGTAATCTGCTTGCATGTGGTTATCTTTGCACGTAGGGGATTTTGAAAATTTGGATTGAAAAAAAAATGACGACACTTTAGAAATTTTTTCGTTTTTTCTTTTTCATTTTTTTGGATTCAAACAACCCTAAAAAATCTTAAAAATCAAAATATTTAAAATCCCTTACGTGCAACTATAGCTACTGAATAGACGAATACAGAAAAAAAAAGTTGCAAATCTTTGCAAATATAGAGTTTAATACTAAAGTTAAAATTTAATTTCAAGAAAAACGCGTTTTTGTCGGAACGCCGCGCGTGCAACGGTCATTTGACGCGCTGTCACAAAAATGACTATGACTCAAAAAATATTCGAAATTTTCATCTAAAACTCTAGATGGGCGATTCTCTGTAAGAACGTCTTAAATCTGTACAAAATTGTCCGACCAAATTATTTTTGATTTTATTAGAAAAAAAATTAACAAGGGCTACAAAACTATTAGCTTGATGATAATAAATAAACAGCCAAATTAAATTTTGTTTTTTCGATATTTGTGTGTCTTTTGCCATATAACATGACAGGGGACTGTTTGCCAGGGGACTGGTTTTTTTTTTATCAAATTAAAAAAAATCAAGGAAACTATTTTAATGCATTCAACCTTTCAAGTTCTCAATGAATGTTTACATTAATTAGAATAATATTAAGACTTATGGATCCAATTTTATAAATAATGGACGAATAACTTAAAATTTAATCTTAAAGTTTTAATTTTGGTAATGGGACAGCCCAGGGGACTGTTATTTCGGTGGTTTAAGAATTTATAGCAAAAAAAACCAAAATTTATTTCATTTAAGTTTTCAATGCTCCAAATGGAAATGTTTTTTAACTTTCGTAACAAATTTTTTTTAATAACAAAATAACAATTTTTCCAATAAAAAAATGCCTGGGACAGCGAAAAATATCCTTACAGAGAATCACCCAGATCCATATTTTTGATTTAATAAAAAAAAAAAAATTTTTTTTTTTTAATTTCACAGTGGCTATCCCCCTTAATTTGTTCTTTATAAATTTTTATTTTACAGAGTTATCAGTTGAATTTAGTGTTTCAAAATCTTAGATACTTACTGCCAAAGAAAGTTGGATTTAAAAAAACAAACGATACAAATTTTACAACTTAACATAAATTAAAAGTAAATTTACACATGAATATCCGTTTTAAATTCATTTTTGATATTATACCTCTACCACAAACCCTCAACAGTTACCAGAGAATACATAATTTAAGTACAGAATTTATATCAAGAAAAAAGGGTAAGAGGATATTACTGCCTTAAGTCGCATCAAAACAGTTGTAATATATACAGTCAGAGATTGTTTGATTAAAATCTGTAGAACAAGCTTTAAAATTCAAATTTTTATTCAATTTATTTAATTTTGTCTTTAAATATGAAGTGTAATTCATGTGGTATTATTATAGAGTATAAAAGTTTTTTACCAAAGATTTCATTAAATATTCATTGTGATACTTTTAACAAAATAGACAATATTTAAACATGGATTGAGAACCATCTTTCCTTCCCTCCGGGCGGAAAGCGTCAATTTTCTTCCCGCGACGCTAAACGAAAATATCGCTTTCCGCCTCCGTCGAGGCGAAAAATAGTATTCTCACCAAGGGCAGGAAATAAGAAAGCCTCAGATCACATGTAATTGTTGACCGAGGCTTCGCCTCGGTCAACAATTACATGTGATCTGGAACATTTCTTATTTTCCTCCCCTAGGTGAGAAATGTACTATTTATTATAATCTTACACCGAGAGAAAAAATATCTTTTGAAAAAAAAAGGGGAAAGTGTTAATAAGAAATTAATTTGATGAAAATTTTATTTCTTAGCTGAAGAAATAAAAATTTTTTTCACAGTGACTTTCTTGATGAAAAAACAATTGTGGATGAAAATTCATATGCTGATGTCTATCTAATTTTGTTTTTTTTTTTTCCAAATCAAAAAAACTTTTTTTCAATAAGAAAATTACTATAAGAAAAATTTTAATTTCTTCAGCTACGGTAGCATCTCCGATATCACAAGTTTCAAATGTTCCATGCACAGCCTTATTTGATTTACGTAGTTGATTTTCCTATACAAAGTCGCGTTAGAGAAAGAGAGACAGATAATTTCATCATCTAAATTTTTATTAAAATTTGAAGTCACTTTTTTAAAATTAAATAAAAACTGTCATTTTACATAAGACTTAACGTTTAATCCTAAAAATTTCAAAGTTTAATATTTTTTTACTGGTTTTCTTGAGCTTTTCAAAAGTTGAGTTGAAAATTTTCATTAATTTAATTTTTTGTCACAACAATGCCCATTTTTATGTAGTAAAATTTTTTCAATGTATAATTAAAGATAAATTTATTGAATAGTCATATAATGTCAATAATGGAACACATTTTGCATTACGACTCGTACATATATAAGTAATGACTGTGATTTCTTCCTTACACAATTCAAAATAAAGAAGATAGGACGCTAATATAAGATGCAAACATTCCGCGTTTTTGATAGTTTCTTTAAATAAATTAAAAAAAAAATAATTTTTCATTAAATTCCATAGAATCTTTCAAATAAAGTTACTAAGTTTTAATAAAACTTTACTCCAACATTTTTAAATAATTCCAAGAATTTCTAAGGATTGATTAATTTTGTCATGAAAAATCAAGTTTGGTCATATTTGGCTGTTCAGCGTACTTTATTTTATGCATAAATTTTGTATAATTATTTAAGTCGTACTAATTATTCTTATTTGATTTGACACTGTTGATGTAATTGGTTTTTTGCTCTAAGCTAGTTTCTGAAATCTCTCTTGACTGAGGAAACGGAAGTTAATGTAAATATAAAATGAAAAAATTTTTTAACGTTTTATGCATGTTAGATTTTGCACATGAATTTATTTCGACGAGAATTCAGCTAATTTTACATAATAAATTATGAATTTTACTCTTGAACAAAATTTAAACCAATTACAAATACTTCTCACGAGCAATTAAAAGTATTAATGAGTGTTATTAAATTTATAATTGTTTTATTGAATTGTATTTGAGAGTGGTACATAGCTTAATGTAAAATAAACAATAAATTGTTATATATGTTATCTGGCAAACGAAAAAAAAAGGTAATTGTTTAGTTTTACATTCCATAATAAAATATTTAGAATTTTTTTCATCAATCACATTTTGTTTCTGAGTGTTCATTAAAAATATAATAATCCAGAATAAAAACATTCTTTTTTTCAAAAAATGATAAATAATAAATTAACATTTTTGAAAAAAATTTGTTTGTGAATTTTTGTTGTAAATAAATGTTTATTGACATAAAGCTTAGAAATTAATCACAAAATTTACAACAATAAAATATGAATTTTTTTATTTATTACGTAAAAAAATAAACAGACCGTGAAACTAAATAATTACCAAAAAAAAAGCATTTATTGTTGAAATATCGCATGCGCATCTAATATAAATTAAGTATTGTAGCTTCAATTAGCCTTAGTACAAATGGATTTTATTTTATTGAGCAATTATTTTCTATTTGATACTTATAAAAATACTATGAAATCATTGAAATACAGTTGGACCTCACAAGAAGACTAGTGTTAGGAAATCTATTATTGTTAATAAAAAAAAAAAAATTATTTTGCGAGTAGAGGCCCAACTGTATAAACACTTGTACGTCATTAGATATCGTTAAGATATAAGAAATTAATTTAAAATTAATTGCTTGCAACAGATTCGACAGAAACTAGTCAGTGCGACGATAATATCGATCTGTTAAAAAACGTGAAGAATTTAACTTGCTACAACAATGGAGCAACAATTACAAGATACATTCATATAAAACACGCTGATTCATCCGTCAAGATATTTCGAGAAACAACTATTTGATAAAAGAAATATTTCATGGATTTTTTTAAATTTATTAAATATAATTATCAGATATATTGTGTTATATATATTAAATTTATCAGAGCTTTGAGTTTTCAAATTTTCCAGTAAATCCAAGCTCTTATTTGAATTAAAGTTTAATTTAGAAGTAAAATTCATAACTCATAACTTACAAACGTATAGGTATAATGTATTTTTAATTTATAATAATTAAACTTCCTAAAGCGTCTTGAAAAAATAATCTATAAGAAATTAGTACTTAATTTATAACAGTCATTATTATTATCAAAAAAATATAACAAAAATTATTAATGTTATTATAGGAATATACACTGTTCAGAGTACGGAGAGACTTTGTAGTCAATGTAACTCTATCTAGAGTTTACTTGTATTGTTTTGAACTCCGAACTGTAGTTTTTAAGTGTCATTAAACAATTCAACGTACTGTGTCATAATAGATTTATAGAGGGTATAGTTAGTTTTATGAAATATGCACGTTCTCCATTTATTATTATTTTCTATGAAAAATACTTTTTAACTAGAATAAATTATATTACTCTGTTAATTTATTACATTTTAACTATAAAAAAAGGCCATTCGGCAGCCGAAATGGAAGTAGATTTCATGATGAACAAATAAAATACTACTAGGGTTACATACAAAAAAAATAAATTTCTGTTACATTAAATAACAATGACGTCAAAACGAATGCAAAAGTAAAATTTCATTACATCTGTCTGAAAAAGGAGGTAATTTTTGGCCTAGACTGATAATGAGGTACACAAATTGAAGCTTATTTAATAAGCTTTCAGATGCTCTTTATAGAATTTTGATAAGATATCGCGTTCAATTGTAATTGTACGGAAATACAGAAAAAGTGAAAATTTTTGCGATTTTTGAAAATTTTTGAATTGCTATTATTCCTATACTATTCAATTTGGAAAAATAAATAAGTATACAAATTGAAGCTTATTAAATAAGCTTTCAAATGCACTTTACAGAAATCCGATAGGATGTCGCGTTCCATTGTTATTACACGGAAATAAGGTAAAAGCGAAAATTTTTTTCAATTTTTGAAAATTTTTTAATTGCTCTGATTTCTAAACTAATCGATAGATTAGGCTCATCTTAGAACTTAATCTTGGAAATCGTCCTAAAAATAAGTATGTTACGTTTTATTGAGATCCGTACAGAATTGCGGGAGTTAGGGAAGAGACAAGGCCGGTTATATCGTGTATATATATACACATACATAAATAAACTTTTGAACCATATGCATTTTCTGAATCCGCTTGACGAGCTGAGTCGAAATATAGCAAAATTTTTCAAAAGTTCCGTCATAAGGACCAATGCAATAGTTAGATTTCTATGAAATCTACTAAAAAATCAAGAAAATATGTTAGAGAAACTTTAATATTTTATAGATAAGTACTATGGCCGAGCAAAAAATAGGCATTTTTTCCTTAAGAAAAAAATCTCAATTCATCATGTAAGGAACTCTCTCTGATGAAAAGTTTCATAGAAATCAGTCAAAAATTTATAAAATTTTCAAAATCGTCAAAAAATAAATTTTGTCTTTGCTTCTAATCATAAATTTTCTTTATTATTATTGTACTAATTTTTACTTCAAGGGTAGGCTATAGTAAATTTACTTTAAAAAATTATAAAATTGAACGATACAAAACTTCCACAACGTTTAATCGTTTGTTCTTTTTTAGAAAATTCATTTTATTTGATTCTATAATTTATCCGAGTTTATTTAGTTCAAAAAGCTACACTCGAAAAAAAAATTTATTTTGAAAAAAATGACCTAAGATAAAAAATGAGCTAAGAAATAAAATTGTTTAAAATGTTCAACAAATTAATTTCTTGTCACAGCAATGTCCATTTTTTTTGATAAATTTTTTCTCTCAGTGTATCTTAAATTCAGATGACTCAAAAATATGTAAAGTAAATTCTCAGAAAAAATCTTTTCAATTTATGAATGATAAAATAAAGAAAAAAGAAAACAAATGATTTTTTTATAATTCTAAAAATTTATTAAAATTTTGGTGATTCTTAAAAATTATTAATCAAGTTTATTATTGGAGAGATTTTCTCAAATATGATAAATTAACATATTTCTATAAAAAATAAGAATAAATAATCGGTTAATTGCACCGATTTATTTAACATCGTAAAATGTACTTTTTCGTCCTTGAAATTAAGAGCTTCTAAACATTTTGTTAAAATCAAATGAAGAATCAGACAAATAAACAATATCAAATATTATAATGCAGTGTAAAACACTGCTTAACATGTAATGTTATGATTTTTTTATTAAATTATTACCATATCGAACGTACTTATATAATATTAAAATAACGCTGAATGTATACTTGAAAGTAGTTAATGTGATTGTTTCTAAAGTTACTGTTCTTCCCATCATGTTGCTACATAAAATTCAATTAATCTATCAACTACTAAATGGTATCTTAATAAACTAAAAATGACTTATACTACCAATATTTAAAAATAATAAATTATTCGATATTGAAGAATGAACTCCACAAATAATTATCAAAATGTTATTACTTTTTAAGAGATATCATTATTAAATAAAAAATACTCTTTATATTTATTTTAAAGTAACTATCATTACTTAAGACTTTAACTATTATTTTTTCTATCATATATAATATGAGAAAGAGAGAAAAAGATATTGTTAATTATTACTTAATACTTACCAAAATGTAAAAAATTACTTGTTTTTAAAACTTAAAAAATTTATTTAAAATTATAAATAAAAGTCAATAAATTACAAAAATATTTTTACTTTTTGAGACGAAAGGTTATGCAAATGAGCATACTTTAATTTTATTATGTAATGATGTTTATATTATGTGAAATAAGAATTCATATTTACTCCATAAAAAGTACAACTTCCAAAAGATATAATAAAGAAATGTTCAAAAATAAATATGTTAATTATTTTAAACAATGTCAAACTTATTTAAAAAAGAAACAACATTATTTGTATAAGGTGTAATCGATAGTATCCTCTTTGGAGTATTCTAAAATCAAATTTTGGCCGTCCGATAAAATATTATCATTCAATAAACTTGATACTAGAATATCCATTTTATTAATTATAACTTGACCATTCAAATGATTAAACAGCTTTAATTTTATTGGATTTGATGTATTATTAGCATTATTTATTCCAATAATATCAGCAATTGAATCAATGCTTTTTCCAATTGTCCAATCATCACTTATAAAGACAGCACGAGGCTCTTTTTTAACAACTTTAAGCGGTGGATAAATGAGAAAATATTTACGATGTACTAAAGGAATATTATTTGAACCTGTTGCGCGTCCTTTTAACTTCATTAACTGTACCTAAAATTTGATATTAAAATGCTTAACAACAATTATTATTGTAATAATAATAATAATAATAATAATAATAATACACTGAAAAACAATTATTTGAGTCAAGAAAAATATTTTTTTTTAATTGCAACCTCCTTTCAAAACATTATGTTTTCTCAATTTAGAAAATCATTTACCTTAGATTAAGGGGTCATTCTGGTTGGTTATTTAAAAAAAAAAAAATTTTATTACATTTTTCGAAAGTAGATGTATCTAAAAGTATTGTGTCAAAATTTCCAAGTGATCGGACCAGTGTAAATAATATATTATTTTATGATGTTTATGTGGATACTCAAGTGGAAAAAAATCAAATTTTTGAAAAGGCTGATGAAATTATGTATAGTGCCGGCATCGCTAATTGACTTTAGGTAAGATTTTTTTTTTTTAATTAAAAAAACTTTAAACGCGTTTATCTCAGAAATATGTTTCTTTGGTTGATGTACATTAGACTGTTTCAAAAAAATCGACAATTTTTTTTTTCTTATTAATATTGAAAATATTTTTAAATATTTTTGTTTTTTCAGACTAATTGGTTTATAATTTTTATTTTTTTGCAATTGTAAATTGACTATATTTACAATTTATTGGCAGTCCAGCCTATTCCACTTTGCAAATTGAAAATATTGTTTGAAATGATGAAAAAAAAATCCTGTGAAAATTAGAGCTCCTAATATTAATATTAAGAGGTGCCGAGTCGAAAATTTCAATTTCCCATTTGATTAACGTGGGAAAATTTTTTATTTCTAACTTTGTAATTTTTTAACTCTTTAACAAGTCATCGGACTAGTTGAGTCAGAACATATTTTTGTAGCGAATTAAACGCTGTACAAAAAAGCTTTCTTATAATTTTTCGATAAACCGATGCGTTTCGAAGATATTCAACTTTAAAATATATTTTCTTATTTTTTTCCAATTTTTTGACGAAACTATCAAGTTCATCAAAATTTTTTGTTTTTCAACTAAAAATTATTTTTATCTATTATTTATTGGATTTTATAAGTTCATAATATTATATATTTTAAATTTATGCAATTAATTTTATTATCTCAATAAAAATGTAATATCATAATTTTATTATTCATCAAAGCTAGTTTCACAGTTAAAATGATCGAAGCGCGAAACAAAGAAGACATCGGTTGTACTATTTGTTCTTAATTAACTTCACTACTACTATACCATCAAAAATGCTTCAAGGACGCCCCCTCCCTTAGTTAGTATATAACCACCTTGCACTGCAACGCTGATTGTTTCGCGACTCGACGTTTTAACCGAGCTTTTTTGATTTGGGTAATAATTACCCACTGTTCTTACCTCCAAATTCGGACTTTTATTGTTGCTATAGTTTATCATTGTTTTTTTGTGAATATTTTGGCTTGTATTTTAAATTCATTTGTAATTAATTCATTCTTATCCTAGAATTCTTTTTTCATGTGTTATTGTCCAATTATTTGTTGACCGATATTTATTTTTCTCTAATTTAATTCGTAACTGAGTACTTTTTTGAATGGATGAAATCAATGATAAAAAATGGATAAAGAAGTTTATTTAATTGATTTTCCAATAAGTGGTCTTGTTGACGTAAAGTTCCAACTTTTAGGGACATTTTAGCTTTATTTTTCTATAATCTATCTAAATCTATCTATAATCTATCTAAAATCATAAAGTACAAAAATGTAGTGTTAAAGAAAGTGCTTTATTTACTGTGACCGAGGTTTAAGAACAATGGAAAAAGGCTCAAATTCCTACTTCTGAAATTCTAAATACCATCAATAAGTTATTGAGAATTTTCGAAAAGTGGAAAAGTTTGCAGCGTAGTTGTAAACGAAAACGATCATCCACGCAAATCAAAAATGAAACTGTTTATAAGAATAAGTTGAAGGAGTTATTGAATATTGCTCACAAGATAGCAGCCAAAACCTTAAATGAAGAGGGAAATGAATTATTGTTAGCCCAGAAATCATCAGGTAGGCGTGAATTTATAGATAATTTTCCATAAAAACCTCTAACATACGAAGAACCATTCCTGCAATTTCCCGCTAATTTCATACTTAAGCGCTCAAAATTGCACTTACTACGTTTTTGAGCTCTTCGAGCTCAAAAATATAATTTTCGTGTCATTTTGAGCTTTCCAAACTGAAAAGTCTGGTAGAGGTTAAAAAAAACACTATTTTTTGAATTTTCAAACCTCAATAACTTTTGAATGAATTAACTGATTTTCACGTGGTTGGTGGCATTCGACGCAGTTTTCCAGGCCTCATAAAGAGTTCTCAAGTCGATTGGAGTAGGAATTTTGATGTAATTTAAAAAAAAAAAACATTTTTTTCGGTTTTTTTTTTACAACGATAACTCACGAACAAATCAACTGATTTTGACCGGGCTAGAGGCGATCGACGTGTTTTTTTAATGTTAAGAGCTGATTAGTTTTTGGAATTAATCAGCAGAGCTGTTTAAAAGTTATTCCAAAAAAGCCACATTTAAAAAAAAATTTTTTTTGTAGTTTTTTTAAGCTTTCTCAAAATCTACCGGTCCGAATCGGTCCAAAGTGTATTCAAAATCTAAGTTTGGTCAAGCCCTTTCGCGCGCGCGCGCGCAAACACACACACATCATCGCGGAAACATTCGGGGAAGTTTCCTAGGACCTCTAAACATCACATCCGTTGAAAACTTGATTTTTGAAAAACGGGGTGAAACCAATAACTTCCCAATTTTTTTAAATTTTCAATTTTCTTAGCGGGAAGTTAAAAAAATAATTATTAGCTGAAAAAAAAAATAATTTGAATTTATTGATAAATTTAGATACGATGGTATTAGAAATTTGACAGTTAAATAAAAGCATCTGTGAAATCAAATAAAATTTAGAATACGAAAAATTTGAAATATTTGACAAAATTTTTTGATAAATTTGATAGTTTCGTCAAAAAATTGGAAAGAAATGAGAAAATATTATAGACTAGCGTTTATCCGCGGCTTCACTCACGTTGAAGCCCTTAAATTAATATCAAAGATCATTACATTCCAATAGAACTGAATCAATGTGATTCTAATTTTTTGACAAACAATTTTTTTATTTTTCGTAAAAAATAAATTTTTTTTTTAATAAAAAGTATCCTATGTTACTTCGAATACCTCCAAGAATATTTGTACAAAGTTTCATGATGATCGGATAAGTAGTTTTTGCATGAAAGCGTAACAAACAAACTTACATTCACATTTATAATATTAGTAGGGATTATATTTTAAAGTTGAATAACTTTGAAACACGTCGGTTTATCGAAAAATTATAAGAGAGCTTTTTTGTAGAGCGTTCAATTCTCTACAAAAATATGTTCTGACTCAACTAGTCCGATGACTTGTTAAAGAGTTAATAAATTACATTTAGAAAAAAAAATTTTCGACTCGGCACCTCTTAATATTAATATCAAGAGCTCTAATTTTCACAGGATTTTTTTTTCGTCATTTCAAACAATATTTTCAATATTAATTAGAAAAAAAAAATTGTCGATTTTTTTAGACAGTCTAATGTACATGATATGTCCGAAATGACAGACCTGATCTTAATGTAATTTAAACCACATATTCTACAAAGTAGTAGCTATTGCATCAGCTACAATCAAATCTGAATTTTGATTATTTTCTATTTTTTTAGGGCTAAAAAATGTGAAAAAAGCCTCAGTTTTCAGTTTTTTTTTTTAACTTTTTTTTTTTTTTTTTTTTTTAAATAAGCCGTTATCAAGTTATCATGTACGTCAGCGACATACTAACTTTTGGAGTAGTTCCGTTCACCCATTGTTTATTCATATAAAAAATAAAATTTAGATATTTTTCGTGTTATTAAAAAGTGTATATACTGAGCAGAATAAATTTTATATTAATATCTATAATAGTTTCTGAGTAAAAAAATCATGAATATTAGTTTTTTTTTTTTGAACGCCGGAACTAGAATGACCCCTTAATTAATTATGACTCATGAATGAAGAATCAAAAAAATTATGATGTTCTTCGTTGAAGAATTTGATTATATTGGTTAGAAATAATTAGGAATTATAAATTATTGAATGAAGACAATTAGTTTTCTTCAAGATAATTTTAAAAATTAAGTATTATTTTTCTTTGGTCGACTTAGTTTTGTTATCAGTGTACTTAAAAAAGAAGAATATATATTATAATTTACCTTTTGTGCTAATGCAGAATTTTTTGATTTTTTACTTTTTTCGGCAATTTGAGTGTCTACAACATTTTTAGCGATTGAAAATTGATGTTTAGGTTCTTGCCATGCTTTTAACTCATTAGAGATTTCTTCGTCTGTTTTTTCAAAACATCCATGGTGTCGATGGCTTAAGCAGAAGTGTTTTTTACATTCAGTACAAATCATTTCAATAATTGAACTACTGTTACAAGATTTATCAGTACAGATATATTTATCAGAAGCGGCACTGTCCAATTTTTCGACGACATTATCTTTGCACTTGGAGCAATTATGTGATGAAACGTGAAAATGTAATTTACAAAATTCTAAGGAACAATGTGTACAAGTATGGATTAAAAAATCATTTTGTTTACAAAAATTTACACTACATTGCTTCCCTAATTGTGGTAATTCCATTTTGAAAATTAATATTTTTAATTATGTGAAGGCGTAGGTGAATGGAAATGATTTTCACTAAATGTTCCAAGAGCTAAATTACTCCACTTCTGTTCTAATTCTTTCAAAGTCATATGAGAATCTCCGTTATCGCTCTCTGGATCTGGCAACTCTGATGATGGGACAACTATGTCGTCAATAGGTAATCGCTCTTTTCTCCAAGCCTCATCAATCAATTCTAAAAGTCGTCCGTCTCCAGTTATTTGACTATCCATTGTCACAAATCACAACACAAAATCTAAATTTATTCTTTTAATTATTCGATTGTATAAATAGGTTTTAAAAAATATGTAAGCATGGTGAATTGATTTATAATAATTATTGTTAAATAGAAATTATGCATTTATAACGCAGTTTTCGTTTTAAATATTAGAGAATAAATTAAAAAATTTTAAAACGGCTTATTCTTCAGACTTATATTTTTTATCTTTCACGATTCAGAATACTTCAATACAGAAAAATATTAAGGATTTTTTTTTTCAAGCAATCACATTTCTTTTCTTAAAGTTTAACAAAAACTGATGAAAAATAGAATTCAGAGTAAAAAATTTGCAAAAGTTTCAATTTATCGAAAAAAATAAAAATTTATTGAAAAAGTAACTGAAAATTCCTACTTTTTAACAAATATTTTTTAATTGTTTATTTTTACCCGTAAAATATGGTAAAAATACAAAACACCGCTAGACTAAGACGAAGAAATTGTATTAACAAAATTTAGATTGAAATAAAATTTTTGTTAACATTAATTGAAAGCTTTGAAGCTCATTAAAAAATTTATTATTACAAATTTTCATGATTATTATTGTTAATCCAATGTTAAACAGAAAAATTTATGGAAAAATATTTTTAAAATGTCAATAATTTAATTTCTTATGTAAAAAAAAATTAGATAATCGCAGAACTAAACAATTACCTTTGGTTACTTAAGATTGCTCAAAAATTTTTTTAATTTAAAAAACAGTATGAATTTATCAAGTGCGCGTATTCAAAATCATTTCTTACGAAACCGATTATTTCATGATCTTTTACTCTTTGATTAATTTGACATTTTTACGTTATTGCACTACCCTTATTAGACAAAAGACTTCATATGGTAAACCCCTATAAGAGATAGTATTTCAAATTATTTAAAGGATTAAAAAGTATTCAAAATGATTAAAAAACAAATCATTTTTTTTATTCTTTAATAATTTTGTTTAAAAAGGATAATTGATTTTTCAAAAAATATTGCGAATCATTTTAAGAATTTTTTTTTTTAATTTATTTTTTAGTATTTACTCTTTATCAGAATTAATGTAAAAATGGTTATTCATTGCTTATTTCTACTTGAATATTCAATTATATAGACGTTTAATAATTTAGATAGTTTTTTTAAAACATTAAAATACAAAGAATTTATGTGCATAAAATTCAAAAAGAAAAAAAGTTTCTCTGCATAGTTTCTCTACAAACTGTGAATAATTTTTTTTTTTTGATGTTTCTTATTCGGTCTTTGTCAAAATTTAATCTTTTGTAAAATGAATAAAATTTACATCTACATCTCGCATAAATTTATTTTTCCAGTTAATAAATTAGGCTTCTCTATAATATATATACCTACCCTATCCTCTATCCATTTATTCATAACCTGATTTTAAATTCAGTTTATAACTTGACAAGTGTTAAAAATTTGATACTTAAATTAACAGACGATTGAAAACCTTTATAATTTCTTATAAATCACAAATTGACAAAAAACAAAAATAAGAAAAACATTTTTTCAAATAAATTTTCAGGACTAATTTCTTTATCAAATAAAACTAAAAAATTGTCAGTTGTCTGCTGATTTCTGTATTTTTAAAAGGTGTCTGATTTGGTGTCTGCTTGCATATCAAATGATTTTATTTCACCTTTTACCGACTAATTATCATTGATATTTATTAATATATTTATGAATTATAGATATTATATTTTCAGAATCTCAATACACATATTCATCATTCTTATTTCTTACTTAAATCTAAAAATATTGTTTTTATTAAAATAAAATACGAGGGGCACTTATTGAAAAAAACTTACACAAATAAAATAATTCTAATTGTATATGTAAAATTTATCAGCTAATACTTACAGTAAGTTCAATTTTTTAACGGACTGACCATTCGAGATTCACCCAAAAATATACTTCTATTACTCAAATATTTCTCTTGGAAAAATCCTAAAAATTTTTATAATCATTAATTATTGTTTATTATATTATTTATCACAACAAACATTTATTATACATACCTTTTTTCTGATTTCCAACGTCATGCATGAATTCAAAATGACTGTAATTATACTAGCAATCTCTAAAACTTATTCTGGTTTAATGACTTGTAATTTATGAGTCTGTTTTTTTTTCTTTATTTTAAGTTTGTGATTGCTTTCGTAGCGAATAGTTGGCTTGTCACTTTGAAAAATATTTTTTCCAAGTATGAAGTGTCTCTCTGATGGAAACTTATCACCTTAAGGTTGTCCTAATGTAACAAATAGTCTGCTTCAAAAAATAATAGTAATAATAGTGGGGATATGAAGATACATGTAGGTGAAGTTTAAGTAATAATGGCGGGACTAACACTCTCCTGTTGCGACCCTGTAAACAATTTTCAAGTACGAGTATAAATGTATAAATACTAACGTTAATAATTTGTTGTTTGTGTCAGTTGCTGTTGCGGCTCTATTTTTATAATATACCAGGTTATGTGATTTATTGCAATATATCTTTAGCTGGAAAAAAAATATATTTTTTATAGTATTTCATGCTATTTAAATAAAAATGACTTCCGAAAAAAGTGATTCCAAGGCATGGTATGATGATGATGTTGATGAAAAAGCAGAATCAAAGGTTAAGATTGAAAATTGCGATATTGATTCTATCAAAATAGAATCGAGTATTAAAAATGAAAGCTGCGATATAGATTCAGTCAAAACAGAAAATGATGATTTTTTATTAAACCCCGATTCTAATATATCTGAAAATATTGATGTTACACGTAAAAGAATCCGAAATACGAGTCCAGATTCCAAAACAGTACGACTTTTACGTGACCGAAAAAACAGCGAAAATAGTGAATCTAATTCTAGCACATCATCTGATCACAAAAAAAAGAAAATAGAGTATGAAACGGAACCCAGCATTCTAGCACGCCGACAAAAAGAAATTGATTATGGAAAAAACACCATTGGATATGATAGATACATACAAATGGTTCCAAAGTATGTTCATAGTTTGTTTATGTCTTGAATATTGTATCGCTCAGTTGTAATTTTTTTTTTTAAATTTATTACAGAAATGAAAGAACAAAGGAGCATCCTAAAACTCCGCCAAAACATGCTAAGTACAGCAGAAGAGCTTGGGACGGTATGGTAAGGCTTTGGCGAAAACAACTTCATCAATGGGATCCATCTGGCGAAACAAATGAGAATTCTGAAGATTCATCCTAATTTGAAGTTTATTTTTTACTTTAAACAATTTGATTTAAAGCCATATACAAAGAGTTAATCTTTTGATATCCATAATGTAAATTATTTCGTCTTCTGATTTAATTTATACCAATAAATCAAAATATTTTGGATCTAAGAAAAGATTTTTTTTTTACATATATTAATTTATTTATTTATTGTTCTACAGTAAAATTCTTTAGAAAATCTAGTGACTTTATAATTTTATCTAATTTTTCATTTGTTCTAGCTTCCAACAGATCTATTTTCCTCGAAAGTCGTTGCTCCATTTGTGAAATCTTCAAATCAAGCAAAGTTTCAAGAGCTTGATGATAATTTGTTGAGTCAATACTCGCAGATTTTAATTGTTCATTTTTTTCATACTGCTCATTAGTTAAAAATTTCACGTTCGACTCAACATCGTCACGATCAACTTGCAAAACATTGTTTGCGTTGTTATTTGTTGTGAGATCGTACTTATTACTAATATTGTCATGTTTTTTATCAACGACACAACTTAATTTTCCTTGTACTTTATTTGCTTTCTCCAGTAATTTTAGTAAACATTCATTCATTACAGATGCATCAAAATTTTCTGTAACGTTTGAAACTTCTGATTGTTGGAGCAGAAGCCGGATTCCATAGAGAAACATTTTAGATTTGTTATTCTTAATTCTTGTAAACTGTAGAATAAAAATATACTTTGTAAAAGTCTGATATTATTAGATCAAATCAAGAAAATTATCTACACTCGAATATTCTTTACCTTTATACTGACTTCAGACGATGGTCGTTCAAATACAACATCGGCATAAGTAACAACAGAATCTTCAAACTCATCAATCATTTCAGTAAAAACGGTTGTCGTATATTCTCCAAATTCCTGGAAAATCTCTAAGACAGAAGCTTCAGAAACTATTCCTACTCGTTTAATTTTTGTTCCCCTATTTTTCAATTTTATCTCCACTGTACAAGGCTCGCTGTCATTTGCCTTTTGCTTTATTGTAATACATGTTTTTTCGTCTGCAATATCTTCAAGAGATATTCTGGAAAAATTATAAGGAATATAATGTCAATACTTTACTATGTTGAGTAATATAATTAAAATTATACCCATCTAAGCAGTCAGCTGCTAAGCCAATTGAGATTGAATTGCTTAACTTTTTTGTATTTCCAACTACTTCCCAATTTGATGATACATCAAATGAAGTAATAAATTGATTGCTGTTAATATGAGGTGTTGACATATTTTCTTTTCCATTTAAATTCATTGAAAATAGTTAAATACTGAAAATATACAATCAAATTGTTTTGTTCTGATTGAACTTCAAATTAATAGTCACTTAAATTCTAAAATTCTATTATGTTCTAAAAACGTCAATCATAAAAGTTACATCAAACATTGGGTAAAAACGTAATTGTTCGCAAAACAATTTATTGCAATTTATGAAAATACGTCTCTGAGAGCTAACATGCTCTCGGTGTTTTGAGTAGCTTGTTTACACTGAAAAAAAAAAAAAAAAAAAAAAAAAAAAAAAAAACAGTGAAATTAACATAAATCTCAATGAATATTGCTTTCATTACTTTTCATTTTCTTAAAAAATGAAAGTGAATTCTAGCATTTGTCATAGATTTATTTTATAAGTAATCTTTAAATTAAATTACACAGTTATAACTTTTTTATGCTTCCTTTATAGGCGACATGAAAATTAATTAATATTGTCTTATTTTATTGAAAAGTTAATGAACTAACCCTGAGATTTATACATTACACTGTACATAGGAACTTTTTCTGACTGATGGATCTGAAATTCCACAAATTATCACGTTTAGCGCTAGTTAAGAAAAAAATTTGAAATAACTTGTTTCGGTTTCTGTCGTGCCAGTTTTTCAATTGAACAAATAAGTTTGTAAAAAAAACATATCTAAAAAAAATTGCATTTTTTATTGTAGTTTTCTAAAGTTATTACAAGTAGAATTTTTTTTATTTTCTTTGTAATAATTTATTTATTAAAAAAATTGTTAAATGTCTGGTGATTGAAATTTTATGAAAACTTCCCCTTAGCCTAAAGGTACACACTATACATGTTTATTTACGGATGTACACTGTATATAGATAGTACTTATTTACTTATTACAGATTGGCATCAATGTTAATGTGTTCATAGTTCATACCTAAGACAGATTCGTATGCCAACGCTTTTATTCGTTTACACCAAAATCGTACAATCGACTGAAATTGTTTAAATTTATTACTTGAAAAAGTCTATTTAAATTTTTTATTTTTAATCAAGTTTGACAAGCTTGTATTTCTATTTATTAAATAGAAAAAATTTGATAAAAATGTCGATTGGAGTTCCAATAAAAGTGCTTCACGAAGCCGAGGGTCACATCATAACCTGTGAAACGAATACCGGCGAGGTTTACCGCGGAATATTGATTGAAGCTGAAGACAATATGAATTGTCAAATGCAAAATATTACTGTAACTTACAGAGATGGTAGAGTAGCTCAATTAGAAAATGTTTACATTCGTGGCTCCAAAATAAGATTTCTCATACTGCCGGACATGTTGAAGAATGCGCCAATGTTTAAGAGACCTGGTGGAAAAGGATCTGGTACAGCAGGTCGTGGAAAATCTGCGATTCTTCGAGCTCAAGGTTTGTTCACTTTACCATTTTTATTTTGAACTTTTTGACAATTAAAAAATATTATTGTTAAATCAGTTCTTTTATATTTTGATATTAGATTTTTTAAGCTGCAAGTATCGTCAAAATTTAGTATTTTTCAATCAATGTTTCAAAATTAATTAAAATAAATATCTATGAGAAAAAAATCATAATAATCAATTAATTGTTTAGCTAGAGGAAGAGGCCGAGGACAAAATCAAAGAGGTCGAGGTACTGGTTCTGCACCGTGGCTCAATCAACAAACTCAACCAAGTGGTTCTCAAGCTGGTAGAGGAAGAGGATAATTTAATATATCTAATTACTGTATACTTATTCGATCACTTTCCGTATCATTAATTTTTGCAAAAACTGTTTTTCAATTCTTACCTAATTAGATTGTATTTCAAATTATGAATAATAAGTGATAAGTTTCATAATACTAATCGAATTATTATTTGTTCATACTTAGCAAGCAGTATTGATCTTCATTTATTTATGCGATATTTTTTAATTATTATTAATTAGAAAAAATATTAAATTATTAGTAATCAAATAATTAACTATAAAATTTTTTTACCAAAAATCTTAACTCATTGAAAAGTTATACAAAATTTTATTCTATTGAATATACATAATTCAATCAGACTTTTCGGTCGAGTCTTATAAATTTAATAAAAGTGAATTTACTTTTATTGATTAAAAAAAAAATCAATCTTTACATTAATTGAATGTTTTGATATTTGAAAGTTTTATATGATTTACTCATATTTGTTTTTTACTTATTTCTATTGTTTCACTTTTTTCAAAGACTAAGGGCCAGTTTGTCAATCCGAGATAAAATTTTATTCTATGCCAATATTATATCGCATACCAAATGCCAAAAGGACGTATTATAGCAGTTAGATAGAGCTCCATGCCAAAAGGGCGTATAAAAAAAAATTTTTTTTGCCATTATTTTTAGAATCGCTCGAAACGTAAAGATCTGCAGAAAAAAAATGTTTGACATACTAACGCCAAAAGGGCGTATCTTAAGATATACACCCTTTTGGCTTTAGGAAATTTTTTTTCATTTTTAGGCTTAGAATATGTAATGTTTACAAAACGATTGGCACCAAAAAAAAAAAATTATACGCTCTTTTGGCTTTGGCACGCGATGTGTCTTTATATTTCATGTTTATAGATATACTGGCAATAATAATTTTATCTCGGATTTAAAAACTGGCCCATATACTTTAAGAAATTTAATTAAAAAACAAAAGTTCATTAGGTAGCATATTTTTAACTAATAATCAGAAAATTTTCTTACAAAAATACAAACAGTCGATTATTTTTTTCTGGTTGAATTCAATTCGATTTAAACTTGTATTAGAATGTAAAATTGAAATTAATTGTTTCTGAGTGTACGTCAGCTGTGATTGATGAACTAGAAATGCTTTGTGTAAAATTTTAGATAACAAATTTATTTTTACTTATTTGCTATCATGTTTATAAATGGTATCATAAACGTCGGTACGGCGTTGATTAATTGTTGGTATTTGACTTCTCACTTCTTCCACTATAGATGAATCTAAAAATTAAAGGAATAAGTTAATCTAACTGATGAAGGTGATACTTTGGCTATCTTAAAATGCTGGTTTTACTTATTTCTGTAACTATCATGTTTTCATGAACATCCAAATCATGAACTACTTCTCCCCAAGGATTAGTCAGTTGGCTATGCCCCCACGCGACATAACTTGCTGTAGTATCACGTGCTGGAGAAACACATGCTACGTAGCATTGATTATCATTAGCTCTTGAGCGTTGAAGGAGTTGCCAGTGTAATGGACCGGTGGTCATGTTAAATGCTGCTGGATACACTAATAAATTGCATCCTAAAGTCAAAAATAAATTTTAATGATGATAATAAAAGATTATGAATTAGCAGACATCTAAGAATTCTTGAATTTTTTATAACAAATCAATTAATGTAGAAAAATTATTTTAAAAAATTTGCACTTTAAATCTTTTAAAATTTCTACATGTGTAATTTTTTTTGCTAGATTTTTTTACATTGTAATTTAATCAGTATAAAAATCTAAAAAATTGTTAGATCTGTGTTAAAATCAGTATCATAATAATAATTGAATTCTAAGTAAAGGTTACAATATATATTTCAATGATATTAAATGAATAATTTACCTTTATTACGATACAGGCGTGCCATTTCTTCAAATCTTATATCGTAACAAACACCAATTCCGATTTTGAAATTATTTATATCAATAATTGTTAATGAATTGCCTGCACTCAAAACTTCACTTTCGAAAAATCGTATCTTATCTTTTATATCAATATCAAACAAATGGACCTAAAACATATCAATGATATTAATCAATAATTGCTATAACTATTTCTACTAATATGTTACTTTTCTATGTTTTGCTATGAGATGACCTTCGGTGTTCCAAACAGTGCAAGTATTATACAGTGCATCATTATCCCTTTCAAGAATAGTACCAGCAATAATATTTATTTTTAAATCTTTAGCTGCTTTCGATAGTGCTAAGCTTGTTTCACCAGTTGGAATATTTTCAGCATATTTATTAAAGTATTCTGCAATAATATGAATTGTACATTATGAAAAGAATGATATTGAAATTAACAGACGTCTAATAATTTTTTGAATATTTATAATTAATTAATTATTATAAAAAAAAATTTAAGAAACTCGCACTTTTAATTTTTTTTTAATTTCTATGCGTATATAAATATTTTTTGCTAAATATTTTTCATTATATTCATTTAATTTAGTATCATTAAAAAGAAAATTATTTAAATCTTGAAATGAACAGTCTTATCTAATTTGATTTTAAAATTTTTTAAATGCAAAATATATTTCTCTAATTTTCAATTTTATTTTAAGAAAAAAAAATGATACAAACGTGGACCATAAGGAGAATTAAAACATTCTGGAAGAATGACAACATCAGCAAATTGTTTTTTCGCTCGTTCAATAAAAGAAATTGCTTTTTCTATATTGGCTTGTTTGTTGGAGCCGATGAGTAACTGGGCCAAAGCTAGTCGTAGAGCTATTTTCAATAAAAAATTTTAATTAATTTATAATATATATAAAAAATATTTATTTTATGCTTACAAATGCTAAAAATGACTTACTTGACATTGTTTATATTCTTTCGTTAAAAACTTGTCTTCAATAATGCAAAACAATTTATAATGGATATAAAATACCTAAAAATAATTTTATTTAAAAATTTATAAAATTTTTCTTACAGGGTGACCTGAAACATAAAAAATAATCAAAATTACTTGGAAATAGTTGTAAAGTATTTTAAAAATTTTCATTGATTTCAATTAAAAAAAAAAAATTTATAAAATATTACGTGGATATATATTTTATAAGATTACGTGGATATATTTGCTATTATAATTATAATAACTTTATCTCAGCATAAGTATAACCTCCACTTATCTATCGACGAGATATAATAAACAAACACTTATCGCTTAATACATTATTTTAGAAAATAAGTTACTTGCGAATTTTACATACCATTTAATTAATTAATGATTGCATATATCGTTTGAACAACAGTGAGAAAAAAAATCTATTAACAGTAGTAATTAAATGTCTTAAAAGCGAACAACATGACATGAACACAAATGAATTAAAAGATCAGTTCTTGATCCAATTGGATGTGCAAATAAATTTAAATACTTATTATGTATGTAAATATATGAATATAAACATATCCATGTAAATATGTAAATATGAATGTGATGTATCCATATGCGTAATGATAAATTTTTAAACTTTAGACCTTGATAACTTGATAACTTTAAAACCTTTTACAATTATCCGATTTATTTCTTCAATAATTAAATAATGATTTTTTTTTTTTGACTATCGGCACTGAAAAATTGAAGAACTTGTACGTCTGTGAAACACTAGCATTGTCAATCATTATTTAAGCAACAAAATTTATTTTTATGATGATAAATTTGTTGCGAATTAGTTACTCTAATTAGAATTTTGTTACTTGATTAGATTCCGAGAAATCATTAATAATATCAGTAAATGCTGGATTGTGTTAATGCTAACTTTACAGGCGTAAAATTTGTTCTAAGAAAAATGGAATCAGCTAATCCTTTGGGAAGATTTTTTTTTGTACCTAAAAGTAACATTTCAGATAACAAGACAAATAAATTTTTTTTTTCCTACATAATTTATTTTATATAATTTTAAAAAGTATCACATAAAAGCATTAAATCATTTAATCCACTATTCTATAGTTTGTACAATTTAAAATAAAAAAAAAATTATCGCTTTTCATCGAGGTTGATATTTTTGAAGTTTAACAATTGAGTGTACTAAAAAAAAAAATAAATACTCATCAATGTTAGGATACAATTATTATAATTTTTTATCATACATTTAAACTTATAACATAGATAATTTCAATACCTTCTTTTTCGATTCATCTCGTTCATCCCACAATGTTTTGCCATCACAGCTACAGATTTTTTTTACATTTTCAAATATTCCACATGATCTCGCTATTATTCCGCATGCTATCCTGCAATTACATTATTAATAAATACTTGTAAAGATCAAAATTATATGTAACAAACTGTTAATCATATCTAAGTACTTAGAACCGCTGTTTCCGTCAATTTTTGAATTCAAATTTTTTCCTTTTCCTAAATCATCTTCATTTTCAGTAACAACAAGAGATCTTCCAATGATATCTGAAACTTTTATATCATCGTTTTGAAATCTAAACAATGCTCGTCCAGCTTTGTCTGCAATTATATTTCCAAGATCTCCCATGTGCTAAAAAACGAGTCGAAAAAATTATAATTATTTATTCTTAATATCTACAGCAATTTAAAATTGATTAGTAGTTACTTTATTAGAAATATCGTCTTGAGGACCTCCATGACTGCAGTTATAAGGATTTAAATGTGAACCTACTGATTCGCAGCCATTAGAGATATCACCGCATTCATGAATGTGTAATCCATGTGCTCCAGGACTTAATCCATCGATTGTACCATCAACCAAACATCCTTTTTGGGTTTCAATAAATCTTACAACTCCTTGAGTATTAAGATTTCTACTAAAACCAGAAGTTCCACCGATCATAGATACTGCGCTCGAGCCGTCTGTAATTAATAATTAATAATTATAATACTTATTATTTGTACAAAGTTTATCTTGTTTTTGTCTATAAATAAGCCCACCTCCAAACCCTTTCAATACAGCTCGTTTACCCAAACTTTCAATCTTTTCTTGTATTACTGTATAAGGAAGTTTTGTCTCTACCAAAACAGTTCCTCTATCAAGAGAAACATCTAATTTGCTGATATCCTTGTCATTGCTAAGGCAATTTTTTATTGCGTTGACACATTTTTCGCAAGTCATGTTTACGGCGAATTCAATCTGAAATAATAAATTGAAATTAATACTTTATTTTAAATTTAATTCAACTATTTAATATTGCGTCTTACCTTTGAAGCCATTTTATCAGACATGTTTTTTTTTTTTTAATTAAAATTTGTTTTTATAGTCGCCAATTTTTTTTTTTTTTTTTTCAATTTACCTATAAATTGCAGTAGACTATTTTCAGGAAAACAAACACAAATGTTTTAATTTTTTATAATTTAGAAATTATTCATGTCAAACTAAAACCAGGTGAAACAATAATCTTTGAAAATGTTATAAAATAAATATTAATTTCCTTCAATCAAACAATATTTTTTTCATGTGTTAATTAAATGGTTTTTGATATTACGATTTTAAATAAATAAGTTCTATATAATAATGGTTGATTTTCAATTTTAATGTAATTTTATAGTTGGTCACATTGCAATTTGACATGAGACACGTAAAAGGCGCCCCGTCCCACGTAAAAGTGTAAAATTTCGTATGTACTAAAAAATTTGATCAATCAATTACAATAAAAAATTTTTTATTAAACTTTTTTCATAATAATTTCTTTGTTATAAAATTATAAAAAAAAATTTATAACGTTAGTTAACTTCAGTGTATGGAGAGTAAAGGGTACCCCTACTCTCCATATTTCATTGTCATATCAAAAATGGCGCTCAATACTACCACTGCAATCTAGCGGAATAAACAAAAAATATGCAATTGCGCTTGCATCAAAATACACTCCAAAAAGTGGAGGTTAATTCTTTATCCGTCAGTTTTTCAATGTTGTTTTTTTGAGAGTACAAATCACTACATAAATATGGATAACTTTTCTAATTATAAATAAACTTTTTAATATTTTCAATAACAAATAATATTTGTAATATGTGATTTGTTTTACGAGTAATAAATTTAACATTAAAAATTTTTTAATTTTTATAACAATAAGTTAACATGGTTATAATTATTATTGTTAAGGATAAATTTATATTAAAATCTATCCCAATAATAACATAAGTGTAAATCAGACTGACTGCAAAAATGGCTCACCTCTCAATAAGAAGGTGGTTTTTAAAATTTTACGGAAAAAGACAATTTAGTTCAAAGGGCAGAAATCATTACGAAAGTTTAGAAATAAATTCAAAAGCTACTCAAGGTGAAATAAAAAAAGCATATTATAAATTATCAAAACAGTATCATCCAGATATAAATAAATCTCAAGAAGCTCCAGTAAAATTTCGTGATGTGGCAGAAGCCTATGAAGTTTTAGGAAATTATGAAAAACGTAAACAATATGATAGAACTATTAAAGTTCGATCACCTACTTACCATAAGCGTGAGAATATAAAGCCAGCCGATATTAGCAAGGAAGCTCATCGTGCTCATATAGAAATATTGCGTCACAGAGTTCAACACGATGGTAATCCGATTTATGACTTTGATGCATGGACAAAAGCACATTACGGAGAAACTTTGGAAAAATCTCGTAAAAACAAAGAAATTTGGCGAAAGTACAGAGAATTGAAAAAAGAACGGATTGAAACTTCAATTTCTAAAAGTACAGAAACTGCGTTTCTAGTTCTTTTTATTATAACAACATTTTCATTCCTAACTTTCGGTCTGTTATTACCATCGACTGACGACACAATATCTCCAGATTTTGTTAACATCAAGAATATAAGTAGTGATGATAGTTCAAAAAAACCTTCGGATTCAACGTGATGGAAATAAAGATCATTGGCTGGACCAATGACATAAGTCTACAACTTGATAGTAACTTATCGGTGTATTGAATTATTATTTATGTAGATAGTAAAGAAGATAAGATAAATGTAAATGGAAAGTACCATAGCTTAAATAAATATTATTAAATATAAAGTTTTAAACTAGTTGAATAAAAATTATGACTTTCAATTTAAAAATTATACAAATAAAGTTATTAATTTAATAGGGTCGAAAACATGATGTCACTGGCATTGGCATTGATACAGGACCTGTAGGATATGGAACACCTGTGTCAGAAAAACTGCGACCTTGTGGGTAGTTTGACCCACTTTTAGGAAACTTTGATTTTTTTCTCAATTCTTTCATTTTATCAATTTTAACTTTACGTAAATGCATCAGTTTACGTTTAACAAGGAACTGCTCTAAAAATTCATCAACATCCAAATTTCCAGCAAGAAAATTTTCAGCGTGTTTCTGCAAAAAAAATAATAATATTTATTATTGGTGTTCTTTTGTAATTATGACGTTTAGATATAGCATCAACATATTACCTCAGATTCTTCTTCTATTTCTGTAGCTGAAGATTGCAAAAGTTCCATTGCCGTATCTACTGACAGACAATCCGATTTGCTCTCTGAAAAATTTGATTATTTTATTGAACAAGGATAAATTTATTCAACTTAGTCTAAATGGATACATACTTATATCGTTCATAATTCTTTGTATGTTCAAACATAAAGCATTGCCTTTCTCTCCAAGTTCTAAGAGTATTTTTTTACTCTCTTCCAATTCAGGTTGTTTTGCCAAATTAAATTCAGCAAGTGAACGATTACTGGCCATTAGCATTTCTTTTTCTGTTTCCAGCTCTTTAAACTGAAATTTGAATCATATTTTTAGATATTATTAACGCTCACGAATTTATCAATCAATGACTTTATAAAATTACCTGTTTAATGTCTTTGACAACTTCTTCAAATTTTCCTTCATTGTTAAGTATTTCTTTGAGTTCATCATTGCTTAAATGATTGAGCAATGCCAGAGCTGCAGGAATGTCAGGCTCTTGAGTTGAATTGAACATGATTTTATATTTGTCTGGTCAAATTAAATAAAATAATACAAGAAGAATGACAGTATCATAAATATACACCACACGATCAAGTAAATAAAGCACTTCAATTGTCGATTACTATTATTATTATTATTACTATTTCATCATGAGATATGAATCATGAAAACTTATCAACTTCTAAGGGCGAGTTCGAAATTTAACACAAAAATAAAAGCGATTAGTTGAAATGAATTTAAAATAGAAAAGCAGCGATATTTTATGTAAATATCTGTTGTTCTGTAGTAAAGCAATAATTGATCATTACATTGGTAAAAATTGATATATATTTACGAAAATTATAGAAATTCTACTTTAATTTTAATATTGTGGTTCTATTTGTCAATGTGTGAGAGTACCGTAGCATCATAGTATAATTCACGCCACCTAATGGACACTGAGAGATGTATTCACATTGTCACGTGAGACCTATTTAAATGAGTCTATTAAATTAAAGTTATAATTGATTATTACTTTAGCAGATATTTGATAATTTTATTAATATTTTTGACAAATAAAAATTAGAAAAAAAGTTGACATGTAGAAATTTAAAAATGTAAATATACAATTTTTTTTAAATAATTTTTCGGAACAAATTTGTTTGTTGAATATAATTAAAAAATGGTCAAGTGACTGCTAACTTTAATTTCATAAAAATTTTTAGATTTTTTTTTAACAAACATGTTATGGCAAAAAAAAACATTATTAAACAAATTCCATTTTTAGAAACTAAAAAATTATAAATGCGACTCTCTAAAAACAATTCTGTACTGAGTTTTAAGAAACATCAAAAAATTTTCAAGTGTGATAATTTCGGTGTCATATTATTTTAATGAGTTGCAATGATTGAAGGATGCATGAATATATTTTTTGCTGATTTTCGAACTTTATGATTTGGTTTACACATTCTATTAATTATATTGAAAATTAATGGTAGCAGTCTTACAATTAAACGTCGAATTATAAAATAATAATATAAATAACAAATTCATACTTAAACATTTGTGATACATTTATTTTATAATAATTATTATTAATAAACTTTATTCGAATTAATTCATAAAAGAAAATTATTCTTCACTAAAATAATTTATAATCTTTAGACGTTACACCAAGTTTATGAATAATTTTTTGTTACATTTATTTTCAAATAATTTTATACTTTCAGTGGAAAAAATCAGTTACATTTATGAGAAAAAAATTTTTAATTGTTTTTTCTCCATCATTTTGATTGAAGTTTAATTAAAAAAGAAAAATGACAGCTTTTTGATTTGTCTCTTCCGAGCATACGATTTTGATCTGTTCATTGTGTGCTGATAATAAAAATACAAAAGTATAAAAAATCACAATGTTAGTGAAAAATAGATATCTATAAATCTTAGCAAGCTAGAATACATTTTCAGTGCATGTTATAGTTATTCAATATAAAAATTTCTGGCATTAAAAACTCAAATATTGCAAGTCTCTTAGAGTTGTTATGCAAAAATTTTAATACCTAAAATTTTTTAAGACTAAGTACTTTAATTATTGAAAAAATATATATTTCTAATCATGGTTAGATGGAACTTGAAAATATGAATAATATAAAAATTTGGAAAACGAAAAAGTTACTAAATTTCAAATGAAAATTCTAGATTTAAATTTCATCAGCATCACTATCATCGGAGTCATATTTACTTCGGATGGTTTTAGGTTTTTTCAAGTGTGTGATTTTTTTCTTAGCTCCTTTTTCTGGAGGATTTAATAAATCTCCATTGTAGGAAATTGCGCCGGAATGAGCGATGCGCCACTCTAGCATTTCTGTTGAAAAATCATCGCAGTTTCCTAAATCAGTAAAACCGACAATAAAATCTACAGTTTTACTATCTTTGACAATAGCTATTGTTGGAATAACCCTGATTTTCAACCGTTCTGAAATAAAAAATTAAATTGTATTAAACTAAAAGCATTTTGTTGATGGAAATATAATTTTTGATTAATAGTTAATTTTTCTTAAGTAAAAAATATTGTCCACTGACACGCTACATAAAAATTGTCATTAAATTATTTATTGTTGTCAATATTAGGTTGAAAAATGTTTAATAAAAAAGAAAAGCTGTAAATAATTTTCAACTTTGACAAAGAAATAATAAAAAATGAATAATACTAATTTACCTGTCAAGAATGGAGCCCGTTCAACATTTAGTTTACAAAAACGTGCTTCCACATGTTTTTTAGCCAATCCTTTGAAGTGTTCATCCACTATTTTACATCTAGGTGAATCATCTTTGTAAAATAAACATACAATATTCTGTGATTTTTTGGATACTTCAAAAAATTCTTTTTCGTTGTAGATTTCATTATATTCTCCATGACCCTAAAAAATTATTGATAAAAAACAATTTAAGCTAAGAGTAAAGTATCGATCTAAAAACCTAGGCCTAGATCTTTGCCGGATAAAGAATTAATTTAAACTTACTGCAGCAATCCACGTTTGTTTTTGATGATGAATTTGCTTCAGCTCTTTTAACCTTTTTTCTCTCAATTTTTCCAGATCATCACTATCAAGTTTTTCTAGCTGTTCTAATTCAGCATCTAATTGCTTTTCCACCTGATTCGCTACTTCCAATACTTTTTGTTGGATTAAAGCCTCCATTTTTTATGTCAAAAAACAAAAACTGTGTAATGAATTTAGACTGATGTGGACTTTTATTAACCAATACCTTATATGGATTTATCAAGATCTCTGACAGAGGCAAAACATGAGATATTTCAACACATTGACTTATACTATACATGCATAAATACACTTACTGTATATTGGGTTACTAATTTAACCGACAGACTGCAGGTCATTAAAATTTTCAAATCTTCTTACTTTTTCCTTACAAGATTAGATATAAATCAACTAATAAAAAAATTATGATGTAGATTAGTAAAAATTCCAAAGTTTCATCAGTATTTAAAAGCTTAAAAATAATTTGAATAATATTTAATATATATATATATATATATATATATATGAGAGAAATGTGATCGTTTAAAATGTATCTGTCGACTTTTATATTACGTCCTTTAACTTTAAAATTTTTTTTTTTTTTTTTTAAATAGTAATTTACAAAATTTTTCGTTAAGAAATTAAAAAATTTGAAATTTCAATATACTTTTTTAATTTCCAAATGACCATCTCTTAATTTCCTTCCAATGGACTAATGTGAATTAAATTGTCGGCATCATCTCTGTAATTTTCTTATAATAAAAATACTAAATAAAATTGAACAGTCATTTATTTTACATCATATCCTTTATTTTCTAAAGACATTTTCACTTTATTTTAAAAAATAATTTCCATTTTTTCTTATATGAAATACATATCTCACATTGAAGTTAAGGATTAAAAAAAATTATACTTAATTATTTTCATTATATTTACTCTTGTTTGATACACTACTCACGTTATTTCTTTATCCTCAAGCTTGGTTTGAAAGGGCTCCACAGTTTGTTGAAATAATTTATAAAATTGCGCATCAGTTTTTATTTGATGAAGGTATCGCCGCATAACTTGAATGCTTGGTAAATTCATGTATTGATTTTGTAAAAGAAATCTATACATTCGAGGTGATTCAATGTAAATAACGAGTGCAAGAAATAGCCAAGTTTGGGTAAAATTTACATTGTCATTATTTGAAGTTGCGTTTAAAGATTCTTTGATCATTAACTTTTGAACTTCTGGAATATTCAATGCCTCAATCATTTTAATGAATGTTTGAGGATCATCTTTCATAGCCTCGTATTTTTCATTGCGTTTAGTCATTTTGGAAAGAAGTTTGTGCAATTCATAAATTGTCTGATCTTTTTTCACAAGCTCTGCACTTTTTTCTACATCATCATTAAGCTGGGATGGCTTTTTTAGTTTACGACGAACAGAGGGTAAGCTCAACGAATTACATTTCGAACAACGAGTACCATTACTTTTCATGAGAATAGAGCAGTCATTGTGACGCCATTTAACATCTTGACGATACATTAATACATTATCGACGTCAAGAGATGACATTTTCTCTAAACCATCACATATTACACGTTGATCAAATTCTTCTATAAATTCTTCAACGTCGCGCAATCCACGAACTACAAAACTTCTACCATCTGGAAATAAATTATGATCCAAAGGATTAAGTTGTTTTCCAGCAGCTGAGCACTGGAAATTCATGTCACTCTTCAAAAAAACTTGCTTCTGAACATAAGGTACACCTGTTTGAGTCATATTCATACGAGCATAAATAACAGTTGTTGCTCTACCCGCAGAAATTACCATTGTCGACCAGCCTCTTGGTAAACGGACTTCATTGTAAACATCAAGAAGGTCTTCAAATAGCATTGGCTCTTCATCTAAAGGGTCTAAAACATCCATCGCCATGTCGTCATAATTTCTATGTGTTCTCTCTTCATCAGCATCATTTGATCCTTTTTCAGTGTCAATAGAATTCCAATCAACTGATTCTTTTAATGATTCTTCATCTTGAGATTCGTAATCTTTAACTTCATTAGTAGCAGACTCATTGGTTTTCTCTTTTTCATATTTTTCTCCATTTTCTTCAGGATAATTAACCTCTTCAATGTAAACTAACTGAGAGTTATCATTAGCTTTCAAGTAAATAGTATTATCAGAATCACGTACTGTATAAGATTCATCAACTTCAAGGGTTCTCAAATCTTGCATTTGATCATCGGCAACTACAATCATGTCACCGTGCTCTTCAAGAGTTGAATTAGCTTCGTCAATTGTTTGTGTAATGTAAACTAACTCATTATCGTCTTCTTTTGATTTTTCAGATGAGTTATTTTGGATTTCGGAATTGGAATAAGTTATAAGATCAGCCCGAGGAATTAGAAATACTTGATCTTTTCCATCCGTAAAAGTTACTCTTTCATCATTTCCCCAAGTACGATTTACCTGAAAGACTTCATAGTCATCGTCTGTTTCAAGTTGCATGTTGTCAATGTCACAATTCACACTCGGTACTGCACCAGGACGTAGTCGGCATTTTTTATATTTGATCTATTAATTAAGTATTTAATTATTATCTGATCATCGTTGAATTTATATATACTAGGAATAATTAAAAATATACTAATAATTATGATAAACATAAAAATTAATTTTTTCAGTGGATACTTACTGTTACTACATGAGGTGGTACACCGCTAACCCAGTGAGTGATTATATCTCCTGGAGTAAAATGTCTACTGCATACAAATGTTTCATCATTTACAACGTAATCTTTAACCCCAATAGCTTCTTGCCATTTTTTCCGAGTTTCTGTATCTTTAGGAGCGGAAAAAAAGCTGTAGGAATTTTTATAATTTGTTTCTTTGCATAAAACGCACTTGCGAGTCATATTGTTTTACTTATATTTATTTGTATCATAAGTTATTTAATCTGTTTAGTGAGAAACTAAATTGTTATAATATTAAACAATTAAGTCTTTCATAATTATTTAACGGAAATTATTTCGTGATTTTTTGGTTATTTAACATCACAATAAATAGATTTACAAATTTTGACGCATATATTTACGTACGTTTGTTTTAACTCTTTAACTCACCAACCACACTATAGGTGTGGTGTTATTAACTAGGAATTTTTTTCTAGGTACTTATTTTATTTTTTACATGATGATAAGATAACTATAGTGCCACCTTGCGGAAATGGTGATTTCTGATCATTTATTTTTTCATTGTAAATTGGACCAAAAATATTCTAACACAAAGTGACATCTAAGGTGAATTAACTGCCTTCAAAACACGTGGTTAAATTGGAGCAATATCAATAACAATAAATAAACACATGTATGTAAGGTTAATTAAAATTTTTCTGTAAATCATAAAAAATTAACATAAGTTTTAAAAGGAATTTATAATTACAATTGTTCGTTATTATTTAGAAAACTATTTTTATATGATCAATTAAATACATATATTTTTTTTCAGGATATATAGATCTTTCAAAAATATCCATAATTTGAAAATAAAAAATGAAAATAAAAAAAAACAACAAATCTTTATTAAAAAGTCCGAAAGGATCGCCAAGAAAGAAAAAAAATTCAAACGACGTCAATTTAAATAAAGATGTGAAACAAAAAGGTATCAGTAAGAAAAAAAATAAAATTCGTAAAAATTTTAAAAATAAGAAAACTACGAATAATGAAGTTACGCTGCATCAAACAGAAAAAACTCAAAATAAAATTAATGAAAGCCAAGTTCATAACAATATAAATAAAAATAAAATACGAGAATTACTGAAGCAAAAGAAAAAAGAAACTTCTAATCCTATAAATAATTCTGAAACGCTACGAGAAAGAATAATATCTCAATTAAGAGCATCTAGGTTTAGATTTTTAAATGATACTCTGTATAATAATGACAGTTCAGAATCACGTAAGATGTTCAAAGAAGATCCAAGTGCTTTCAAAGCATATCATGAAGGCTATCAGTATCAAGTGGAGCAATGGTCATTAAATCCACTTGACGTTATAATAAATGCTGTTAAAAAAATGTAAGTAAAATTAATACTTTATTGTTTATGAAAATAATTAACACGCATAATTATAAATAGTTATATAATTGTTGTTTTTTTATTCGTAGGCCGAAAGAGTATGTCATTGCAGACTTTGGATGTGGAGAAGGAAGATTAGCTGATTCTGTTAAACAAAAAGTACATTCTATAGATTTAGTCGCTGTGAATGATAAAATAATAGCGTGCGACATGGCTCATACTCCTCTTCTTACAAATGGCATCAACGCTGTAGTTTTTTGTCTTTCACTCATGGGTACTAATCTTGTTGATTATATTCTAGAAGCCAACCGGGTGTTAAAAATGGAGTACGTACTTTTTTATTAAATTTTGAAGGAACAATTTAAAAAAAATTATCGATTTATAAAAATAATGTTTATCATTTTAGTGGAACTCTCAAAATAGCGGAAATTTCAAGCCGATTTGATGATGTTAATGAATTTATTAATTTATTAATGTCATATGGATTTAAAAACACATGGACGGATATTGATCATAAGTATTTCTATTTTATGGATTTTAAGAAAGTTAAAAATGTTGATGCGAAATGTAAAAAGTTGCCAGCAATATCTTTGAAACCCTGTGTGTATAAAAAGAGATAATCACAAAATTTTATATGTCAATAAACAAATTAAAGAATTAAACGAACTTATAAAATAAAATTATAATTTTATACCACAAATATTGACATAAATTACACTTTGAATTAAGTCAATCCATCAATATGTGATTAATTACTTTTCGTGCTCGCTTAAACGAGCATGTTATACTTCAAACATATCGGTCTGGTGAGCACATATAGTATTTATTGTTAAAAATTAACTAATAATAAATAATATTGTGTTAGCGGTAATATCTAACAAATAATAATAACTTAAAATGATAATTACTTTTGTACTCAACTATCTAGGAGATTCATAAAATATCCATCCAATTAATCATGAAAGCAAGTTTCGGAACTTAAACCAACTAACATTTCATCGACTTCTTCTTTAAGATTTTCCATTTTTGATATTATCAAAAGCTGAAATTAATATTCTATTGATTAAAAGGTCTATAAAAATAAAATAAATTAACTCACCTTCGCTGCAACTATTATTTGATCAACAGTTTTACGTGACAAATGATTTATTTTACTTTTTAATTCTTTTGGATCTGCTGATGCAATCAATTGTAATGTTTTATACCCAGCGTTATACATCTGTTTCGCTCGTGCCTATTTTTTTCGAAAAAAAAAAGATAATCTTAATGAGGTGTTCGTTGAAATTGGTTTAAAATTAAAAAATAATATATCATTTAACTACAAATATATAAGTAAGACGAGATTAATCGTTAATTAATAAATTTAAACATACGATTTTCACGGCAGGTAATTCCATCAATGGCTCCAGTTCAGCTGAACAATTATAAATGAGTTTTTTATGAAATGATGTGAATAAATCTGTAAACGCCCAAAACTCGGGAAGTTCCTATAAAAAAAAAAATTTTATTAGATTAATTAAATAAAATTAGATATATTAAAAAAAATTTTTTTTATTCAAAAGCTTAAAATAAACAGCTGTAAAATAATTATAATATTATTAAAAAATACCTGACAAAATTTAATCATTGAATGAGCAAACGATGTTGTAGTAGATAATAAATTTTGGATTCTGCCACGATTTACTTGGTATTTATCAGCGACTTCATGTAATGGACGATTTTGCCGTAATTCACTTAAAACTAGGGTTAAATAAAATTTTCGGAAAATCCGTTCAGGAACATTCTATAAGGTCAGTCAAAAAAAAAAAAACATTCAAATATATTCTTATTATATACTAACATGATAGTTACTAAATAAAATATTTTACCTTTGGTGTTACTCCTTCTCGTAACTTTATAACAGCAACTTCATTGATTCCTAATAATCTCGCAACATCCATTGATTGTGGTGGCAAATTCATAATCTTAAATAATAGTAAAGTTTAAAATACTTTGACTATCATGATGACAATAAAAATGAATACAAGGATTACCGCTTCGTAGTATATTAGGCCAATAGGAATTAACTGATCTGCTAAATGATAGGGTGTAACTAAGAATAAAATATGGAGATCATTGCAGAGCATCAAGTGTTTTTGAGCAACTGTTAAATCCTCGTAAATAAGATACGCCGTTTTTAAATCAATAGATCCTAAAATGAAAAAATATCAATAAATTCACCTTACAAATTCAAAATTTAAAAGTATACATAATTATAATTATTACATGCCTTTCATAGCAGCTTTGCTTAAGTTTGATAATTTTAGACAACTTGATCTTGTAAGCACAATAGACCGTCGACTGTTATTTGAACCTATATTATTACTGTCTACATCGGTTGATTCTGCAGGTAATTGAGATTGAATCCCTATTGTCATATTTGCTTTCATAAGTTTGTTATCAACTTGCAAAGCTTTTATTTTTATTAAATTTTTTATTGCATCATCAGTAATTTTTTTTATATCTATGTTGAGTTGTGAAGCTTGTATCTTGAGTAAAGATGTATTGACAAGATCATGTATTTGAGTTCGAGTTTTTACAAGTGACAACATAACAGAACTCAATATTAAATTGTTTATTCCACGATTTTCTTCTGAGCTCAAAGAACTCACACAATCTTCAATTTTAGATTTTAAAAGTTCTCGAACCTATTTAAGATAATAAAAATAAAAAAATTTTGACTGAATTTAAACAATACATTTAAATAATAAAATAGTTAGAACTAAAGAATAGTTATGATTTACCTTTGGAATATCTGATTGTTTACAGATCAAAATACTTTCTCCTTTTTCCGCCATTCCAGCTCTCCCTGCTCGACCGATCATTTGTTTGTATCTACTAAGATTTATAAATTCACTTCCTACATATGGGCTTCGTAAAATAACCTGAGAATTAACACATATTACTTGTTAGTTATAATTATAATAATGTCTCTAAAGTAATTTAATATATAAATGTAATAAATATGAAAATTACCCTTCTAGCTGGCAAATTTACTCCTGCAGCCAATGTCGAAGTGCAACATATTACAGAAATGACATTATCTTTAAATGCTTCCTCCAGTAATCGTCTTTCATCATTAGTTAAACCAGAATGATGATAAGCAACTCCATATTTGATGGTTTGCAATAAAATTGGACATATGTGTTGATCTTCGTCTTTTAAATTACTTAAGAGTTTCAGCTTTTCTGCCTTATTATATTCCATCAAAGATCTAACACAATCAAAATAATTTTAACAACAAATTTTATCAATCAGTTAAACGGAATCATACCTACAAAGAACTTTGGTCATCAGCAGTGAAACATTTTCACAATTCTTTCGACTAGCGCAAAATATTAAACAATTTTGCTTCGGAACGACCTCCATAACTAAACCACCTATTTTGTCTGGATCTAATTCAGATACAGTTTCTGAATACTAAAAAATCAAAATACCATACCATTGTCAAAATATGCGTATTGATTTATATTTAATAGATAAAATTTGGAAATTCTAATGTTAAAAATATTTAAAATACTTACAGATTGAGCAACTCTTTTTTTTAATCTCAGTATATCATCAGTTTTAAGATCGACTTGCCATAATTGATCATTGCACATAACATATTCTTCCAGCTCTACTGGTCGGAAGTTTTTCGTATAGAGATCAGCTTTTAAAAATTCAGCAATCTCGTTTAGATTACCGATTGTTGCACTCATCCCAATAATTTGAATACTTTCTAATAGAAATAAAAATAATTGCATTATCAAAAGTGAAATAATTTTAAGATTAATGTACATTTGATAGAAAAAAAAAAAAAAAAAAAAAAAAAAAAAACTTACTATCTATAAAAATTATTTTAGCTAAAAATCCTTCTAAAGTTGCTCCTCTGCCACTATTTTCACCCAGTGAATGTAATTCATCAACAACAACAAGTCCAATTTCATCCAACCTATCAGTTTCAATTAAACTATTTAATAATCCTGACGCCTTTTCAATGGTACATATGAAAATCGTATTTTTTCGTCTTCTCTTGATCGGTGGATATTGACCTTTGCTACCAGCATACTCTTCTAATAAAAATCCCAATTGTATGGCAAATGGTGATAGTGTTTGAATCTTCAAAATATATATTTTTAGATTAAATCAGTGAAAAACTAATCATGTAATAAAAAAAAATTGTTTTACATACCTTCTCTTGTACAATAGCAACATATGGAAGAACAAATATAACATTTTTTTTATGGCACAAAATTTGTTTCAACATCAGAATTTCAGCAACTAGAGTTTTTCCTCCACTTGTTGGAAGCGCGTAAATTAAATTTTTGCGATTATCGACAGCTTTTAAGCATTCATCTTGCCAATCTTTAAAATAAATACTCGTTAAAGTTATCATCTTAAATTAATAGAAATTTAGTAAAAGCAAGAAAATAAAATCTATAATTAAAAAAAAATAAAATAAAAAATAATGGTGATAATTTTTATCATTTCAGTTTAAGTGGTTTTGATTTTATTAATGCTATTAATTATTCTTTGATGAATATATTTTTTACTGTTTGCTTTAGCAATTATACAATAAAAAGAACTTCTAGTTAAAAATAGCTAGCAGACCTTAAAGATAAGACTGTTAAGATTGAGAAATAATATCTCCGATTGTTGTACAGGAAATTGTGAATAAGCATGCAGTTATCGGGCTCAAAAGAGAAAATTTCCTTAGATAGTTGTAGAGTTGAAAAATCGTAGATCAGAGCTTATGCATGTACCTATCGAATAAAAAATAAATAAGCTGGAAGAAGGAAGAAAATAAAAAAGTTAGAGAGATTTTAAATCAATAGAGCGACATTGAATTGTGAATACCAATTTTCTTATTTCAGACGGAAATTTTAAGAAACTTGTAGAGTAAATATCTGAATTTTGCTTTGAGGAAATAAAGAATGAAAGATTTTTATTATTTTAAGCTTAAATAATGATTATGTTTCAATTTTTTAACTTTAATGACTGGATTCGATATTTATAATTTTATAATCGACTTACCATATAAATTAGTTATATTTTTGGTTTGTTTGATTAATAATTCAACATTTTTTGAGAGTCCATAAAAAGATGTATTTTCATTTATATCATTTTGGCTAGATTGTTCTTCTACAAGTTCTTGACTTTTGCCATCAAATAATGAAAATTCCAAATTTTGTACCACCAACTCATCATTCTCCATTATTTCTATTTGATTTAGCTTATTTTGACCAAAGGTTGTCCCTTCATCGTTATCACATGTCATTTTATTTATTGATATTGACTGTGTGAAATTTCCAATACTGTTATTAAATTTAGAATCAAAAGATTTTGATTGAGAAATAATCGTATCATCCATCCAAGATGTTTCATTCCATTGAAAATCTTCAAGCATAATATCATCCGTTATGCATGTTTCATTTAAATCATTGACCAAATTTAAATTATTCATGATTATCTGTAAGAATAAAAAGTTATTATTTATTTCTGGTTATATAAATAAAAGATAAATTACAAATTAGAATATCAATATCAGCTGTTCTCAAATAATATCAATAAAAATCCTACCAAAAGCTGATTGAAAAATAATAATTTTACATGGAGATTTTACTTACTGACACACTTTAATAATAGTATTATATTAAAAACATAGATTACACGATTTTTATTGTGTAAATTTTATGATTCTCAATTTATGAAATAAATTGCAATTCAATTTTGAAAAGATCATCAGCTAATAATTACAATCACCTGAAAAAAATTCTTGTTTTTATCCGCCATGTGTTAAGTTTTGGAGGGAAAATTAATTATTTATGTAAAAGACTAAAGTTGATACTTGACAAGTTCAATAGTCATAATTGTCAGCAGCGCTTAAATAAACCTAGTAATTTACCAATAAAAAAGTGAAATAAGTAAGTAAACGCTCAAATCCATATTTGTAATCTTGAAAGATAGATGTCTCTACTTTCCCAGTTGGTAACCGCAAATGTTATCATTATTGTTACTTATAATAATCATAATAAAATAAAATTCGTTAAATTCAAAATTATTGTCAAGACAGCGCAGTGTGAGTGAGCTGTATATAGCAGTGTAACCATAAATATCATATTTCTCATAGGTCAAGTTAGAAAAACATTTTTTAAGATTTAAATATAATCGTTCAAGTTTATTAATATTGTCGGATATTGCAAAACAAACACGATTAAGTAATTTGATAGTAATTAGACATCGCAGTTTATTTACATTTGGTATTGAGGTATACAATTTGTGATTTGTAACAATTTTAATTTTTTTTACTTTAATTAACTCGGAGCATGTATAATATTGAAGATAAAACACATTCAAATTGTTTAGATGAAAATTTGTTATTATTTTTATTAAGTTTCAAATAAATTTTTTATGCTGTACAATTTATTTATAGAAAAAACATTTTCTGATGTCTGCTGTTTTATGATACTAAAATTGAGACATCTGATAATTTTAAGAATTTTTTTAACTAATAAATTATAGCAAGAAAAATTTATCTTTAGAAGCTCTAAGTTATTATAAATGGGATTTTTTTTAAATAATTTTCTGTACTTAATTTATATTTAAAAAAAAAATCAAAAAATTATCAAGTATCTGCTCACATCAGTGTCATGCTGTTTTCAGTATTAGCACGAAGTTCTACGCAATTTTTTTATAATACGAATTCTTAATTTTTTTTTTTTTTATTTACAGCAATGGATACTAATTTAAATCACAATAATTTAATCCAAGGTTCAACTAGTAAGCAATTCAAATCCAATCAAAAAAAAGAAAATGCATATAGAAATGAGGAAAAGTCGGAAAACAATTTTGGGTATAAAAATTCTAAAACTAAAGATGGAATAATTCATTTCGAAGCATTAGAAAAAAAGAACGCTGATGCTCAAAATTTAGTCCCTCGGGAACCAAGTTCTGAATCTAAATCTCTTAAGGAAATTGATAATACAAATCATAATGATAAATTACGGCCATCAAATAAGCAATCCAATCAAACAAAAAAATGGACATTAACTGACTTTGAAATTGGTAAACCTTTGGGTAAAGGTAAATTTGGAAACGTTTATTTAGCTAGAGAAAAACGAACAAAATTTATAATTGCCATGAAGGTGCTCTTCATAAATCAAATAGAAGAAGGAAAAATAGAACATCAAGTACGTAGAGAAATTGAAATCCAAACTCATTTACGGTAAATAATTATTATATTAAATTTATTATTATAATTGGTAGCAGCTAGTAAAAATTAAAATTAAATAAAAATTTTTATTTTACAGACATCCTAACATTTTACGTATGTACGGTTACTTTTATGATGACAGAAGAGTATATTTTATTTTAGAGTTTGCACCAAATGGTGAATTGTATAAAGCTCTAAAAGCAGCACCCAATGGACGATTCGATGATAAAAGGTAATTTATGGCGATAAAAAAGTATTTTTTAAGTTTATATTATATTAATTTTACGTAATAATTTTTTTAGAACCGCGCCTTACATACGTCAATTAGCAGACGCTATGAAATACTGTCACAGTAAAAAAGTAATTCACCGTGACATCAAACCTGAAAATTTGCTATTAGGAAGAGATGGGGAACTAAAAATAGCTGATTTTGGATGGTCTGTACACGCACCTTCTTCTCGAAGAGAAACTCTATGTGGTACACTTGATTATTTACCACCAGAAATGGTTCTTGGTAAATCACATGACCATACTGTTGATTTGTGGGGAGCTGGAGTATTATGCTATGAGCTGTTGACTGGCAATCCACCTTTTATGGCTAAAACTTATGAGGGAACTCGTTCTAAAATAGTAAATGCACAATGCACATTCCCAAATTACGTCAGTGAAGGTGCTCGTGATTTGATTTCAAAGGTAATTTTACAATTATATTTAATTTAAGATTTAAGACATCTTTATTAAATTTATATATTTTTTTCTTCAGTTAATTGTTGTCAAACCTGAACAGCGATTGCCCTGGGACGGTGTGCTTGCTCATCCTTGGATTTTACAACATTAATTTTTAGTGTCTGTGTCTATAATTCTTAGCAAATAATTTTTCATAAGTTAAAATAATAAAACCATGAATTGTTTTTTGAATATTCAGATAGTGAAAATCACACAATATAATCATTTTAGTTCATGTTTTATAAATTAATAATTCTTAAATAAAACTTTTTTAATTTTTTGATTAATTGTGTGACTTTATTCATTTCATGAACTTATAATAAATTTATTAAGAGAAATCCACTAATATCTCTTCGATTGGAGCAAATAATTTATATTTGATGATCTAGCAACTATTTAGAATTTAAATTGATTGGTCAGTTATATATTTTTGGAGTAGAAATAATAATTATTATTTAAAGTTTCTTGTCTCGGTTTTATTTGATCAAATACAATCAAAACAAATAATAAACAATGATATATCACAGTATCTTACATAAAGGTTTAATGCGGTCTACAAATCTATAATAACGTAAAATTTAATCATTTTTTCTAATAACTTTTGAAAATGATTTTTTTTTATCGCTGTAATCGTTATTTTTATTTTCATAGAAGATGCATTATTATATTTTTTTTTTTTTTTTGTCAATAAATATTTGTTTGTAAATACGTTCTATTTACAGAGTTCAGATGACAGTTTTTCAAATTAAAATTTGGCTTATTAAAATAAAACAAATCTTATATTTATTGATAAATATTAATAACAAAGCAACATAAATATATATATATATATATACGTTTGCTATTTAAAATAGTTTACTAAAAATTCTAATAATTCAATTTTGCTGTTTGTCTGTTAATATAGAAAATTTTTGTAAAAATATTTTTATTTAAGCCAGAATAATATTTTTACGTGATAATAATTAAATATGGTATTTCTAATATCTGAAATTTAATAATACTCTAAAACCAAAAGTTATAATAATTTTATGATTTTTCATTAACTTCTTCGATTAAATTAAAAAAATCTTAAAAATACATTTTGGATAATAAATGACACAAAATATGGAAAAAAAAAACCACACAATTTTTTTTCTGTAAATTATATTTTCATACAGTACAACTTGTATGGATAATTTTACAATTTCAGACAAATGTAAATTGCCGAACAGAAACTTATCAGATTTTTATCTCGAGTAGAAACTCAATTATAACTCAATGTTAACAATGTTTTGTTGCGAATTACTTAGAATATTAAATTTAGAGGCGGTCAAACTGACATTTGTCTGAAATTGATTTCATTCATCCTTTCGCACACAATACCCTATCGATCAATCTCGATGATAAAACAATTAATATAGTTTTAAGATTTCAAGTGAATGCAAAAACATTTTTAAAATAAGTAAAAATTTTGATCTGTTTTAAATGTCACTTATGTTTGAATATTATTAGTCAACATATAGAAGTTATTATTTTATCATTTTTTAATCATGTTATCATATTTATGCATTATGGCAAAATGCTTAATTCAATTACTATAGCAGTTACATCGATTGTTTATATTTTATTATACCCACAGTTATTTTTATTTTATAGATGTTTTATATGGTTTTACTACATAGTATTTATTTATTTTTTTTTTATATACAATACAAAGTGTTTTATTTTACAACAAAAAATAAATATTTTTTTTTTTAATATAAGCTAATTATTATTTTTAGCAGGCTTTCAAATAAAGAAATTTTATATCTTTCAATATAAAAATGTTCTTGATACTAATTTCATATTGCATTTCAAACACCAAGTAATTTTATTAATTTTAAGGAGCATACTCAAGTTTTTAAAATAACAATATTGAACACAAAAAATAACTTTTTTTTTTTTTTTGATGAATATGAAAAGAATAAATAAAAATAATTAACTGAACAAACGAAATTTACTTTATATTTTTTAGATATTTGAAATAAAAATAATAAATAGTTTCAATATAATTAGTTTAGTTATAAAATTATTTAAATATTAACATTAATTATTTAATATTATTTTAGGCTCAAGCATACAGTAATTATAGTTTCTAAATATTTAAGAACTCGAAAAAAAGAAATACATTTTTTTTCTTAAATATGATTAGCTTTCATTCTGTTGAATAAACTTTCGTAAAATTTTTTTAATTTGGCATTTTTTTTTTATCACCCAAATAAATTTTTTACTTTATATAATACAGTTTTAATCGCATTCTTTTAACAGAGAAAAAAAATGAAAAAAAAAATTCATCCTCGCATATTTCGTTTTTATTTAACAATAAACAAAACATCTCTTTCTTAAACTTTCGCATACAATGATTAATTTTTTTTTGTTTTTTTTTTTTTTTTATTTATTTCAAAAGATAAATTATTTCACTGTGTAAAATATTTTTATTTATATTATTCGTATTTTTAAATTGCTGCTTGAATAAGAGTATAGTTCTTTTATTATGTTGATTTTTATAGATTAATTAAGTATCAAGAAATTACATAAATATCGAAATTAATTTCAATAGTGGGGCACTTGATAAACCAATTCCATTATTATCTTAATTTCCATTTAAAGCTTGATATTACATGAAATGAGTATAATTGGATTATTTCATAGATTTGTTAGTTATAATTTAAATAACTCAATTATGATTTGAAACACATTAATAATTTTTGAAAATTAAATTGTTGAATAACATAATGATATATATTATAATTTTTTACAGTAATTACATTATCTAATGTACCCATGTAAATTTAGATTATATATGTTCAAGCAACAATTTATCAATTAAAAAAAGCTAGTTTATAACTTTTAGATAGATAAACATTAAGCTGTTTTTATAATTTACTTTAATAACTAGATTCAAAGAGGTTTTCAAATTGATTTAAAAAAAATCTTTTTGTTTTTCTTCAATATTTAAATTGTTAATCATTTATTAGTGAACAAGTCTGTGCGATAAAAATGGGAAATCATTTATTTTTATATTGATATATTTTTTTGTGTGTATACATACATAAATATGTATTAGGGCGACACATTGTACATAGATCGATATTTTTTCCCCCAAGTTTAAACTTGCAATTTTTTGATATACGTTAAAAATTTAGGCAGCCAAAAAGTATACAGCTGAATTGAAAATCGCCTGCGTTATCCATTCCGTTGCTGCTATTTAACTGCTAGTTTCAGTCTCAAATAATGTCAAAAATTTAATAGGTCAATTTTTAAATAATTTTTAGCAACCTAAAATTCGCGTAAATGTCTCATGTTCGATCAAATATTTTTTTAACGTATTCTACAAGATATAAAGTTAAAACTTTATTAAAAGTATATCGATCTAAAATGCGTAAATCTAATGTATATTTATTTATTTATACATTAATTTGTAGATTAAACTACAGCCGGATAAGTATGACGAAAATATCATCAAAGGATATTTTATTCAAAGTGAAAAAAATGAGGTTTTGTTAAAATATTATGATTCTAATAATTTCAAATCTCAATAACAATATATTTTCAAACAAAAAAAAATAAATAGTGAAAAAATAAAAAAAAAAACATCGCCCATTTGAGGCATGCAATTAATACATTATATATTACTATATATGATTAGGGTGATATTTGAATGTAAATTTAACATACGGAGGTCGTAAAGAAATGGGGACTAGCCAATACAAAAGTTTTTTCATTATTTAGTTTGTGGTTTGAAAATCAATTGCATTAGAATGAAATATTAGTAATCATAGGAACTGAATATCACTTACTCAATAAAATGCTATAAATATATAAATAAAATATCCTTATGAAGCTTTTTTTCACAGTTATTTAGCTACAGCTTCTTTTTTTTAACATATATTAGTTTTTATCAATGAAATCTTTTACTTGATGCCGCAGCTGGAAGCTTTTTTGCAAAATATACAGTCAAATACAACATTTTGACTATGATACATGCCGTATAGTTTGCATATTATTACAGGTTCGTTCGCATGCGTGCGTGTGAGTGTATTGTGTTCTATTGAGTGTTCAATTATCTATGTTCACCTATGTTTACTATACTTTTAGTTTTTATATACACATATATACACGCATGTCTATCGTAGTTTTATATGGCCTCTTATTTGAGAAAATGAAAAATTCTCAAATGACTAAATATTATTTATCTACACAATAGATTAATCCGTTCACAAATTCACAATGCGAAAATTTTTAATCTTTTGTTATACTTGTTTAAATTTACGCACATATATATATATATATTAACAATTGATATCATCTCAATTAAAATTAGTATATAATAAGTGATTAATATTTTTCCAAGTATCACTTTTAATGCACTAAATATTTCACTCTGTTTTTAAATTATTTACACTCTTCCGCTTTAATGAAGTTCGTTGTTAAACTTAAATTTTACTGCCCAACTTTAAAACTCTTCGCTTAACACTTATTTATATTATTATTAATTGTTCACTCCATAATTATAGGTTTATGTACATTCGAAATACTTTTTTCCATTTTTAATGTTTATGGAAACATATTTTAAATAGTGTTACAACTTAAACAAAAATAAAATAAAGTATTAAACACACTTTTTCACATTTTCACTTTTTACACTGCACCCTATAAGATGTAATCAAAGTTTTAGATTTAATCATAAGTTTTATTATGATTTTTAAAATTTTTTTATGCTCATTACTCCAATGTTTATTTTGCACATTGTTCTCATTGACCGCTGTAATATTGTACTCGACCTGTTGCTTCAGTTACTGGAATTTCACGCATCACCGCATCCCACGCTGTAACCAAAGATATAATAATTTAGTGTAATATTTCAACAGGTTATTAAATGAAAATTTAATTATTAGTTTACATAAAAAATTGGAAATTTTAATCTTATTTTTTTTTTCATCATCATATTTATAACGCATTTAAAAAATACCATACTTAGGGCCAGTTTTTCAATCCAGGATAAAATTTTATCCAAGATATAATTATGATTGTCAGTATATCTATCTAACTAAAATACATAGATATATTTTAACTTTGAATAAAATTTTATCCCGGATTGAAAAACTGACCCTTAAAGTTATTTAACTGAGTCTAATAATGAGTTAATATATTTATAACAACGTATGACTTTAAAGGTTTGTTAATTTTAGAATAATAATAATAATAATAAAAGTATATAATTATTACTTACCTAAACCAACAAATGAAACAATTTTGTCGTGGTTATAATTTTTGACATCAACTGTTTCTTCAGGTGCAATAAAACGGGCTGAAAAATCTTCTTTAGAAAGATTATATTTTGTTATTGCATTTGAAGGTGCAATTAATGGTTGTGAGACATAATTATTTGGTGGTTGAAATCTCGGTGAGTACCCAAAATATGTGATTGGTATCATCTGTGTATGAGGAATTTGATGCGGTTGTGGTGGATATAAATGCGGTGGCGGATGTACGTGGAAATCGTATCTTGTGTTTTTATCAACAAACGAAGGCGGTGTCTTTTCAAAATGTATTGGTACTTTATTAGAAGACTGAGATGGTTTAGAGGGTAAAATTGGTTGATCTTTTTTAGTTCTATCTTCAGATTGAAGCAGTTGTTCATTTATTTCAAAACCGAAAGTAAGTTCACTTGGAACATCGTCTGTGTTTTTTGTTGAATCTGATAATGATTCATCCATTAATATAACTGCAGGTCTTGAATTTTTTTTAACAGAATTATGAGAGTTACATTTTGGTAAGTCTTTATCTTTGGTAATTACGTGATGTTTGTTTGTCTCTTTTGTTTCTACGTCTTCTTTTTCATGCTGCAATGATGTCATAGATGAAGATCTTATACTATTGGAAGTTGTTATTGTTGTTGTTACCTTAGTATTTCGTGGATAATCTTTATTAACTAATTTCAATATTTTTTCAGATTTAATTACTAGCTTAGAATTATCGCATTCACTCAAATTTGGCTGAGGTATAGATTTTGAATCCACTTGATCATTTGATAATGTAAAGGAACATTCACTGGCATTCAAGTTTATCAACTTTTTACTATATTCTGGATTATGTTGTGTATTTAATGATTTTAGTTCTTCTTGAACATTACTCGATTTTTTTAAATCACGGGATTCCAATTGATTTGAACAGCCTGTGTTTAATAGAGTTTGTTGACTGTTCTTACGAATTGAAGGTTTAAAATTATTTGAAATGTTTGCATTGGTAGTATTAGTAACATCTTTCACACAAGCCACACTCGTTTTAGATTGTTCTGTTGAGTTATTATTATAATTTTTCAATTTTTTTGTAGTATGGACATCATTTTGATCAGCATTATAATTAGTATTAACAGGAATATTATTTTGTTCCTGTACATATTTAATAACTTGAATTTTTTTATTGATAGCTTCTTCATGAGCTTCAGCCTTTTTAGATTCAGTTGTCTTTTTTAATTTTAGATCATCTGTTAATGAGTGTTTATCAAAATTTAAACTAAAACCATGATTTAAATAAGAATTTGAAAAGTTATGTTGTTTAATTTTTCGGTCAGATTGTTGAAGTTCATCAAGACTTGGATAATAATCTTGAGGAAATTTATCTGGCTCTGATGGAGATTTAGCAGGGACATCTGTCCACTTTTCAGCAGAAAGTATAGTTGGCACAATAGGTGAAGTGTGAAGAACAGAATTTTGAGGCAAGTTAATAGTTACCATACGGGTGATGTCAGCGTAACTTGCTTGAGGTACTCCAACAGACGACAGAGAAACATTGATAAGATTGTGTTTAATGTTCGAAGTAACAGGAAGTGAATGAACAGAATCTAAATCGCTACTATCTGATTTATCGCTGGGCGGTACACTGCAAGCGGACTTTCTTCTAAATTCCGGTGAGTGAGAAGCTCTATATTCATGAACGAAATCTCTTCTCCTTGATAAGTAAGATGAAGAGTTTACTAAATTTTGAGTCCGGCTACCACTAGAACTTCTTCGTTGTCTCTTACTTTTTTTCTTCTTTGTTACGACCAAAAACTCTGGTTCAGGTTCTACATCAATATTTAGCTTTTTCGAATTTTTTCTTGTGCTACTATTATTACTGCTGAATTCATTTTTAACATCATCACAATATAATGATTGACTTTCTGACCCCCAAGAATGCCGATCGCCACGACTATCAACTACTGAATCACCAGTGCTACGTTGTTTGGTTCTTTTCAATAACCCACCATTGATAGTACCTACAAAAATGGACATTTATAATTGTTTGGACTAATCTAAATACACAATCTTTAGATCTACATGATATAACTGTAAGCTTCATAATTTAATTTAGGACACGATGTCTTAAAATTATTAAATCCCGATACTTTATTTCACATCCTGGAGTTCTCAAACTTTTTCAAACTCTAAACACTCAAGCATCTACTTTTCGAAACGATATTGAACTCGAAAATATAAAATTTTATAAGTCTTCTAGCTCAATTTCATTCTCATTCATGTTCTTAAATCTTTAAATAAAATAGAACGAACTCTTAAATTTTTTTTTAATTTTTGGTCAACAATATTTGTAAAACTAATCAATAATAAAGCATAAAGTACTTAAATTTAATAATATCTAAAAGCAATGATCAATTTTTTTTTACTTTTTCAATTTAACAACCGAGCACCTTCAAGCGTGTGATTTTTTGTTATTATTATGATCGTTCTGTACTGATGTTCATAGGCATTGACTCTCTTAGAATTAACCTAAATTTTTTACCTGATTTATGGTAATATAAATATACTTATGAGATAGCTTATATTTTTAATTTATTTATCAAACGAATTTGGATCTACGACAATGCTGGAATTGAGATATTACATATTTTTGTACGTATTCGAAATTACTTAATAGTTCTTGAACTTGGCTTAAAAAAATTTATCATTTCTTTCAATCGTTTATACTTTTTGAAAAATCGATTAATTTAGGATTCTTTTTTTAAGCTTAATGTTATTTTAATATTGTTTTTGAATAAAGTTTTAACTTTGACATCATGGTTATCGACTAATTCATTTTTACTAAAATATCTTATACAAAAATGTATCTTTTTAAATGAAATAAATATAAAATGAAATAATATTACCGTGTTGACTGGAAAAACTGCTAGCCTCACTTGAACTCAAACTTTTTTCAGTTGTAAGATCCTCCAATTTAGTTTTAGATATTTCTTCAAGAGAGTTGCATTTTTGTAACTTTGACGGCAATTGATCTTTTTTAGAATCTTTATCTTTACTTCTTGATTTTGGGCCTGTGTTAGATTTAATTTTTATAGTATTTCCATTGGAAGTTTTTCCTTTTTTGTTTTTGGAATCTTTGCTTTCAATAAAATTAAGAAGACTATCAATGTCGTCATTACGATGTCCAGCAACGTTTTCAGCATTGTAAACGATGACATTTGGTTCTTGAGCATGCTTTCTTCTAGTCTTTTTACGTTCAGAATTATAACTCTGCGCAGCATTATAACTATCGTCTACTGATTTTTTATCGATTGAAACAGAAAAATCCTTAGTTGTATTATTTTGCGAAGTTAGTCTTGAAACTGCTGTTAGAGAAATACACATATTTTCATATAATTTTCTAATATTATTATTAGTGAATTGTAAGAATAAAAATTTTAATTATTTATAACTTTAAAACTAAAATAATCATAGAGTTAGAAAATTTTGTCTTTTGAAATTATTTTGCTTCTAAAAATGTCATGAAAATTTTATCCAATTATTAATTGTCATTCTCAAGTTGATAATATTCAATAAGCAAAATCAACACGGATTCATTTTATTTTTTCGGTGATTTGCTAAAAAATCTTTCAAATATGTTCATCAAATGGCTTAAAAATTTTTATCCAAGATTTAAAAATAAAAATAAATAAAAAATAGTAATAATAAATAACAGTGAAACTACGTACCCATAGCTATATTTGGTTGCGTTCCAGTAACGTGCATTATAGGAAGTAAATTAGAAGTAGTAACCTTATTTTGTTGAACACCGGATATAGTGCCACTAGTGACATTACATTTGGCATTGTTATAAGTAGTTAGCTGGATCGTACCGTTTATGGTAAACTTGGGTTTATCTTGCTTACAATTATATTCGTGTAAAGGAAATTCGATAGAAGAATCGACGGATGTTTCTTCAGTATCAAAAGTAGGGCACGATATTACTTGAACTGGTCGTCGAGGTTCAATTATTTTCATCTCAATACCCTCCGTGTCTTCTCCATTTACACTGGACTGAATAATGCGGGGTGAATTGATCAAATTATTACTGCTTACTGCATCTTTGTTATTTAATCCATTAACCTGCAATTGGTTAATGATTGTTAAATTAGGATATATGATTTACAATTAATCTTTCACCTGCATACTCATTTATTGTCTTAAATGAAAATAAAATGGGACATACTAAGTGTTTTTATATGATTATTAAAAAAAGTAAATATCAGACAATTTTTTTTGTTTGAAGTTCCAATTATTCCCAATTATTAGATAAACTTATTTAGAAATATGTATAAACAGATTTTTAAATATTATTTGTAAATATTTTTTAATTTTGATAACAAAAAATTTACTAGAAATTAACGTTAAGTTTCTGTTATTTTTAATACCGTAAATGATTAAGATAACCTTAAAAGAGATTATATAGTATAAAGTTTGACTTATTACTATTAAATTATTATAAAGTTACCATGGAATCATCTTTATAACTTGAAGATAGATCATCTGATTCGATCATTTCATTTGTAACATATTTTCCTTTTGGACACTTTTTATCATTTACATCACTAGCATCGACAGTTGTACATACGCTATCATCTTTTTTAGTTACACAGCCATAAGATGGTTTGTCTAATGATCGTGATTTTTCTTTGTTAGCCCAATAATAAACAGTACGTTCGTCACAAAAATCTCTCTGAAAAAATTTGTTTTTGTTTATTTAAATAATTAATAAATACTGCAATATTGTTTACCTTTTTGTCAAAAATGAGGTCTAAGTTAACAAGAGAGGCGAGACTATGAGAAGCATTTACGTTGGACGGTAAAGAACCACCTTCTCTTTGACGAGCAGATACATTAGATCCTGAATGTTTTTTACTTTTTCTTCTACCACCACTATAAGTATGACTAGAACCAGATGTAAGGTAAGTAAAACTACTGTCAAATTCACAATTAAGTGGTTGGGCTAAATTTTGTAAAGATCCACCGTGAGTTAATCGTTCACAAGTAGAGTCTCTTTTATGTCTACGACGATTTGATCCTGGTAAACCTCGAGAACTTGTTACCGCTCGACGACCTTCTTCGGTTTCATCAACTTCTGCTTCTTGTAAAAGTTCCTTAAGAATAAATTTTTTTTAATAAGTGATTATTGATTTAAAAAAAAAAAAAAAAAAAAAAAAAAATAATTAATCATACTAATACGAATAATAAATATATATATATATATATATTTACCTTAAAAAGATTCGACTTTCCTTCACGATCTTTAGTTGAGCCTGTATAGGTTATAGCTTCATCTAACAACGCTCGTAATTCTCTTTCATTCAGTGTAGACAGTGTCGCTGGTTCTTCCTATAATAGGAATTCAACAATTTACAAAAAAATTATAAATTAATAAAGAAAATTTTTTAAAAATTAATGTTAGTACTGCACTATATGATTGCTTATAGTGTTTTGCAATAAGTATATATTTAACTTAAAAATGTTCGCGATTACGAAGCAAAAAAAAAGATATTACGTAATAATGGCTTATGTATAAAATCTACAATAGTCCGAGATCTTAGTAGTAAATTGTTTTTTTGTTCTTAAAGAATATCAACAATTAATAATCACAAAATTTACAAATCTTTTCTTTGAAATTAATAAATTGAATTAACAATCCTTAAATATTGTTTACAAAAATAAATAATCTCAATTATCATTGGAAAAATAAATTTAACGATTAAAATAAACTCAATCGATTTGGTTACTTATAAAATAAAACAACAACAAAAAATCATGTTCAAGTAATTAAGTAATACCAATTAAGGTAATTATGTTACACTCATATTTTAAAGTTTGTTCATAAATAAAATTCCCTTATCAATTTACACTCTATCAGAAAATTTAGTAATTTTTACATTATTTAAGGATATATTTACGTGTAAATAATTTTTTTTTTTATTTTCATCAAATTGTCGTTCGAATAAAATATAAAATCTAACCTGAGACTAACCAAATTAATTACTGGTATAACATTAATTAGTTCAAGTGTTAATTAATGATAAGAATAGTATTAATGACTCTATTTAAGTATTTATTTATTGTAAAAATAAAGTAACCACAGGACATGGGCTGAGTATTACGGTTATGAAACGACATAAGTATAGAGTCAGTCCATTATGTGATGAAACACCCGAACTGGTGAATTATATACATATAATGACCGTAGAACGACAATTATTTATTTACACTTGTAAAACGCAATCATCAAGTTTTGTACGCTCGATGTCACAAATTCTAATTCGATAGATTCTTATTCTTGAAATTTTTTTCCATCACTATTTATCTATTTTTTTTATTTTTTTTTGAGCTTCATCGAATGAAGTTATTGACTGACAGTAAAACAGATCTTGCGAATGAATTCCAGAAATGACCAGTGTCTTGTAAATTTTCTTGACTTTTCAAATTAAAGTACAATGTATTGAACCGGTAAGCATAAAAAAAATATCTTTACAAAAGAGAAAGCAATGTCAGAAAAAAATTTTATATTTTTAGAGGGCAGCTAGATCGAATGAGACCAGAGCTTAATTTTTTGTATACTTACTACCCAAATTTAGTTTTTTTTCTAATCTTAAAATAAAATGTAGAGCTGGAAGTTGGATCAATATTTACTATGTATGAATTTATTGACATATCGCCGATAATTTGAGGATATTATTTTAAAATAAAATTCAGTGGTTTTAAATATGAAAATAGTATTGTAAGGCTATCACTGGAAGCGGACGCGGCGCGGGCGCACTCTTCCCAGTAATCAGCATGGCTGTCACTATTACACTGCTAAGATACAAGTTTAACAGTAACGTAGGTGACAATAATATAACCCCGATTAATGATTCAATATCATTATTTTGTTACAATTTCAATACTTCAATAGACACCTACAGTATACAAGAAATAAGATACTTTAAACTATATTTAAGTACCCATACGAATATTTATCTGAGATAAATTTAAAATAAATATTTTATAGCCCGTTCCAGACATTATTGGTCCCATTGTACCAAAAAAAATGTTTGTCAATTATAAATTTAATTCAATGACTCAATAACAAAATAATATTTATATTATACACACGATATGATAGTTTGATAAAAATAAAACTGATGATAGCTGACTCCAAAACGTTTTTGCCTTGATAAAAAAGCAGCTTACAGAAAAAATTACTTAAATTTTGTATTGGAACTATAATACTGAAATTGAGGCATCTGATAATTTTTAGATATTTTTCAACAAAAAAAAATTTATTTAAAAAATTCTACATTTAGATGCTTTTAAAAATTGTAAATGAAATTTTTTTTTAAATAATTTTTTAGACCTTATTTATTTTTCAAGAAAAATAAAAAAATTGTCTGCTAATTTAAGTGTTATTATTTGGAGCTTTAAAAAATTCTATTAGAATTTCTTATTTCTTTGATTTAATTCACTTGTTTGAAACTGTAGGAAATTTTAGAGTCAACTAAACACTAAACTGGAACTATTATCCTCGTATAATGATACCCAAAATATCCGACATTTAATAATTTTTATAATTTTTCTAACTTGAAAAATTCTACCTATAGAATTAAAAAAAAAAATCATGACTACAATTTTTTTTTAAGAATATTTTCTTGTATTCATTTAATTTTTAAATGTTGTTTGTTGATTTCAATAATTTCAATATCATGCTCGTAGGTAGTTTTTTGTATTAGATAAAAATGTTAAATTTTGCTGTTAATTAACTGTTTCAATTTTACTTAGTCTTTTTTAGTAATTAATAAAAAAATAAATTTACTTTTCAATTTATTATAAATATAAGGGAATTGTTTTTTTTTTTTAATATTCAAGAAGTATGCATTATATGATAGTAAAAATCTGTATAGATTTGGAATTTTTAAAATAGTTTATAATAATTGTTTTTAGATCCTAATTGACGATTGCATCATTATCTATGATGATTATGGTTATGTATAATTCTATATAATGTTTTATATAGACCATAAAATGACACTTTAACGTGTAAATAATAATAAACAATAAAACAATTGTTTTTATGAATGTTACAGGTTTACAGTTAAATGAATGCTGGTAAAATACATGACTATTTGCTTAAAATAATTAACTAAATAAATTGGAAGATTCATTGTGTTTCTTTAACTTTTGATTTTTTTACTATAAATAAAATATCAAGTTGATATAATCCACTAGATATATAGACTAAAAGATTTTTAATTTATATTGATATTCAATTATAAAAATTTTTAGTATATCACATTTAAAAAGAAAAGACTGAAAAAATTGAAAAAAATGTTTTGTTTATAACCGACTTTTAGTAATTAAAGCAAAAAAAAAAAATACAAAAACTGATTCTTATGATTAGTCCTACTATGCTCTGATTTATTAAAATAAAAATATATCTATTAGATCTAAGATGATATATGTAACAGGAACGTTTTTTAAAATTGACATTTTGTTTTAGGTCAGAAAATTTTAATCTCAGAAAAAACATGATTAGAGTAAAATTTTTTTTCGTTATTTTTACCCTTCAAATTCCTAACCCCTTTATGTATAACAATTAACATGCATATGACCAGTTGTTAATTAAATATTTTTATCAATATCCTTTAACATGTTTACTGAGGGTATAAGTTATAACTAAATAATCTTAATACAGTTCATATAATCACTACAGTGCTCCCTAATAAAGATATAACAGGTTATCTTTTTTTCTATTATTAGTAACTGATGGAAAAATTAAGATACAGCTAAAATATCTTAAAGAGGGAACACTGTACTGTATCAACAATAAGGATTTATTCAAGCATAATAAAACGATATTGTTAAAATTAATAATGATGGTACTAAAACCAGCGGAATTCGTCAGTTTTAGGGTTTTTTTTTCTTTTTTTTAACAAACAAGCGCCAGTTTTTCAATCTGGGATAAAATTATTAACAGCAGTATAACTATTTACATGAAATATCTAGATATATTTTAGAGTTGGATAAAATTTTATCCCGGATTGAAAAACTGGCTCTAAATCGGAACCAAAAAGATATTAAAAAAAATTAGCATTTATTTTTTTTTTAATTCCTGAATGTAGTATTTTGTAAAAAAATTTTTACAATTATTTGTGTGAAAAATTCTAAAAATTGTCAGTCTGTTAATTTTAGTATCATAAAATAGAATAATTTTTTTTTATTTGCATTGTGTATGTTTAAAATTATAGTAGAATCAGCAGATATTCGATTACTTTTTAGTTTCATTTAACTAAAAAATTAGTTCTCAAAAATAGTTTTGAAACCATTGTTTTCATAATTTTGTCCAAATTCTATACATTGATTTTTTTATAAATTTTTTTTGTTCCAGTTTATTTATTAAAAATAATTCAAAAAATGAATAAAAATATCTGTTAATTTAAGTATCAATATAAAAAAATGTTCTGTCTTACCAGTTTTCCAACAGAAGCAATCATTGAATGATATGACTTGACGACACTAGACACATCTTTTGGACTAATCTCAGCTGCAACGTCAGTAGTATCATTTATCACACTACGATCATTGGATTCTTGTTGATTTTGATCAAGTGACGTAAGGTCCTGTCGATTATCCGGCCCTGGAGCCATTTTCACTGAAATTGACAGCGCCATATAACACATTGTATTTGTTACTTTATTTTTTTTCCTAACCCATTAAAATAAAATTACATACATATTTACACATACACATACATCAGATAAAAGTGTTGAAAAAAGCTTTATAATTCTAGAATATGAATGTAATTTTATTTCTTATGGTTAAATACTACTTGTCAGTAGTGTTTATAATTTTAATTATCATCCTAATAAAAAATAAAATCATTCTCATAATGTATTTAATACTTGCGTACATGATAGGTTATATTACATTTGTCCGGAGTGTTACTATATTATTAAATGATGTGCGAATTATCACACAATGTCAATCAAAAATTTCTTATTCGATATGTCATTGTCTTAACGTGAATTTTCATCATTTTCTCTAACTAATCTGTAAGTTATAATGATAACGAAGGACCAGAACAATGTCAAATTATCGTGACAAGTTATCGATCTTTAAGAATTACTTGTCGCTCTAGTTTTTTCCGTTTAGGCCGATGACTGCACTAACTCGCCGCTCAGTACATCCCTAACGCACACATGTACACACGCGCTTATATTTCTCTTTTTCTCCCTCTTCGAAGGCTACACACTATGCATACATCTATATTCTATGTATATAATGTATATATATTTAGTAATCTATAGATATAGAAGAGAGAAAGAGAAAGTCAAATCAAACTTCACCATAAAAACAATACTGAAAGAATAAGCCCGCGCTTTCAACAAAAGTTCCATTAGTAATTAATAAACTTTATTCACAAAGCATAATTCATTTTACCATTTTTCTTACACACCTCCAACACAAGGTTTTATTCCTCTTTAATATCTCACAACATATGTACCATTTTTTAGTGGACACATTTATATATATGAAATTTTCACTTCGCGACAAATTGACCGCTACACACTATAACTATACAAGTGGGTGGGACATCCACTTAATAAAATCGCTATTTTAGATATTTTATTATAATTATTTTTTAAGTCACTGAAAATGTTTACAGGACATTTATATTTCGAGTTGGTAAGAGACATAAATCATTTTTTCACCTTTGCGCAGATCGAAATCAATGTATTACGAATAGAAGCACCAATGTACAGAGTTAAGGAGACTACACACATATACACACACATACGCACCTTTCAATACACCCATCATATACACGGATACATATATATCATCATATATACCTTAGATGAAAATTTACTACAACCTCCAGGAAAAATGGGAAGTTCATCGAAGAAAAATATTTCTGCAAATAATCATCAGAGCTTTAGAAAAATTTAGTTGAAAAAAGGTATTATGTCAATTTCCAACAAGTTTATGCAATTTAACATTAAAATAAAATGGCATAGTTATTGATAAATAAAAACTTCTGTTTTAGTAAATTTTTTGTTATTCCCATACGAATTAATAATTCCCTTTGTTATTTTATTTATCAATGTGTAATAAATAAAAAAAAAAAGTAAATTTAAATGTTGGGATCGACGCTCGAAAAGCTTGTATCTACATCTCAAGTGGTGCACTCTTTCAAAGGAAGTAGATAAATAAATTCAATATAAAAACGTGCAGAATTCAAATTCAAAATTAAACAGAGAATAAAATAATTTTTGACCAAAGATTAGTTTCAAGCATAAGTACCAGGGAATGAAAAAGATCTATGGTATGATTTTTAAAATAAAAAAATCTGAAATTCAAGTTTAATTTTAAATCTGTCTAAGGAGTAACATCAAAGAAGTATAACTTTGACTAATAAATAATTAATTCATTATAACGCAATACATTCTTTCAGGATTATTAATTTTTCATCATCCAATAGAAAATTGATCTCAATAAAGTAAGCTTCGTGAAGTCATTAAGCGCCAGTTTTTTAACCCGGGGTTTTCCTTTTACCCGAGTTTATAACCATAGCAACAGTACTACTATTTTAATTTTTATTTAATATGTTGCTATCGTTACAAACTCTGGTTAAATAAAAACCCCGGCTTGAAAAACTGGCTCTAATTTGGCTATAATTATGAAACAACTTCGATAATTAATATTCATTTTTTTGATTATTATGAAGATTAGTAGGTAAAGTTACAATAAATTTCTTTGAAATAAAAAATCATCTCACCTTTTTTCGCAAATGATTAATATGTTATGTCATTTTACTGAATAAAAAAATAAAAAAATTTTTTCCAGGTTCGTTTGCAAAAAAATTACAAGTATTTTGAACTATGATTTTAAATATTGGTAATTTAATACCAATATTTGTATGATAATTTTTCTTTTAATTTTGAAAGAGCTTTTCCATTCAAAAAGGTTGTCATTATAAATAATAAATATCACCTTAAACTGGACTCGTTCCGATATGAACGTTTCCAATACAGGTAGTGTTATGCCTCCATCTAGAGTTGATGATTTTATTTTATAAAGACTTACCTACTGGAGTTCTTTCCTCTAGGAATATTGAAATCAACATTTATAAATAAAGTTTAATCGGTTTACTTAGAAAAGGCAAAAAAAAATTGTTCTCAAAATTAATTAATAGTGTGAGTAATTACGGAATTCATTGTGCATTTTGTGTGTGATCAATTAATCTAAGTGATAGTAGTTCCATTCCAACTTTATCGTGGTGACAATAGTGACCTCTTAACAATAAGCGAAACCGCGGGGAGTATTGTTATGCTTCCATCTAGTGGATGTTATTTTTATTTATTTAAAACTTTACTTACTGTAGTTCTTTCGCCCGGGAGTATTAAAATACTCGGTTTCAGTGCGGGAAAGGAATAATTTTAAATAAAAGAATTCTATTTAGACGTAATTTAATTTTGATCAAAATTATTTAGTTGGTTTCAATTTATTATTATTATTGACAAAATATTAAAAGCTTCAAAATATAAAATTGAGGTTTACAATGACGTGATCTTAGCAATCTAAGCTCTCAGTGAGAAGTGTCGTTACATAGTTTTTCCGAAGAGTTACAAACTCCGTTCTTCTCCCACCATAACTCCCATACATACATCCACTCTAAGGAATACATAAATA